GTCAATGTTGTAGCGCGATGCGTTACTGTGCCGCGCCGCGCACTCAATGAGGCTTCTCACAGCGAGATGCGCTATTGTGCCTCGCCGAGCTGCCATTAATTGACATCGTCAATTAACGGAAGCTGGTTGCCTCAACAATGTTGACTATGCATGGTATGACTGAATTGTAAACACGTGATAATTGAACGAAAAATAAATGATGAACATGATTCAAAAACTGTAAACCACGAAATGAATTATCGCTTAAATTTAAATAATTATTTAAACAAAAACCATCATGTGCCGTTAAGCAGCAGGGCGCGGCTCATCTGGGCCACAGCAATTCGGCGATAATGGGTTCGAAAAAGCCACTATTGGCACTTGAGTCCTTGATCTTTCCGATGGTTCACTGGGGCTTTTGAGCTGCCGTCCTTCAGCTCTGTAAACTGAAATTACTACCAATCCAAGTTGAGGCAATCAGCCGACGCGCGGCTTTTATGGTTATACATGATATGTTTAATCTGTAATAAAGATCAAAATTCAAATTTGTTTCTCTAAAATTTGTTTCTCTACTGCTTGATCGACGACAGGATTAATATCTAGATCTTTTAAATTATTTTGCTTCTGAAATTTTGGTTTTTGTAATTAATGCGACATGTAATTGTAAAATAAAAATTAATTAAATCCTGTGCGCGGTGCTTACAGCTCCACCTAAGAATTTTTCAACAATTTTGGCTGTGTGCGCGGCGTATTGTATATGTGGTTGAAATTTAAATTTGAATTTATCAATAAATATAACATAATATGTTGTATGTATTGATTGATTTGTGGTAAATAAAAATTTTGTTTTTCTCACAGCTCTATAACTTCTACATTCTAAGTTTACATAAATACCAAAATATTTCATCGGGCTCTGGTTGATACTAGAAAATATTTGTCCTTCGAGTGAATGAGCGTGAGTTGAGGTCAAAGTTACAGCATATAGTAGTTCCCATTAAATTTAGAACTTATAAAAATTTTAATCCTAGCTTAATATTTCTAAATTATTTCTACATATTTGTAAATAATTGACAAAACAATTTTTTTGAGAAAAGGAGAGAATTGGAATTCTTTTTAACATAAATTATTTCAGGATTACTACCATTGTGTATTTCGTATCTTTGTTTCCTAGCATAACATACTGGCCAGTATTTAAATGGAAATCAGTGCTCTAATATTTTAGTCGGCTGTATGTATATATTTTTCTGTTCATAGAGAAAATTGCATGAATTGCTCTTGATGTGCAGTTGTAAATTTGGTAGGGTCTAGAGTTTTATTGGAGAGCACACCAGCTAGGTGAGTGATGTTGTTGTGGATGTAAGTTAAATTTGTCTCTAACTGAGGAGTAGAGCAAACGCTCAATCAGGTCATGATTTGCTTAAACCCTTTGCTGAAGATGCATTGATTGCACCAATCGATCTTCTCTTGGTACATGGGGGGATTCGTATTGGCCCTTTTCAATGTAAAGGTCCTCGAACTTCCTGTTCGTTGTGGCGGGCTAGGCATCATCAATCCTGTCAGAATAACATCCCGTGAATATGCTTACTCAGTAGCGGTAACTAAAGACCACGTGAGTTTGATCAACCAACAAGACCCGGATATCACCAAGCTGGACATGGGCAAGATAAAAGAAAAGAAAGAAGAACTGAGGAAACAGAAAGAGGAGTTTCTCTCTCAAAGGTTCAAGGTGCTCCACAAAGAATCAGATCATCAACTAAAGAACCACTTAGACCAAGCAAGAGAGAAGGGAGCCTCAACATGGCTTTCGACACTACCACTGAAAGACCTCAACTATGTTCTGAACAGGCAGGAGTTCCAAGACAGCATACGCTTAAGGTATGGTTGGAAGATCCAAGGAGTGCCCTCTAAATGTGCTTGTGGAAATGTTAACAGTATCTACCACGCCCTTGACTGTAAACTAGGCGGATACGTTAGCATGCGCCACAACGCTATTAGAGATACTGCTGCTTTCTTCCTCCGAGAAGCAAAGTGTAAAGATGTAAGGATAGAACCAGCACTCCTGACAGTCCAACCAAGCTCCTTCTCAAGAAAGACAAACACCCAAGATGAAGCCCGTCTTGATGTTGCAGCTGTCGGATTGTATGCACCCTTTGAAAGAACATTCTTTGACATTAGGGTCACACATCCTAACTGTGACACAAACACATTTAAGACGCTAGATAAGATCTATAAAGATCACGAGAAAGAAAAGAAAGATTTGTATGAAGAGAGAGTACTTCAGTCAGAGAAAGGATCCTTTGTCCCTCTAGTCTTCACAACCTCTGGAGGTATGGGACCCCTATGCACTGTATTTGTAGATCGTGTCTCTGAGATGATAGCTGACCATAAAAAAGAAGCCAAGAGCCAAGTCAAAAATCATATCAGAACACGATTCAGATTTGATCTGTTAAGAAGTACACTCATTGCACTAAGAGGAATCAGAGGAAGATCAACGGCCCAGCATCTTGAACTGCATGACATCTCTTTCAACCTCATCCCCCAGAAGACGAGCTTTGAGGTCTCCTAGATTTGTTTATGTAAATTTTGATATTTTACTGTACTATTTTATGTTGTATATAATTTTACGGACGAAATGATCCCAGGGGGGACTCCCAACCCACCGCTTCGGCGGGTAGTTGACGCACCTTTCACAAGCAAGAGCCACTTTGGTCTACTTGCTGTGAGGTGTCTCAGCTACATGGGTTGGGGGTCCCCCCTTTTTTTTTTTTTTTTTTTTTTCAATGTAAAGGTTGTGGCAGCTGGTACAAAACCTTTTCAAGCTTTTTTGAACATCAGAGATTTTGATCAGACGTGAATAGTAAAACAAATTTTAGTAAAACAAATTTAAATTTTGGTATTTATTAATAACAATCAAAACATATCATATCATAAAAATAAAGCCGCGCGTTGGTTGACTGCCTCAGTATGGTGAATAATTTAAGCTTGAAGGTGCCCTGCGCATTTACAGAACATTATGCGGCGATCACATGATCACGAGGACCTGTGAGCGCCAAATTTAATTTAAACTTTCTAGAAATCGTACATCACTACTAGTTACTCATGCTTTAATATGGGATCTAAGTTTATAAACAAGAAAACAACCAATTTTTTTCAAGAAAACATGACCAATGCAATCAACCTTCTTCATGGTTTATTCGAATTGTTGTAAATTTTTAATCCAGTAACTGCGACCCTCAGTGTCCAAATTATAAGGTATTGGACACCAATTACCACCGACTATTCTACTGTCCACTGTGCAGCTGCTCTTACAGGGAAATCCTGCAGGAGCATTCCTCTAATGACCAACCATGCTGGTCTATCTTATGAGATGATAGTGATAACAGCAGCACTGCCTTCCGCTCTCTAGCACAAATTGCCATTGATGAACTATCATAAAGATGATTACTATAGTGGTCATATCCTTGTGACATCTATTCTCCTTCAGCCTCTACTACTCACTCTACTGCCTCATCTTCTGAACATCATTATCTTTAGTATAGTTGAGGATTCTCAACACCCACTTTCAAGTCAAGTACTCTCGACCCACTTAGTCCACATGTCTTGCAAGAAGAAAACAACAATTTCAAGAAAACAACAATTTTATTTAGTATCAATTAAAGCAAACATAAATATATTTTATATATAACTAGCAGGATATTTTTACCAGATAACTTAGGGGACTTGGAGTAGCAAGAGAATGGATAGAAGGTATATACCTAATACAAAAATACGTCAAAAAGAATCCAGGGTGATACAGGATCGGAGAGTGCAGACCATAAAGTTTACGCACCCACCCTTGCCTCCTAAATTCTTGGTTGGGTAGGCATTTATGCGAACTTGGTCGTTTTTACTCCAAGTCCCTTTAAAAAAAAGTTATAACATTTATCTCAGGAGTTAACTTCATTCAACAATAATATTAATATCAATATCAATTTATCGCATAAACTAAACTACCAAATATAGGTTCGATTATCAAATATAGTTTGATTATCAAATATAGGTTTGATTATCAAATATAGGTTCGATCTGATGTAAATTTATAAACTAAAATATTTAATTATTAAAAACATTGCATCAAGTGGTAAAAAATCGATCTGAAAGCTTTGCAAACTTACAGCAAGGTATTTGTAATGGTCTAAGTTCCTAATACTCGCCAAAGATGGTTCCTCTAGTCAATCGTAGGAGAAGAGAAAGCTTAACAACAAATTAGGTGGCTGCATTTTGTTTTGTTTACACAAAACAAAACATGAACATTTAGACGTACACATTGACACGATATTTATTAGAAAGCAAAAAGTATAAAATAATACGTGCGTGCGCGGCTTGAGCCGCGCCGCATAAGAACGGATGCGTGCAGGGGCTGGAGTACGCATGTAGATTAATGAAATGTTGCATTGTAAATATTTAGAATTGACGATATATTATGATCTAATAGTAAATTTTACAAAGCTGGCTTTGGATTTAGGTAAGATTATAATTTATTTTAAAAAAACCACGGATATTTTAAATTTATTTCTATTTGTCGTATAATCATAAACAATTTAATTCTGTTTTCAAGAATGCGCGGCTTTGGCGGCCAGTTATTGATTTATACATTAAATTGAATTTTAAATAGAAATGTGAATATATCAAAATTTAAAACTTTCAAAACGGAGGCTTATAAATATTATTATATTATGATTGTAAAATAAAGGATAAAATTTTAAATTTGTTTCACTAAAATTTGTTTCACTTAAGTCCTAGTATTTATCCCTTTCGTCTTAAAGTTTTAAGATAACTCTCCTTAAATTATTTTAATGCAGTCACTCAGATAAGTTTATACCAGGACACTTCAACAAAAACACATACTCTGCCCACAATATGGGGCCATAATTGTTTCAATTATGTAACTGTATAGAATTATTATTATTATAAATGGTTTACTGTATTCATTGGTATGAAAAATTTCTAACACATACTGTAACAATTTTTTCCCAAGGTAGCAAATGGAATTCATCAATGAAGTGCATTTGTTATAGGTTGCCATACTGGCAAAGTCGTAAAAACCATCAATATGAACAGATTAGCTCAACTAAAACTCTTGGTATGGAAAAATCTCAAGATACAGAAGAAGCACAAACTTGCAACTGCATTTGAAATTGGGCTGCCAATATGTATGGTAGTCATACTTGTGATAATACGTCATTACATTAGTAAAGAAGAGCAGTGTACCAGTAAGTATGGCAAATCGTAACTGTTACTAGACTTGATATCTTGATATGCTATTGCTATGGATACAATTCTAAATATCGTTTCTTATCCAGTCATCTTATTATTGGTTCATTATTTTAGGTTAAATAGACTAACCATAATTCCCCCAGCAAACAAGGACATGGGAGGGTATTGCGATTACACACTGTTTACACCAGCATTATTCCCCCTAATACCTCCCTGCACCACATTGCATTGTGACCTAAATGTCAGCTTTGCTCCTGACAACAACATGACTAGACTATACATGGCAGCCATCAAGAATTACTATGGACTCAACACTAAAGGGTTTGCCACCGAAGATAAAATGGTCGCGTTTTTGGGGTTACAGAACAACACAAAGAGCAGTCCTCACTCAGGTTAGTTGGGATGGAACTTTCTTCTTTTTGAGATTATCTATTTTTTTGCTGCTGAATATTTTCATCTCGCCATTTAAAACCGCTCTGACATGGTGAGTATCTGACACTTGTGTCAGATGCTTTCCATGTGGGTGGTTTACAGGCACAATATTTCATTTAATTTTTTCATACCTGATATTTGTACGTATCTTTTTTTGTACGTATCTTTTTTTTTCTAATGCTGTTGAATTTCATTATTCTCAGTATCACCATGGCTGGGAGGGATAGTGTTTAACACAACAAACAAAAACAAGATCCACTACTCGATCAGACTAGATGCTGTACCTCGGTTAAAGAACCATTCTGAACCAAAAGTTAAAAACTGGAGAACCAGAGTAAGTTGGTTATTTGGTAAATTCAGCCTGGATTATATGTGTAACCTAGTTTGATCAAGTAAAATCAGTTACTGACAACATAATATGGTATACAGTATTAAAAACTCTTGAGTCTTGATTTACTAATTAGCTTAAAATGTACAGTGTTTTGAACACCTTGATAGCGTGAATGTATTGACAGTGAATTGTATAAATGTATCATATTTATCAGTTTTAAGTATCATATTTCAGTTTTAAGTTCCATTTTTTGCATTTAATAGTAAGTTTTCAGTTCTGCAAGTCTTTTAAGTAGACTTATCAGGTCTTTAGGATGTTCTTAGTAACTACTTTGGATTTGTGTAAAGTTCGATAACAAATCATATTTATTGTCAGTGGGTGTATCCAGTGTTCCAAGTGATAGGACCACGAGAGATAAACAACAGTTTTGGAGGAGACCCAGGCTACTTCAGAGAAGGGTTCCTGGCATTGCAGCATGCAATAGACAGGGCCATTATCATGAGCGAAACTGGCAAGGTGAGTGATGGTTCTTGGCTATACTGATTTAAAAGTAAAATATTGCATGGATTTCCAATTTGAGTGCACTTAAATGACAATATTCTTAGCTCTTTATTCCATTTACGTGGGCATAATCCAGTTTGAGATTTTGTAATCAATTGAAGGGATCATTTATAATCGTCTAAAACCACCCTTCAGTTTCCACAACCAGTGGTTATGAAAAGGATGCCCTACCCAAAGTTCGAACTGGACGGTTTTATCTACGTTATAGAAAATACTCTTCCCTTCCTACTCCTCATCGCTTTTCTGGCCATGAACATAAACGTTGTGAGAGCTGTGGTAACTGAAAAGGAAAAACGGATCAAGGTAAACATTGATAGAATATCATTATGCAATTTTAGCATTTAATTCGGTTAGTACGCAAAAACCTCTTTAAATTAAATCAGATTCAATTGTATAGATATAGGTTAATCTGATGGCGACATCTTGTAGACTGAGAAAATTTCCCTTCCCTAAGGTCGATTACAAGATTTTCCGAGCATTTTTTCCCCTTCTTAGTTAGCTGTGGTCTAAGATGCTATATTGTCTGCACTAAGCAAAACCTCTCCCTAAAAAGAGTAAAGTTGTAGTAAAGTGGTTTTACTAGACAAGTAACTAGACGTCAGATTAGCTCATTAAGTCTACCTAATGGTGTGTGTGTGTGTGTATTGTGCTCTATATTTAGTCTGTTGTGTGCTCTATTAACAGCAGGATATGGTCAGCTCATGTGTTATATTTAGACTTTGTGCAGACTCCAGCCAGCTGTAAATTAGTGGTGATCATTTTACTTCTGGTTACTAAGTTGTGTAAAAATGACGACGTGGAAAAACTCAAACTGTCCAGTGTCCATAAGAGTGACTTTCATAGTGCAATACTGTGAAATTCACAGTATTGCACTATAAAAGTGTGAATCAAATACACATAGAAGTTCTCTTAAAACTATAATTCTAAGTGCACTTTGACACATCAATGAGTAATCTACCAACTACCCATCAGGAAGCGATGAAGATAATGGGTCTATCCGGCTGGGTGCATGCAGTGGGCTGGTATATTGAGATAATGATGGTCATGATAATACCTGTCATACTTATAGCTATCTGTCTCAGATATGGGCTCTATCTTTACAGTGACCCTTCTCTCCTCTTCGTATTCTTACGTGAGTTGGCAAACTATGGATGTGATATTATTAAAGTAAGAAAAAATAACGAAGAAGGAAGCGTTTCTTGAAAATCACCTTGATGTAATATCATATTGTAATTCAAAATGGTTTTGTGTAAATAATTTCAATGGTTTCATATTTGTTTAATTGATAAGTTTGTTATAAAACGTGATTGATTGAATCCCTCAGTCGCATACACGATAGCCAGTATCTCGTTTAGTTTTCTTATCTGCACCCTGTTTTCCCGCGCTAATGTCGCTGCTGGCGCTGCTGGTGTCTTCTGGTTCCTCAACTATTCGCCCTACTTCTTTTTACAGGTTAGCTACTTTAGATATCTACCATCTCTACAATTGCTCTATATTCTAATGTATCAATCTTTAATGGTATTCTAAAGATTTATTATTATTATTTATTATTTTTCAGCAATTCTACGAGAATATGAGTGTTTCTCAGAAGTTAGGAGTGTCACTGCTTTCTAATACTGCTATGGGTGTCGGCTCCAAGGTAAGATTTCTCTATCATAGAGCGGCAGTTATCAACCCTATCAAAGTATCAACATAATTAAATCTGAGAATCTGCTCAGCTACAAAATCTGTGGCAAGGTTGAGTTTTAGGGAATAGTTATAACAATGCAGCTACTCAAATAAAGTTGTGTCTTATTGTATCAAGTTACCGGTTATAGGACGTATATCTTCTTTGCATGTCTTGTATTTAAATAATCACCACTTTTTGATGCATTTTTATGGTTTGTACATGGCACCAAAATCCTTGATTCCTGAGTTCAGTTCAACTTTTGACGTTGAGTAGCTAAGAAGTTGCAGTTACTCGATTAAAATATTTACCAAATTTGTGAGGGAGTGTATCGCGAGGAAACATCTGTCGGCAACCAATCAAAACTGTCCAAAACACATGCCCCACACGTGAGGCCACATTAAATAGCTGATAATATTTTATATCGGATCTTTTGTCATGGCTTTAAGTAAGGTTATACAGAGAAAAAGAAGGGATGTGAGGAAACAAGGAACTTCTTTCATTAATTTCCTTTTTATACAAATATTGCAGAAATGTGATGAACAGTAGGCAATACCACTACAATACCACTACAACACCACTACAATACCACTACAATACCACTACAATACCACTACAATACCACTACAATACCGCTACAATACCACTACAATACCACTACAATACCACTACAATTCCACTACAATACCACTACAATACCACTACAATATCACTACAATACCAATACAATACCAATACAATACCACTACAATACCACTACAATACCACTACAATACCACTACAATATCACTAAATTACCACTACAATACCACTACAATACCACTACAATACCAATACAATACCACTTCAATACCACTACAATACCACTACAATACCACTACAATACCACTACAATACCGCTACAATACCACTACAATACCACTACAATACCACTACAATACCACTACAATACCACTACAATACCACTACAATATCACTACAATACCACTACAATACCACTACAATACCACTACAATACCACTACAATACCACTACAATATCACTACAATACCACTACAATACCACTACAATACCACTACAATACCACTACAATACCACTACAATACCACTACAATACCACTACAATACCACTAAAATACCACTACAATACCACTACAATACCACTACAATACCACTACAATACCACTACAATACCATTACAGGTACTAGCAGAACACGAAGCAGCGGAGATAGGGGTCCAGTGGGCTGACTTCCTCACAGACACTAACACTGGAGACTTACCTTTTGGGAGTATAGTACTGGTCCTCGTATTCGACACATTCCTCTACATACTGCTAGCCTGGTTAGTAGGGGGTTGGTAAGGGGGGGGGGGGGTTCTTGTATTCGACACATTCCTCTATATACTGCTAGCCTGGTTAGTAGGGGGGTTAGTAAGGGGGGGGGGTTCTTATATTCGACACCTTCCTCTACATACTGCTAGCCTGGTTAGTAGGGGGTTAGTAAGGGGGGGGGGTTCTTATATTCGACACATTCCTCTACATACTGCTAGCCTGGTTAGTAGGGGGGTTAGTAAGGGGGGGGGGGGTTCTTATATTCGACACCTTCCTCTACATACTGCTAGCCTGGTTAGTAGGGGGTTAGTAAGGGGGGGGGGTTCTTATATTCGACACATTCCTCTACATACTGCTAGCCTGGTTAGTAGGGGGTTAGTAAGGGGGGGTTCTTATATTCGACACATTCCTCTACATACTGCTAGCCTGGTTAGTAGGGGGTTAGTAAGGGGGGGGTTCTTATATTCGACACATTCCTCTACATACTGCTAGCCTGGTTAGTAGGGGGGTTAGTAAGGGGCCGAGGGGGGGAGGGAATATTAGGGTTCTTGTTGGTCACATGTTGCCAACACAAGAACTTTTACCTGTCCGCTCACAGAGCACAATATAATAACACATTATATCAGGTACATAGAAGCAGTGTTTCCAGGGGAGTTTGGAGTACCTAAGAAGTGGTACTTCCCTTTCACTCCCTCTTATTGGGGCTTCTGTCAGAGCGAGCAGTTTGCAGACATGATCATCAGTAAGTACTTTTAGTTGTTATTGTCATGACAACCTTGCTTTGTCATGACAACCTTGCTTTGTCATGACAACCTTGCTTTGTCATGACAACTTTGCTTTGTCATGACAACCTTGCTTTGTCATGACAACCTTGCTTTGTCATGACAACCTTGCTTTGTCATGACAACCTTGCTTTGTCATGACAACCTTGCTTTGTCATGACAACCTTGCTTTGTCATGACAACCTTGCTTTGTCATGACAACCTTGCTTTGTCATGACAACCTTATCACGGTATGACTCTCCGGTAAGTTCAGTAGGGGAATGCATGTTATCTACCAACATGTTTTAATAGATAAGTTATTAACTTAATACTTGCCTTGAAGGGACACAAAAAATAGACTGAATTCTAGCAAAGTCTCGCACTGAATATCTGCACACTGACTGATATTATTTATACTGCAATGTTACTATACTCTGATACGCAGTCTCACACTTGATCACTGTACACCAGTACGAGTGATCAGTCACATGACCTGGAGTAGACTGGCACAGTACAGTACTATGCAGTACTGACTGGAACATCAGTGTATTACACCTACTCAGGTGCCTGTTCTTATACGCTTTTACACTGTTACACTGTTACACTCTGTCCCTGTTACACTGTTACACTGTTACACTGTGTCCCTGTTACACTGTTACACTGTTACACTGTTACACTGTTACACTATTACACTGTTACACTGTTACACTGTTTCACTGTTACACTGTGTCCCTGTTACACTGTGTCCCTGTTACACTGTTACACTGTTACACTGTTACACTGTTACACTGTTACACTGTGTCCCTGTTACACTGTTACACTGTTACACTGTTACACTGTTACACTATTACACTGTTACACTGTTACACTGTTACACTGTTTCACTGTTACACTGTTACACCGTGTCCCTGTTACACTGTTACACTGTGTCCCTGTTACACTGTTTCACTGTTACACTGTGTCCCTGTTACACTGTTACACTGTTACACTGTTACACTGTTACACTGTGTCCCTGTTACACTGTTACACTGTTACACTGTTACACTGTTACACTGTTACACGGTTACACTGTTACACTATTACACTGTTACACTGTTACACTGTTACACTATTACACTGTTACACTGTTACACTGTTACACTGTTACACTGTGTCCCTGTTACACTGTTACACTGTTACACTGTTACACTGTTACACTATTACAATGTTACACTGTAACACTGTTACACTGTGTCCCTGTTACACTGTTACTCTGTTACACTGTTTCACTGTTACACTGTTACACTGTGTCCCTGTTACACTGATACACTGTTACACTCTGTCCCTGTTACAATGTTACACTGTAACACTGTTACACTGTTACACTGTGTCCCTGTTACTCTGTTACACTGTTACACTGTTACACTGTTACACTGTTACACTGTTACACTGTTACACTATTACAATGTTACACTGTAACACTGTTACACTGTGTCCCTGTTACACTGTTACTCTGTTACACTGTTACACTGTTACACTGTTACACTGTTTCACTGTTACACTGTCACACTGTGTCCCTGTTACACTGATACACTGTTACACTCTGTCCCTGTTACAATGTTACACTGTAACACTGTTACACTGTTACACTGTGTCCCTGTTACTCTGTTACACTGTTACACTGTTACACTGTTACACTGTTACACTGTTTCACTGTTACACTGTTACACTGTGTTATTTATCACTCAATAAATAGTTCCTTCATTTGTAGTGGTGGTCTGGGGACTAAAGGTATTTGTTGAGAGTACTCACTGTTAATATTCTAAAGTACGTACTATACTATACTATGTGGAAATGTCTGAGTTGTTCACCATATAATATGCTGGATATGGTGGTGACTCGAAATTTGTCATTAGAATCAGCTAAGGATTTAGCGTTAAAAAACCACTCGTGGTGAAGTTTACTAGACTGTTCAGTGTTCAGACAAGATTTTTAGAGGAGCTCGAGAATTTCAGCGAACAATATTGTTCATGTTGTTGACGACATCAATTAATTCTGTTCCTCTGAAACTGTTAAAAAACGGGCATTAGATCGTACCCTGCAGGATCAGATGGTGTGGGGGTTCTGCGGAAGAGGCTGACATGGAGAGATAGTGTGAGAGGTCTGTGGAAGAGGCTGACATGGAGAGATAACGCAGGTCCCTCTTATTGCACTACTGATGAAGAGTCTTTAGACTCAGATGAAGTGAGGTCACCTCTCTTATCACGTGACCAGGAGGCAACCCCACTTGAACGTAGGCCTGCTCGCATGTTTAGCATATTATGTGTAGTAATGCAATGAAATGTTTTGTAAAATGCCGGGAAATGTTAACTTGCCATGTTGTAATGCTGAATTCTTGTGCACGTCACCTTATTATTATTAATATTAGAACGTGACCTCCTTAGCACGTGACCTCCTTAGCACGTGACTTTACCTTCTTGACTATCACTAGATCGCACCACTCTACAATTCTTCTTGTATGTAAATGTTATGAGCCTTAAAATTGTAAAGATATTCGGTTCTTTTGCGATAGTCAAAACGCGACAACTAGCGCTGGATGGCGACAACTAGCGCTATCCAGCGCTAGTTGTCGCCATCCAGCGCTAGTTGTCGCTATCCAGCGCTGGATAACGCTGGCCAGCGCAAAATATATATGTTCGATAATTGTCGCTATCCAGCGCTAGTTGTCGCCATCCAGCGCTAGTTGTCGCCATCCAGCGCTAGTTGTCGCTATCCAGCGCTAGTTGTCGCTGGCTATGCGACACTGTCGCACGCGATAGTTTGCGATGGCCAGCGCAACTGGCCATCGCAGAAAACAGTTCGATAACTAGCGCTGGATGGCGACAACTAGCGCTGGATAGCGACAACTAGCGCTGGCCAGCGCTAAGCGATAGCCAGCGCTGGCCAGCGCTGGCCATCGATATCCAGCGCAAAATTTTTGCGCTATTACTCGTCAGCTAGCGCTGGCCAGCGCTAGCCAGCGCTAGTTGTCGCTATCCAGCGCTAGCCAGCGCTGGCCAGCGCTAGTTGTCGCTATCCAGCGCTAGCCAGCGCTGGCCAGCGCTAGTTGTCGCTATCCAGCGCTAGCCAGCGTTAGCCAGCGTTAGCCAGCGTTAGCCAGCGCTAGCCAGCGGTAACCAGCGCTAGCCAGCGCAATGTATCAAAATCATATACTTGCGATATTACTCGGATGATGATTAATCACTTTACACTTGACTGTCACGTGCCTTTTTTAATCCATTCTCTGACTCTAGCTGGTTCTGAACGACTTTTCGAAACCCCAACCCTCTAAGTCTAATCTGATCCCAACCCTAACCCTAACCCAATCCTTAACAAAAACATATGCTGAAACCCTAACAATAACGAGAAATTAGACTAACTTCCTTATATAATACGGTCATATCACGTGATCGATACATGTACAGTTTTTCGCCAATATCTCGTTTGATACATGTTTCGTATCCTTCGGCGGCGCGCGCTTCGCGCGCGAAAAGTGGCATGCAACGTATGTCAATATCTCGTCAGGAGAGCATTTTAACCCTATGTCATGGGCCCATGGGGGTTGATTCGGAATTAGCGTCCGAAAATACATCGATTGAAGTTGGACACAACCATCGGGGGCCCTTTTAGAACAATCTCGAAGATCGACTGTAGAGTGATTTAGCACGCTCGATATTAGTATTACTCGTCAGCCAGCGCTGGCCAGCGCAATATAGTTGCGATATTACTCGTCAGCTAGCGCTGGCCAGCGCTGGCTAGCGCTGGTTAGCGCTGGCTAGCGCTGGTTAGCGCTGGCTAGCGCTGGTTAGCGCTGGCTAGCGCTGGTTAGCGCTGGCTAGCGCTGGCCAGCGCTGGTTAGCGCTAGCTGACGAGTAATAGCGCAAAAATTTTGCGCTGGATATCGATGGCCAGCGCTGGCCAGCGCTGGCTATCGCTTATCGCTGGCCAGCGCTGGCCAGCGCTAGTTGTCGCTATCCAGCGCTAGTTGTCGCCATCCAGCGCTAGTTATCGAACTGTTTTCTGCGATGGCCAGTTGCGCTGGCCATCGCAAACTATCGCGTGCGACAGTGTCGCATAGCCAGCGACAACTAGCGCTGGATAGCGACAACTAGCGCTGGATGGCGACAACTAGCGCTGGATGGCGACAACTAGCGCTGGATAGCGACAATTATCGAACATATATATTTTGCGCTGGCCAGCGTTATCCAGCGCTGGATAGCGACAACTAGCGCTGGATGGCGACAACTAGCGCTGGATAGCGCTAGTTGTCGCCATCCAGCGCTAGTTGTCGCGTTTTGACTATCGCAAAAGAACCAGATATTCTTCACGTCACACTCAATACAAAGGAAGATTGTCTAAAGTGATGGAGAAACAATAAGAGTAGTACTGAAAACGGAGAAATAATAATAGTAACTGAAAACAAGAGAAGTAAAGACAGAAAGACCCGGCTTCGAATAAAGAAAACCTTTTACACTTTGGCACTGGTTGAAACTATTAACTGGTTGAAAGTTAACTTTCTGTACATCATACGGCTTATTAAACATGGGTGAAGGACAGTAAACACCTTTATACTGCTCGTCGTTTCAATTTGACGAGATCTTTGTTTATTATATTAAGACTAAAATGGTTAATTATGGTAAATGTCACCAAATATTAAAATTAGTTAAGCTCTAGCTAAATTATTAGTGACATAATATACTGTACTATATTATACATGTTTGTGAAAGTAAACAGAGCTGCTAAGCTATCTCTGAATATATTATTACCGTTTTTTACACGGTTCGCTAAACTTTTATAATTATCTTGATCTCATATAATATAGTAAATATGTGCAAGTATTTTAATCGCTAAACTTTTTATCTTCTTTTCTCTAACATTAATCTCCCTATCAGCTGTACGGAAGTTAACTTGTAAGTCTAGCACTAACGTTGCTGATTGGGTTTGAAATTAACCGGCACTCTTCTCAATTTGAATATTTGTGCCGGATTTCCGGTCAGAAATGTAGTCTGTCCGGCAGATATTCCGGCAGATATTCCGGCAGATTTGAGAGCTGTTGTTGTATGGTGGATTGTGTTTTAAAGCACACTCTCTATTATAATGCTCATTCTACATGGCTTTATAACTGCACAACGTTTGCTATGAATGCCAAAAAGCGCTGTAAAATGAGTTAGAAATATCTGCAGTTGTTCCTCAGCAGTCAGGAATGTTCCTGCCTGTAGAGTTCGCTTTGTTCCTGTACACACACGTAGATACGTCATGTCTATTAGTGCTATCTTGTGTAGAGAATCTTGTTATTAGTAGATCACGTGATCTCGTATATCAAGAATATCCTGAATTCCTGCGCTGGTTATCTGGCTGATCCAATGTGGAACAACTGGTGAAGCTCCTCTGGAAATTTCTGAAGAAGAGCTCAAGAAAACAATTCATATCCATTCCTGGTTCATTTCATGCGGGAATTGGGATTGCTGAATGTTATATGATATATTCTGAAAATATTATGTGAAAATGTTGCGCTTTTATTTTAGCTGGATTGTGTGGGCAACTTAAGGTTTCATTCTGTTTTGGGTTTTCAGTGTTATCAAAGCTTCCTTGGAGTACAAAAAGCATCACAGCACAAAATGAAGACAAATTTTGTAGCTTTTTTCTCTCAATTGAAGCACTCTATAATTCTAATTTCAAACCTCCTCACAACATTGTGTTCTGATATCATAAGTAGGAGCATTGTAAGACACTGGGCGAAGTATTGGAAGTAATAAGAATATATTTCAGACGAGACGACCCCCCTGGTAACCAACTCCAGTGCTATCCAGCGTAACGCTTACTACGAGACAGTAGCACCCAGCATGGACCCGATAGTAGATATACAGAACCTGACTAAACAGTACCCTAACAGTAGTGTTAAAGCTGTGGATAACCTCAATCTGCAGCTGTATAAGGGGCAGATATTCGCTCTGTTAGGACACAATGGAGCCGGCAAAACTACTACTATTTCTATGCTTACTGGTTAGTGTGTTAAACAGCTGTCTAGTTACCAGGCGGCATTGTATCTATTTGCCCTCTTCTTTATACCTGACAACAAGAAATATGTGGTAAAATTAAACGATTTTTTCCTTCTAAGATTGTAAACGAAGTTAAATGTTCCAGGACTGTACCCTCCAAGTAAAGGTACAGCGTACATAATGGGGCGGGATATAAGAACCAGCCTAGCTGCCGTCAGGAGACAGATAGGGTACTGTCCTCAGTATAACGTGCTGTTTGATGAGCTGACTGTGGAGGACCATCTCATCTTCTTCTGCTTTCTCAAGGTATCACATTACATTACAAGGTATCACATTACAAGGTATCATATTACATTACAAGGTATCATATTACATTACAAGGTATCACATATTACAAGGTATCATATTACATTACAAGGTATCATATTACATTACAAGGTATTGCATTACATTACAAGGTATCACATTACATTACAAGGTATCATATTACATTACAAGGTATCATATTACATTACAAGGTATTGCATTACATTACAAGGTATCATATTACATTACAAGGTATCACATATTACATTACAAGGTATCACATATTACATTACAAGGTATCACATTCATGATCAACATGTGATTCAGTCACTAGCGCAATATCAGCTGTTTTTAGGGCTGGCAAGTTGTCTAGATTTTGGCGTTTTAATAATCCGGTGTGTAAGTTACCAGTTCACTGAGTTGTGCCTCTTATCTGTATTAACTTATTTAATGTTATTTAATACCAGGGTATGGACAGTGCTATAAGATACGAAGTAGAACAGATGATTCAGGCTCTGGGTCTAGAGGATAAGCGGCATGTCGTCTCTAAGAAACTGTCAGGTGAGATTGAGGAATACTTTAAGGCTTCTGACCTGTACTAATAACCAACAACTTTATTTCATCTTCGCCAATTTTGAGGTGATATAGCCAACAAATAAATCTGAATATTTACCAAACAATGGGAATATTCCATCCTCCTGAGAAGATATTGTAAGTATACTACAGTACAGTAGTCAGTACCAGTCACTACTTACTACAAATTACTAGATAGTGTTTCTAACTGTTTACCTTGTACAGGAGGTATGAAGAGGAAACTGTCCTGCGCTAATGCTCTTATTGGGAACAGTAAGATAGTATTCCTTGACGAACCAACTGCAGGTACGTACTTTCTCTAGAACCAACTGCAGGTACGTACTTTCTCTAGAATACAATTACTTAATTAGTTAACCAACTGCAGGTACGTACTTTCTCTAGAACCAACTGCAGGTACGTACTTTCTCTAGAACCAACTGCAGGTACGTACTTTATCTAGAATACAATTACTTTAGTTAATCAATATCATTGTTATAAAATGTGAAATATTTTATAGTGGAACTAAGTTGTTAATCATGGGTCGAGATACTATTTGATCACTACTACAAATGGATCGTCTGATCGCTGTAAAGTGTAAAACTGGATTCTAGTAAAGATGATTAGTTAATTACATAGGTAATTGTGTAACCAATACTGACAGGTAATTACTATTAGTTAATTGTGTAACTAACACTAACAGGTAATTAGTAATTAGTTAATTGTTTAATTAACAGGTATGGACCCGGCTGCTCGTAGATCTACCTGGGACCTACTACTAAACTACAAGAAAGACAAGACAATAGTTCTAACCACACATCATATGGACGAAGCGGACCTGCTCGGGGACCGGATAGGAATTATGGGCAAGGTTTTAAAAACTTTTATTAATTAATTTTATTATTTATATCATCAGGTCAATTACAAAAAATTATGAACTAGATCACGACAAGAATTTCGCCGTGGTTACACTACGCACGATCAAATTTCTTACAATGTACCAGCACTATTTTCAATAAATAATTTTAAGCGGAAAGTATTTATAAACGATAGACGTAAGCTTGCATCCAAGAGTGAAGAGAGGCACACACGACCATAGCGTTTTTACTTGATACGTGCAGAACTGTAGAAGTTAAATAATTCCGCGCACATTTTGGGTGTCAACAAAATAGCGCCGTCTGTTTGCGGTTTGGTTGTGTCATATTGACACATTATATGTGTCAGTTTAATGTTTTGTTGGCAATTCTTTACTCTGTCGGTGACACTTTGACTTAAGGCACGGATAACACACACACACACACACACACACACACACACACACACACTTGTCACTTAAGGGACAAGTAAGGGACAGGTAAGGTACACTTAAGGCACAGTTACGTGAATTTTTTAATGTTTACATTATTTCACGCTTTGTTAATGTATCGTGTGACAAATGTATAAATATATAAATATAAATAAATATGTAGCATTACCCTCATAGAAGGATTTACAATTATATGGGCAGGATGACTGGGATAGTTGAGCTGGTAATGAGTATAATTGAGACACTATTCGATTCATCAAATTGTGAGTAATGTGTATAAGCTAACATGTGCATAACATAAAGTGGCTAAATTGACTCAATTTCAATCTGTTGAGGAATTGCGATCCGGCTTGACAAATTATCCATTTGCCAAGATTCACCCTCTTTTGTTTTTGAGAAGTGTAAGACCTCCTGGCTTGACCTTTATCTGTTCTGGTAATCTTTTTAACTTTAGTCATTGTGCACACGTGTCCCTTTTTGTAGTAATTATGAATGTAGAATTATTCTCTTTATCATTAGTGCAGCAAATAGTGCCCTTTACAGCTTTATTGTTATAGGAACTGGTTTCTCAATATTATTATTATGTAGGTTTCACAGTTTTATACTTTAATATTATGATCATATTACAACGTTAATATAGCCCGTTAATATTACTCGTTTAGTTTGGTATGGGGATAGTTACATTTTTATTTAATTTACGATTACGGAGATCTATCTATCCGACCCGTCAATAGTTTATTTAATCATTAACTGTGAACATTACCGGCTCAATACCTGGCACTTCCTTTATCTTTTTAACTTGAGTCAACGTGCAATATGTTTTGTGTATGTGTTTTGTGCATGTGTTTTGTCACAATAAAACACATGCACAAATAATGCAATAATCATGAACGTACAATTATTTTGTTGTAAAACCCTGATTGGAATATTATTATGAGTTGCATAGTTGAAATGTTTTCTTGGGAAATTTCTATTGATCCCGTTGGTGCGACACCAAACGGGATCAATAGAAACGGGATCAATAGATAATTACCCAAGAAAACAATTATTTTATTCTATTATTAGTGAGCCGTTTTCAATTTTATTTTGTTCGACTTGGTTTCTCAAATGTACGGTGAAACTCAAATGTAGTTTCACCGCTTTGTACTCTTATTATATTATATTATATTATTATGATTACTCTAATATAATTACGATTTGTTTTAAATATTGATCGTATTTGTATTAACTTTCAGTTTATCAGTTACAATGTTAAATTGCATTAACTTACAGTAAGCGAGATCACTTTGTTCTCCTTGGCAATAAAACACGTACAAAAGCCAAAGCTAACCAGTCACTGGTTTATAACATCTTATTTAGTGACTAGTGTAACCCGTTACATTATTAGTATTGATATGGCTACGATAACAATATACGACAATGTGTTATCTGCTCCCTTATCTACTTTGTTATCTACCACTGAAACTTATCATATCCAACAAAATAAAGACAGAGGGTGCGATAAACTGGTCAAAATAGTGTTCTGCGTCTTCCTGTTTCTGTTGCTTACTGGAAACTGTTTCGCTCTAAAGTTTTTCGCTTGAACGAAGAAACCTGTTAAACCTATTTATGGGTGACGATTAATGACTATGGGTGCTGAGTCTTGGTGGTTACGGGAAACTAACCACATTTCAACTATTGTAACAGGAGAGAGTAGTAGGGAGAGTAAACTAAGCGGTCTGCGGTAGTCTCCTCAAATACAGTGCACTTCAAGCACATAATGATGGGATTATAAAAGAAAGGAAACAAATGTACCATTTTCAGTTGACTATACCATATTGTTGTTCTAACCAGGGTTGCTTATTGAATTTAAATGCATTTTAAACTTTTGTTCATTGTTGGGCAACAGGTTCACTGTTTTATTGTAAGTTATTTTATTCATTTTGTTTAGGATTTTGTTTGTTCATATGTTAATCATATATGAAGATGATGTTATAAACTAAATTATGATAATTTTATTTTGAACATTATATAACGAATATTTATTTGCCTGTATTAGAAGGTCATATTATTATATGATATGGTTTAGCTCTGTCGCCGTCGCGTTATGCAGTCGTCACCTACAATCATGATCCGAAAAACGTTGTATGTAACAATTTATATAAATGTCCGAGATAATCAAGATAAGATAATAATTAATCAAGATAAGTGGTCGTAAGTGCACGGGATAGAATTTTTGACCACTGATAGTTCAAAAAAAGAAAGAAAAACATAATACTTCAAAACAATAATATCAGGAAAATTTGTCTTCCTTTAATCATAATAATGTAATTAAATACTTCAAAACAATAACATAAGGAATCAGCAATAATTTGGAGTCCACAAACTGACTGTTGACAGGTTACTTCAAGAGTCTGTATAATCACTCATACAATCCCCCAATCAGGGTAATCTATGCTGTGTCGGATCTTCCATGTTCCTAAAGAAGCAGTTTGGAATTGGTTACCACATGACCATCGTGAAGAATGAGGAGGTCTTCAACACTGAGGCGATGAACAACTTCGTTACAACTTACATACCAGGTAACTGATAGTCTGGTAATGTAACTGATAGTCTGGTAATGTAATTGATATCTAGATAGCAGGTTATTATAACTCTAGAACCTAGACCTTCAGTAAACTGAAGATACCAGCTGTTTGCCAGCAATAGATGATACACAATATATAATCAGAAGTAAAGTTATGACCCGTTGCAAAATATTGATTTCATCACGAAATACACATAAAATTCCAAACATGCCAACAATCTGACACCCTGCTATAGACTCCAGGTATTAGCACTAACAGTATAAGATTAGCGATGATGTTATAAATTTTACCACCAACTCATAGTTTTACTCACCGTTATTTTTCCCTCAGATCTCATATTTTACAAAGTCAATACCGTGTTCAATGTAAGCTTAAGTAGAGTCATGAGATCGCTGGGAACGGACAGCAAATAGATACTTCACATCCGTACTGCGCGTCATCACTCATCATCATCATAATAATTCTTTACCTTCAATATTATATTCCTTCATCTTAGCGACAAGAGAAACGCCATTGTAGGATGTGAGGGGAGTGAGGACTCCTCAAACTACATTAAATACAAAACCTCTCTTCGTCACGTTCTCACCCACAATTGTACAGTGTACACTGTACATATAGTATACATTACATAATTAATTATTTATATACACACCAGGAATGAGGATACATTAATAATACCGTTACTTTTCCGCAGGATCTAAAATAGAAGGTAATGTTGCCTCGGAGATCTCCTTCCTACTCCCTGAAGATCAAGTGTGTAACTTTGAGCGGTTCTTTACCGACCTGGAGCGGGAGCAGCACCATTTGGGAGTAGACACCTACGGGCTGTCTCTAACTACACTAGAGGAGGTTTGTTTGTTTGTACTTTTGTTTGTTCTCAGATACTTGATGAACAGATGTGGAAGTGGAAGCTGATGTATAAGAGTATAAGTTACTTAACCATTGGTCCGCTGTATTTGTGTGTATTCTCGATACACACCTCATACTAATTAAAAAACCCACATTACAGGTGTTCATGCGAGTAGAGGAGCTGGGAAGAGACGACACAGCCAGTCCCAACAAGCTTGCTAACGAGATCTTCACGCGCGCGCGACAGAACGTGTCAGACTTGCTGCGCGGGGAGACGTCCCACGAGGGGGAGGTGGACAGGGATAGGAGCGGGAGGAGCCGGGCTGTACAGATACGAGACCACTTTAATAAGGGTGAGTTGGGTGTTATTGGGGTTATTGGAGTATTATATTGTTAGATCTGTGTTTCGTTTGAGTGAAAATAATGTTCAATATAATTCCACGAACTTAACTACAACATCTAGATTCAGTTTACTACCTTATCATAAAGTTCGCCGAGATTAAGTAGGTTTCTTATCATAACTCATTGTAGAAATCCCCCAACTATCTGACTCTTCACCAGCTGCCTCCCCCCAGGTAGCAAACTAACACTACAGCAGATGTGGGCTATGGTAGTTAAGCGGTACTACTACTCCTTCCGTAACATAAAGACACTGCTGATGCAGCTCCTGATGCCTGTACTCTTCACTATGATCCCTCTTATCGTTATCAAGAACTTCCCTTCAATGACTGTGAGTACCTTCTGAAACCTTTCTTAGGAATTACTGTTAGAGTAATGTATTTGTTATTGTCAGGTTAGTTATCAGCTTAGGTGGAAATTTATAGTTGTTACGAAGAAAAATCCTGCTTTTGAGTTGAAATTATTTATTATGGAGTATGGACATTATATTAAAAGTTATAGTTTTGGCTGACTGATACAATGAGCGGGGGTCCCCACCTAGAGTTCCCTCAAACTAACGTTGACAGAAAACGATACCACCACGACCAGCTAACCCACTAAACAGACAGATAACACAAACACAGGGGGGACGGTGTGGGGGCCGGGGGGGGGGGGGGGGGTGTGCCGGGGGGGTGTGTCTTAGCTGCATTTTACCGCTTCATCGCAGAGAGTTAGTACAGCTGTTACATCTCCCTCCACAGTCCACACCCTCTCCCTGCTGACAAAGAGCATGTCCTGGTGTGATATAGAGCCTGTCCTGGTGTGATATAGAGCTGACATGTTGCTGTCTCCACACATTCTCTTATCTTATTGTCGTCACTACATGCACACACGTCCTATCTGACTGGAAGTGTCGTGTTTCTTCAGGGGGAGAGTCTGTAGTGTGTGACTGCTGTAGATAGCGGGCGTTGACAAAAACACCTGTGATTAACTCCCTTACTATCCTTGACAATCTTCCTGTCCTCACAATCTTCCTGTCTTCACAATCTTACTATCCTCACAATCTTCCTGTCTTCACATTCTTCCTTCTCGTGACAGTATGTATATTAAATTCTTAACCTGGTCAAGATGTGTATCACGTGATGATTCTAAACATGTTGTAGTTTAGAAGTTACACGGTTGCTGGTTACACTGCTAGATACTGCAGTAAGTTATGGTAATACTTGTTAGCATACTACAATCTATACTGGTGATAACACTAGATTGAAGCTGTAGTAGTAGTAAACCCGTCATAAACCAAACAGTACCATCTCTGATAGAGGACTGAGAATATGTTTAAATCATAGCAGATGATTGTTACACTCCATGATTCAGAACTATAGGACTTGAAGGGTTAACAAGTTACACACATTTCTTTAACAGCAGTTGGAATTGAGAGGCAAAACGTAGATCCGTGTCTTTTGTTAAGCGTGAGTCAGTAGCCACAAACTCACGTCTGTCTGTTATAATACGGGTTTAAGTTTTATCTGCAGACTTCAACACCTTTATAGTCGTCTGTACGGTGTGCAGAAGGGGCCCTCTGAGATAAGGATATTACCCTAGATAACATTATACTCGCATAACTGAATTAGTGAATTAGTTAATATATTACATTGACTAATTCCATTAAATAAGAATAATAATCCTCAATACCGCGTGTTAACCCTCCTTAGCACTAAGTATCAATAGTAGTTAGCTGTCATCTGTAATTGTAAGTTACAGTGAATATTGTTATTCACTACTGTATTCGTCTGCTTGCTCAGGTAGACACGTCATACTAGAATAGTTATAATACCACACTACCTAATACCACACTACCTTGGTTGTTAAGTACAAGTTATAAAGAGTAAACTCATGTTATGACATGTTTACCAACCCGGAAATTGTTACGGGATATAGAAAAGAGAGTAGAATGAGTTTGATATTATCTTATTACGCTCCTGACAAACACAGAAATCACCACAAACACAGGACAACCAAATGAGAAGATAATTGTACCTGTACTGCTACGGTCGCTAAAATAATAAATATACTGTCCACTGTCTAGATACGTTGAGATGTCAGAACCAGATCAAAGAATTATGTGTGTCCCAAATTGGATGCTCATTGTGAAAATATTACAAGTCCGATAACTATGATAACTTGGTAACTTGGTAACTATGTTAACTACTTGGTAACTATGGTAACTACTTGGTAACTATGGTAACTACTTGGTAACTATGGTAACTACTTGGTAACTATGGTAACTACTTGGTAACTATGGTAACTATGGTAACTATTGGTAACTATGGTAACTATTTGGTAACTATGGTAACTACTTGGTAACTATGGTAACTACTTGGTAACTATAGTAACTAGTTGGTAACTATTTGGTAACTATGGTAACTATTTGGTAACTATGGTAACTACTTGGTAACTATGGTAACTATTTGGTAACTATGGTAACTATTTCAGGCAGCCCCACCACGTGACCTGACAGTTCTGATGAAAGATAACATGTTTGACAGCAGCAAGATAATCTACCAGCCCGCTCTCAGTAGTCCAGCTTACGACAAGGTTTATAGTTGATCCATTAGTAATTAGCCTATTAATTAAATATGTATTAACTTATTAATTATAATCTCATATACTCACAGACCTTTCTTCGCTCTTTATACTTTATTTTCTACCTTCTTTAAAGAAGTTTGTTTGTTTGTTTGGGGACCAGCTTTTGGTACACTGGTCTGGGTCAAGTTTGTCAAGTAAGCACCTAATACCCTAATACACACTACTAGATCAGATTACATTACCAGGTACCTTTATCATGTAGAATACATTCCTCGTGATTACCAAAGTTAAACCAACTCACTAATATATTGCCGGGGGTGTATAACTCATGAACAACTCTCCTGCTCCTGATATTGCATCACTAATGCACTACTTATCACTAATAGTAATAGTGTTTAACACTGTGCTTAATAGTTAATACTTTAAAGTTTAACTACTTGCTTACTTCCGATGTAGACTATTGTAATGAAGACACTTCTCTCTGATAAAATGTTCGATAAACTTAAAATCACAAATTAACAGCTTCTGCCAACTTACCTTATTCTTTTGATCTTTTTCGTGAGAAAGAAGCTTTTGATCTGTTTAAAATTTAGTACGGGGGAATCGATATAGATAATTAAATCCAGTAATTACAGCTAATTGGCTGTTAATTATCACCTGTAGTTAAGATAACACCCTGATTAACACCTGTTTCCCCTAGTTTATAGACTCAGTCGGTAACATGACGAAAGGGTACGTCAAAGGAATAGAGAACATCTCAGATTTCCAACACAGTGACAACATGACCCAGTTTATTCTGGAGAAGATAGAGAAGACACATGGTCACTTTAACAAGGACTATGTGATGGGGTTCAGTGTTATGGAGAGTCTCCGTGCTAGTCCGGTATGTTCCGTGCCATAAATACTTAGTATAATAGTATAATTCATAATATAATAATGATATGGAACTTTACTGGACACCATCTTAGTAGATAGATGATTGTTTTCATTGTCTAAATTATAATTAGGTAGCTACGAATATCCCAAGTTCTATATCACTAGACAGCTGAATTGTGAACCAGGTTTATTCCTAGCGGAGTATACATGCCTACAATAACATATGCGCATTTGTATATTCATTTATTGCTTGTTTAATTTGTTTTTTTGTGTTTAATTTACGATTATTTGTATTTGAGATTCTGCGATTAAATTTATTTTGTTGATTGTAATGTTGTGATATTGCATAATTTATTGTAAATGTAATATATGTTTCAGAATTATGTAGTGTAACGCGATGGAAGTATTTAAAGCGGGCATATCCTGTCCAAAACCAGGATGCACGGCATAAAGAATTTGTTTTAACTTGTTTGTATGAAAAGCATCAATATCCTGATTCAAAACATACCTAACATACCATCCCCCCTGCAGGATCTAACAGTATTGTGGTTCAACAACAGACCCTACCACACTATACCTGTACTACTTAATCTCTACACTAACGCTTACCTCAACTCTGTTGGAAGTGATGTTACTGTCACTGTCACTGACAAGCCTCTTCCTCCTTCTACTTATGAAAAGGTAACTGAATGTGAAGATACAGGGTGAGTTGAAAATAGTGTGTAGAATGTAAATGGCTCTAATGTTTTTGACAAATGAAATTTCCACTTTAAAAAAATTATCGATTTTTACATTCTACACACTATTTTCAACTCACCCTGTAGATACCTTATCTTCTATCTTATCTGTTAGCTAAGTATTGATATACAAGTGTTCGGATCTTATCTCTATTCTAATATCAGTTACATAGATCTTCTCCTCTTAAGGTTTATAAGGTGTCCTTCCCTTTTCTTCTTAAATATTCATTAGAATGTTCTAGTTTGAAATCTATCACTCTATATGCGGTAAATAATAAATTGGAGTTTTACTGTACACAATATCATGTGTAATCTGAGGGAGCAGACCTGCAGATCATTGCTTAAATATAAACTGCCCATTATATCGTGTAGTAGAACACTAAAGTAACAATGAAGTACAGTGCAACCTTGATAAGATTGGAGTGTAAGAGTGCTCAATGCAAACATTGGAGCATTGTACCGCTCTATTAATAATAGCTACAACCCTTTTTACAAGTTCGCAACTTTGCAAGTCGCTGTTACTGGAGAGCTGGAGACGTGTAGAATGATGACATTCCATGAGTTTAAGAGACCTGCCAATCTATAAATAACGTCTATATTCTAATTTTAGCAAGGTGTTGTTTCTAATTTTAGCTGTATAAGTTATTAGTGAGCCTTGCTAGATTTAGAACATTATGTTACAAATGCTTATCAATAAGTGCGGCTAACTTAAATACACAACAATCCAGTGTCTGATCTGCAACAATCCAGTTTAAAAGGTGTGTTTTCAGGTCAACAATGTCAATGACCAGATATTTGCGTTTATGGTGGCTTTCAACGTGATGTTTGGCTTTGCATTCCTCGCTTCCTCATTCGTCATATTTATTGTAAAGGAGAGAATCAGCGGTAAGTTATTAACCACTTATATTATATGTAGAAGTGTTCACTTTTAGAATTTGTGGAATAGTGAATAACCTAGAACCAAACTTATGAATCCACAAAATAATGTTGACCATTTAGTACCCTATTACATACATGCTACATAAAGAGGTATCGTCCTAGTCGTTGGAGTGGCCTGCATCACACACATCCAATATCCTATTTTGTATTATATATGCCCACTATCTCACTACACAGTCTCTAGATCCGTTTGTTTCCAGGAACCAGACATCTCCAGATGCTAAGTGGACTGAATCCTATTGTCTACTGGGTATCTTCCTTTATGTGGGACATGCTCAACTTTCTCGTTCCTTCACGTTAGTACAATAATAAACCTTAGTTTTATCTAATAATTAACTGATATGATTATATGAAATACAATGGAATTATCCAGAATTTTAAATGTTAATGATAATATGTAACGCTCTTAAAATTTTGTGTGGCGTCTGTTGCTAATTTGTATCTTTTTGAACTAAAAGTAATATAATTTAAATATAATTAAACCCCCCCCCCTCCAGTCCTAATGCTGATACTGTTCCAAACGTTTGGAGTAGAAGCGTTCTGTGGTTCTAACCTAGCTATAGTGCTGTTAGTTGAGCTACTTTACGGGTGGGCGGTAATACCTCTCATGTACCTGATGGCTAATATCTTTAAGAACGAGGTGGTCGCTTACACCAGGCTTATCATGCTGTGAGTACTGTTTCTAATTTAAATCTAGTTTCTAGTTTTAATACTGTTATGTTTATTAATTTCAACTCTTAGTGTTACTGAAGAGTGAGGATGCATTACTTTTAAGGTTATATGAATGGGTCTCAATCCCTGAATCCCCATTACATCAACCGTATTTTTGTACGAATCTTCGTTTCACAGTATGTGTCTTTCCTTACAAAATTTACAGAGTAATTGTTTCTGCTTGCCGGCGTTTTCGGTCTGGAAATTAATTTAATTTGGCTGTGCTTGTTAATAGTTAAGTGAATTGACCCAATCAGCTTACACATTGGTTACACAGCCAATTACTCTGCCATGTTATCATGCACTAACTACTAATCCCATTAAGTATCATTAGCTGTAGAAATACAGACAGCACTGTAACTGTAGAGATAATGTCTCGTATTAATTAATTAGTGGGTGTGAGGAAGTAGTTACCTGGGGACCCCGGGCTAGTTATTAGTTGTAATTATATTGCTGGGAAATAAAACCCACTTCCGATTTTAAAACTGTCGTGGAACAAGTTTAAAATTTATGTTAGATAGTAAACAGCTTCAGTTACTGGAATAACCGAATTTTAGGATTCAAAACATACAATCGAGTTTACAACTTTTATAGCTCAATTAGGATTTTTCTTTTTCCATGAACCCTCTCGACATTTTCCCGGCTATGATATAATTTAATAATTATAATAGAATTACACTGTAACACTAACCCACCCCAGTAACTCCACTATTGTAATAATGTCTAACCCACCCCAATATCTCCTCTATTGTAACAATAATGTCTAAACCACCCCCAGCTAATCCACTATTCTAATGTCTAACCCACCCCAGTATCTCCACTATTCTAATGTCTAACCCACCCCCAGTATCTCCACTATTCTAATGTCTAACCCACCCCCAGGAACGTATTGACGGGTACTGGAGCCTCACTAGTGATCTTCATCCTGAGTATCCCGGATCTGGGGCTGGAGAGTGTCGGTAAAACCCTAAAGTGGTTCTTTCTCTTCCTCCCTAACTTTGATTTAGGACAGGCTCTGGGGGATATGTATCTCAACTTCGTAATCAAGACAGCTTGCGAGGTGAGTGTCTGCTTAGTTTCCTGTTATCTTTAAATACCTGGTCACGTGGTCACGTGATCACGTGGTGTAAGAACTAATTATTGTGGACTAATTTGAGTAAGATGAAAAGTAATGCTAGAACTTGGATTAAGATTAGAACTTGCTACTGTTCTAGGATTAAATTATTTAATGAATGTAATAGGAAAATACTTGTACTTTTTAATACATCTTTCTTGTTTCATGGCACATTTTTCTGTCGACACGAATAAAACAGTAGTTACGGTAATGCAAATTTAACAAAAAAATGAAGGTTGGTTTTAATGTTCAAAAAATTCTCATGACATCAGTTTTGATATCAACAGGTAGTTTACAGGTTTTCTTTACGTCCGTACCTGAATGAAAAACATTAAACATCGCAAAGTAAGAGCTATATAGTATATATAGCATTTCATTTTAACATCATGAACATTGAGCATAATAAGGTATTGTCAGTGGGTACTTTAACTCTTATCTCACATCAATCAGGTATCAGTATTTAATGAGTATTAATTCAGTAAACCTCACAACACTTCCTAATCAAAGCCTGTACTAGTTGCTATTAGTTACTAGTTGCTATTAGTTACCAGTTGCTATTAGTTCTGACCTAATAAAGACAGGTGAGAGTGAGATTGTCTGTTTCATTAACAGTTCCAGCTGATCTACCACTGTTCTTCAGTACACAGTCCCCACTGTTCCTCTTGTACTCAACTGCCATGCACCCATCTGTGGAATGGGGTAGTTAGTCCTTTACTCTGTCTTCATATTTATTAGTTTCATCTAATCGTGGTAATACAGTTTGTAAATTGGTTAATTCAAGTCTTTCATAGAAGTAAATGACCTGAAATCTCAGTTAAAATACCATGTGAAGTATCTGATTTAGTCAATATAACTAAAGTAAGAGTCCCTTACCTCTGTTAGCACATGCCATTGCACACTCCTTTATACTACCAATACCACGTAGCGAGGTTATAGTAGATCCTGAGTGGCTCTTGTTGAGATTCGTACAGGAGTTCCACTTAGCGTTATCTGCTTTCCCGATATCTGGGGATTATGTGGATTAGTGAAAGTGAAAGTGAAAGTGAAAGGGATTATGTGGATAAGTGAAGATAACAACAAGAAGTGCACCTATTAAATTGTATCATTTGGATAATAATTGTAAAATATACAAAGAATAATGTTCTGGTGACATTGGGTATTAAATATAGAGATTGATAAATAATCGATGAATAATCGTTTACTTATTTGATGGACAAAGTAATATTTGGTGAGATGAAGGTATCTTACCCCAACAGAGACGGTTAATACTGGAGTAGAAACCGTTGGTATCGAACAGATAACCTCTTCTTTCTCTGAAACACTTGCAGTCTCCCGCGTCCGGACTGAAATGATAGCTGTTATACTACTACTACTACTAGCTGTTATGAACAGTAGTGAACAATTGACTCTCGCCATGTTTAGTCCATCTAACTGATAACCAAGTGTGACTATTACCTTGGTTTTATAGTAAGTGTGATGCTGCCAGTAGAAGGTTGAGCAAGCTTACACCTCCGCAAGCAATCGTACTCTGTCTTGATGTTCTTGATAACACCACCCAGCGGTGTTCCTTCATACCTTACTCCTCTCTTCACACAGTGGTTCCTGCTTAGTCCTGAGGAGGAGGAGGTGTGTTAGTGAAAGTGAAAGTGAAAGTGAAACCCCTTTTTAAACAGTGGTGTGTGTTAGTGTGTAACACTTGGGTGTTTTACTGTTCAATTGTGAAAGTGAAAGTGAAACAATCACCAACCTGCGATGAGTTTCTCAGAAGCGCTCATTACGAGATCAGTCCTGTCCTCCACCAAACTTATCTTAGAGTCCAAAGTTCCGATCTTTGCGTTTACCAAGTTGCTGAATGCGGTCACCGTATTGGTCACCTTATAAGTAATTGTGTTATCATTTCATTAAGTGACTCAACTCACTTGTAAACTTGTTAAAAATCCCCCTGATTTCGAAACGTAATGCGGACTGATTGAAAATGGAGAAATATTGAATACGAGAGTGATAGTAAGTTACCGAGGTGGTCTTGGTTCCCAGGTCAATGATTTTAGAGTTGGTGGAAGCAGTGTAGTCTGTAACTTCCTTTTCAATGTTAGAGAAGTCACCAGAGGGAAGGTCTGTGGTTACGATGATCGCTTCCGAGAGGTCGGTTTCAAACAGCTTTCCTGCACATCTCACCTGAACAAGTAAACACATGGTTAGTGTTGTGTTCAAGTGTTGAGTTACTATAGTAACAGTTACTATAGTAACTACTGTTAGTGAGAGGTGAAATAGTCGGGAAATGGAGATCTATCAACTAGAGGGAAATTTGATAATTCAGTGTGAATCAGAATAAAATTGTAAATGTCATGAGTCATCTATTATTATGAATCCTTATCATGACTCACCCTTAGAGTACACCTAACACCGTACTTAGACCCGGAGTCCAGCCCAGCAACGGATACGACCTGAGGTGAGTTCTGTCCGGAGACAGCAACAGTGACAGTCTTGTCAGTACCGTACAGTTTGTCACTGCCGTTAGAGTCCATCTTGTAGTAGCTCACTAGCAGGGCATCCTTCGTCATTCCGGCTGGTAGCCTCATCCTGATTAGTATACAGTGAGAAGAAATGTAGCGAGTTGAAAGATTATTTGCAGCTTGTTTATTGTGACAGTTAGTAAGTAATAGTTTAAAATTATGATTCTAGAGAGTAGACATGTCAGTAAGTAAGTAAGTATCCAAAGAGCGATCTGTGGGCTGTGATCTGTGTATTAGTGTTGTTTAGTATTGTTGTAATTACACTGGGGTAAAGTTCATTAATATTGCTTTAATTGACGCAATATAATAGTCCATTTTATATACGAGCAGGGCAAAATCGGGAACTTGGTAATCTAGCTAGCCACAGTTGGGGCAGCCTTTACTCTAGTTCTGAAGAATCTCCCTCAGTCTTGCTATTTGAAAAGGAGCACTGACCTGTCAATGTAGACGATAAGTTGCATGGTACTTGTAGTCTTGCTCTCTAGCAGAGGTACATCCGGAGCATAAGGGATTGTTGCGAAGGATAGCTTTACTCTCTCACTTCCTACCCCCTGAGAAGTGGAATATTTAGATCTCTCCTTATCTCTCAGAGAGAGACAGAGAGAGAGAGAGAGAGAGAGAGATCTCTCCTTACCTCTCCTTACCTCACACCATCATCTCTTCTTACCTCACACCATACCCATTAAGAAAACAAACTATTTAACTTGATTTATTCATTCCAGTATTACTATAGCTATTAGCTGTATTACGCTACCTCGTAGAAGGGCTGGATAGTAAAGTCGTAGTAAGTTCCTTGTTCAAGTTCGTCCAGAGTAGCTGTAAGGAGGGATGTCTCCACCTGTCTCTTTGCTGGGAAATGTTATTGTCAGAAACTTTATTTACCTTTGATACTCACAGCTCTTGATTAAGAATTTCGAGCAGTACGGTCTGGTTAGTATACCACTAATTCAATTAACTAATTAATATACCACTAATTGCGGGTAATTGTTACCTTCTCCGTTGATGCTGGCAGTGACAACGTATTTGATATCAGAGAGAGATACCACTTTCTGTTGAGGGGCACTCCACTTCAGGGTCACACTGTTACTGTTGTGACCTGTTGCAAATTAGGTTATTTACTTGATTTGTGAATCAATTAATGAAATATTGTTCCATCGAATGAGAGAAAAAGACTAATAATGATAATACGATAAGTAAGAAGTATCATGACCTGTGACTTGAGGAAGTACAGGAGCGGATGTAGCACCAGTTTTACAGGTAACAACAGCTGAAACTGCACTGTAGCCTATCTCTCTGCCGACCCGGTACGACAGCTCAATCTCGTACTCTGGAGAAATTATTAACTGATAAATGATAAGTTAAAAGTTGTTTATTAACAATCCATTTCTAATCGGATGATCTAATTGCATCTTCCATGATCTACAATAAATAAGTGCTGAAAAGAAGTCGATGAATGGTAACAATAAACAGAGATCTGACCTGTGTTAGGTTTGAGATTTCCAATGTTGACTTTATCAGTGTTTCCCGCAACTGTTTCAGTAGGATAATAATCAAACTCCTTCTCTTCTCCCTCCTTCTGTTCTTCTTTCTCCTTCTTCCACGATGCTCTTATCTTGATAGCAGTGACATGAGAGGTTGGTTCAGTGTTCTGGGCACTGATCAGATCAAACCCTGAGTAGAGGATTCGCTCGCAGACGGCTGCTGGAGGTGCAGCTGGTGGTGCGAAATCTTGTTCTAGGACCTTTCCGTTTCTGTATAATCTGTAAAGGTGTGTGGTTGATAGATTTTGTTTGTTCAGAAGATTTGTAAATACGTGTAGTCTAAAAAGAATCAGCTAAGTTTGGTAGGTTTACAAGTAATGATGACATTTTCCGCGTAGTTACAGCTATGAAGTGAAGGAGAATTATAATGAATAATATTGACAAAATAATCAAAGCACTCTCTATGGTAAAATATAATAGCATACCTAATAACAGCATCTTTCTCGTTGTCATTGTTCACAATGTTATCAAGACGGATGAGGAAGCAATGATCACTGCCTGCGTTGAGTTTAGCATGGGCCAGGAACTTCTTGAGATTATATCCAGCCTGTCCTACCCTCCTCAGATCATTGTACCAGTTCCCGCTCTCAGTGTCCCCGCTGTACTGCCCCTTTCTGTAGAGATCAGCCACGTTCTGTTCCGGCAGCACGTAAAGCTGGTATACAGTAGCGTACTTGTGGTTGAAGATGCACTTGTTGTCTGTGGCAGCACCAATGTCAGACAGTGAGACCTCCGAGAGCTGGTTCGCTTCCTCTGTTACCAGCTCTATTGTCCTGATCTCACGGGCTCTCCGGTCCAGGAATACCTCTGCTTTGTCTTTGTTCCACTTACTTTCAATGTAGTGTCCTAACAGGGCTTCCAATTCGCTTTCATCTGCTTCCCCAGTTTTGAGTGCTGGAAGAAGGCTGGCTACTTCTGCGGTCATTTCGAGTGTGAATGCTGCTAGTCCGGCTTGGAAGGTCAGGAGTTGGCCTTTAATTGAGGAGAACCTGAGGGGAAATTGTCTTATATTAGAAAATTAAAATCTTTAGAGCTGCAGTAATGTGAACATGTTGACTTAGTTACTCATACATACCAACTTCTGAGTGAACACTCAATGCTTTATGTATTGGATTATCCAAATCTGATAAAATAAATTTTGAGAATGATTCAAATAACAAATTTAGAGATCTATACCTGATTGAAGGATCTCTGCCGAGCAGTGTCTTAACTCTCTTCTTCAAATCAGAGAGCTCAGTGAGAATCTCCGTGACTTTGTTTGTCAGATACTCGTTAATCTCGATGATAAGAGCATCAGTTCCATCACAAAAGAATTTAATGGGAGTGAGTTGGTATTTAATAGGGGTGACCTCATCCTTAGCGGCCTTGTTAACCGCGTCGAACACAAACACCGTCTGGTTATAGGTGGCAGGCATGGTGTCTATGATAACATCCCCGTAGAACTTCACTCTTAGGTTCTCCTGGTTGACGAGTGACTTACCGTTAACATCTACAGCAGCTTGTCCCTCAATAGAGAAACTGGGAACAGTGTTTACTGCGATAGATAGACTTCCTCCTACTTCTTCCTTGTACTCCGTCTTCTGAACGTCCTTCTCAAACAGCAGGTAGGCTCTCAACCCGTAGGTAACAGAAGTTATCACGTGTGTTGGCCCGTTGTTACTGTCAATCTTACCACATTGATCCAAATGGTCCTTTGGGGTCTTAATGGGTAGAATATGAGTCATCTTTGTAGATTTGTAGTTCATGGTAACCCTGGCAACGTCAGAAGAGGATGTCTCATCTCTAAGGTAATGTGCACTGCCTCCCACGCTGATGAGTCCCCCCAGGAACTCTAACTTTAAAGAGGCGTCCACGTTCAGTGCGTACGATCTCTCGTTGATGTTGTTCTCCATGTACACATCCACGTTCGAGTATATCGTGTCCATCACATTGACTTCCTTTTTAAGGGTATCTTTTGTCCAGAAAGATGCTCCATTCTGTACGAGCGACTTTCTGGCGTCGTAGAAAGTACCGACAACGACAGTCTCTCCAAGAGCTTCCCTCTCAGTGACCTTGAGTTCCTCGTTAGCTTCAGCCCGTTTAACAAGTCTACCATCCGAGGTCTCCTCACCAGCAACACAGAGTCCTGACCTCCTGTCGTATATCTGGTGCTCATCGCACTGCATCAGCTTGGCTAAGGTCCCCATTCCGTCGCAGGAGTAGTAGTGGCGCGGTGAGACGCTGCTCGCTGCGTAGTTGTACCTCCCGTAGCATTTCTTGCCTTCCTCAGCAGTAACAATACCTGCTAGCAGGCAGCACGCTAACAACACCAACATAGTATCCTCTTATCTTTAGTTATCTGTTGAATATATTATCAGGGAAAAGAAGATTAAAGAACTAAACACAGTAGTTACGAGAGCTCCGTTGAAGTAAATTTATATAGCAGCGTTGTAACAGAGGGGGACAGTGTTGAGGTCTGACACTTCGCGGATCAGATAGTCCCCTCGATTTTCTCGCACCTCTCCGCTCCATTGTTCTCCTTCACAAGCCTGCCAGTTGATAGAGGAGGTGTGAGAAAGTGCGCCTTATGATTCTGACAATTATTATCCTCCCAAGTTACCGAGTGAAGGGTACTCTTGTTTAGAAACACAACAGCTGGCGAGCCCATTGTTTGGAGTTCGTCACGTGACCAGTTGTTGGGGTTGTCACGTGATATTCTCTTGACAGGAGATTTTCCGTTCTTCAGTAAACATCTGGTTGTTGTCGAGATAATAATGAATAAGTCTAGGTAAGCAAAGATTTGCGTGATTTCAGAATAATCATCGTTACAGCCTCACTCAATATAGGTAAACTCAATATAAGTAAAATATAGATAAATACAGGGTGGTAAATACATATAATGCTATAATATGATAACTGAAGAACAAAACATAAAGTTGATAGCCAACATTAAACAGTAAACACTATCTTTCCCGGGCGATAACACTTAAACTCAGATCCTAATTTTAGCAGCTTACACTTTTATATTATTATGTTTACTCTTTTATATTGTAATGTTTCTGGGGCAAAGTTTGTAGTGATCCCGTTTATTACGACAAGGAAAAGGCTCTTATAAGGAAAAGGAATTGTTCTACTTGTAACAACATAGTAGTGTAAAAGTATTACTCTTTTATATCTGAAGATAACAAAATAATAATTGAATGGTTTCAATATTATGAATTTTCTTTAAAATATTCACTCTCTTATTACGTTAATTTCAGAAATCGATATTCACGAAGATTATGTGTAAAGCAGAGAATGTGGTCTACCAAACGAACTTTTTGGCCTGGGAGAACCCTGGCATCGGCAGGTAAGACATTACTAAACTACTACTATACTGAATTGCTATAAATAATTAGGTATATATATAAGCTCTGGTTGTATAAATACATAACCCTAAAAATGAAATCAGTTTACTGCTTGTTTTGTTTTCCTTACAATATGTAGTTTGCTATACTTATTTACTGTGAGAAATCACAATATTATTAATATTATGTTTGGGCGGAAGCACAGAAATAATTCAAATTGTTGACACTGATAAGTCAGTCACGTAATTAACAACAGTCCCTGTGTCACAATAGCAAGTGTTTTGGTCGAGTGATACTGAAATATCCGTGAGCAGGAAATGTTTGTTGGCAGCCTGATATATCCACAATACTAGAACCATTATAATGAAAGTTGCTGCTACTATAAACAATTCGACTGGACAAATCTGCGCCGGTTTTTATTAGATAGTTGAGATCCAGTCGGTCATTGAAATAAGATCAATTAATCAATTAACTAATCGATTAATCAATTAACTAATTACCTAATCACCAGGTACGTTGTGTGGCTGGCTATGCTAGGGTTCGTGTTCCTAGGACTGGTAGTACTCCTAGAGTATATCAGCATCAACAAGTACAAACAGAAGCTATCACAACCGAAACCTTTCGTTCCTGATCCTTACGAGAATGAGGACGTGAAGCGAGAGAGGTGAATAAGAGTCATAAACTAGTCGATTAGTAATTAATTAATTGGTTTAAGCTAAGTAGATAATGAACCAATCAGGGTTATGAAGTTCAGTTTACTACTATTAATAGTTTCTAGTAATCCGTACCATCAAACGGGTTTTCACTATTATTAGTTAGATAGAGTGATAACTGATAAAATTGCATGTTTAAATACGATATAGTAAAGTATCTACTAAAACTAATCCACACTTAACCCCCCCCCCCCCCTAAACTCCTCGTTCCTCAGACAGGAGGTGCTGAACTCCACACTTTACCCCCCCCCCCTTAACTCCTCGTTCCTCAGACAGGAGGTGCTGAACTCCACACTTTACCCCCCCCCCCCCCCTTAAATCCTCGTTCCTCAGACAGGAGGTGCTGAACTCCACACTTTACCCCCCCCCCCTAAACTCCTCGTTCCTCAGACAGGAGGTGCTGAACTCCACACTTTACCCCCCCCCCCCCACCTCCCCCTAAACTCCTCGTTCCTCAGACAGGAGGTGCTGAACTCCACACTTTACCCCCCCCCCCCCCCCCTAAACTCCTCGTTCCTCAGACAGGAGGTGCTGAACTCCACACTTTACCCCCCCCCCCCACCTCCCCCTAAACTCCTCGTTCCTCAGACAGGAGGTGCTGAACTCCACACTTCACCCCCCCCCCCCTAAACTCCTCGTTCCTCAGACAGGAGGTGCTGAAGTCCACACTTTACCCCCCCCCCCCACCCCCCTAAACTCCTCGTTCCTCAGACAGGAGGTGCTGAACTCCACACTTTACCCCCCCCCCCCCCCCCCTAAACTCCTCGTTCCTCAGACAGGAGGTGCTGAACTCCACACTTTACCCCCCTAAACTCCTCGTTCCTCAGACAGGAGGTGCTGAACTCCACACTTTACCCCCCCCCCCCCTAAACTCCTCGTTCCTCAGACAGGAGGTGCTGAACTCCACACTTAACCCCCCCCCCCCTCTCTAAACTCCTCGTTCCTCAGACAGGAGGTGCTGAACTCCACACTTTACCACCCCCCCTAAACTCCTCGTTCCTCAGACAGGAGGTGCTGAACTCCACACTTTACCCCTCCCCCACCTCCCCCTAAACTCCTCGTTCCTCAGACAGGAGGTGCTGAACTCCACACTTTACCCCCCCCTAAACTCCTCGTTCCTCAGACAGGAGGTGCTGAACTCCACGTTTAACCACCCCCCCCCCCCCCTAAACTCCTCGTTCCTCAGACAGGAGGTGCTGAACTCCACACTTTACCCCCCCCCCCTAAACTCCTCGTTCCTCAGACAGGAGGTGCTGAACTCCACACTTTACCCCCCCCCCCCCCTAAATTCCTCGTTCCTCAGACAGGAGGTGCTGAACTCCACACTTTACCCCCCTAAACTCCTCGTTCCTCAGACAGGAGGTGCTGAACTCCACACTTTACCCCCCCCCCCCCCAAACTCCTCGTTCCTCAGACAGGAGGTGCTGAACTCCACACTTTACCCCCCCCCCCCTAAACTCCTCGTTCCTCAGACAGGAGGTGCTGAACTCCACACTTTACCCCCCCCCCCCCTAAACTCCTCGTTCCTCAGACAGGAGGTGCTGAACTCCACACTTTACCCCCCCCCCCCCTAAACTCCTCGTTCCTCAGACAGGAGGTGCTGAACTCCACACTTTACCCCCCCCCCCCCCCCTAAACTCCTCATTCCTCAGACAGGAGGTGCTGAACTCCACACTTTACCCCCCCCCCCCCCCTTAACTCCTCGTTCCTCAGACAGGAGGTGCTGAACTCCACACTTTACCCCCCCCCCCCCCCCCTAAACTCCTCGTTCCTCAGACAGGAGGTGCTGAACTCCACGTTTAACCACCCCCCCCCCTAAACTCCTCGTTCCTCAGACAGGAGGTGCTGAACTCCACACTTTACCCCCCCCCCCCTAAACTCCTCGTTCCTCAGACAGGAGGTGCTGAACTCCACACTTTACCCCCCCCCCCCTAAACTCCTCGTTCCTCAGACAGGAGGTGCTGAACTCCACACTTTACCCCCCCCCCCCTAAACTCCTCATTCCTCAGACAGGAGGTGCTGAACTCCACACTTTACCCCCCCCCCCCCCCCTAAACTCCTCGTTCCTCAGACAGGAGGTGCTGAACTCCACGTTTAACCACCCCCCCCCCCCCCTAAACTCCTCGTTCCTCAGACAGGAGGTGCTGAACTCCACACTTTACCCCCCCCCTCTAAACTCCTCGTTCCTCAGACAGGAGGTGCTGAACTCCACACTTTACCCCCCCCCCACCCCCCCTAAACTCCTCGTTCCTCAGACAGGAGGTGCTGAACTCCACGTTTAACCACCCCCCCCCCTAAACTTCTCGTTCCTCAGACAGGAGGTGCTGAACTCCACACTTTACCCCCCCCCCCCCCCCCTTAACTCCTCGTTCCTCAGACAGGAGGTGCTGAACTCCACACTTTACCCCCCCCCCCTAAACTCCTCGTTCCTCAGACAGGAGGTGCTGAACTCCACGTTTAACCACCCCCCCCCCCTAAACTCCTCGTTCCTCAGACAGGAGGTGCTGAACTCAACACTTTACCCCCCCCCCCCCCCCCCTAAAATCCTCGTTCCTCAGACAGGAGGTGCTGAACTCCACACTTTACCCCCCCCCACCTCCCCTAAACTCCTCGTTCCTCAGACAGGAGGTGCTGAACTCCACACTTTACCCCCCCCCCTCTCTAAACTCCTCGTTCCTCAGACAGGAGGTGCTGAACTCCACACTTTACCCCCCCCCCCCTAAACTCCTCGTTCTTCAGACAGGAGGTGCTGAACTCCACACTTTACCCCCCCCCCTAAACTCCTCATTCCTCAGACAGGAGGTGCTGAACTCCACACTTTACCCCCCCCCCCCCCCCTAAACTCCTCGTTCCTCAGACAGGAGGTGCTGAACTCCACACTTTACCCCCCCCCCCCCCCCCTAAACTCCTCGTTCCTCAGACAGGAGGTGCTGAACTCCACACTTTACCCCCCCCCCCCCCCCCCTAAACTCCTCGTTCCTCAGACAGGAGGTGCTGAACTCCACACTTTACCCCCCCCCCCCCCCCTAAACTCCTCGTTCCTCAGACAGGAGGTGCTGAACTCCACACTTTACCCCCCCCCCCCCCCTCCCTAAACTCCTCGTTCCTCAGACAGGAGGTGCTGAACTCCACACTTAACCCCCCCCCCCCCCCTAAACTCCTTGTTCCTCAGACAGGAGGTGCTGAACTCCACACTTTACCCCCCACCTCCCCCTAAACTCTTCGTTCCTCAGACAGGAGGTGCTGAACTCCACACTGACTGACTACACAGTAAGGATAGAGAACCTAACCAAGGTGTACGACTCTGGTAAAAACACTCTCACTGCTGTAGATCACCTCTGTCTGGGAATACCTGCGAAGGAAACCTTTGGGTTGTTAGGGGTAAACGGAGCTGGCAAAACTAGCACCTTCAAGATGCTCACTGGTGAGAGAAACTACCTACCTATGTTGAGAAACTAGTGTTTATTTGTTTTGTTTTTAAAACTAATCCAAAGCCACTGCTTATGATTTATTGATTAATACTTTAATAGTGCAGTTATTCACTGACTCTACTACACAGGTGACCTACCAATATCGAGTGGTTCAGCTACTATCTGTGGCTATGACGTCACAACTGACATTAACTCTGCTAGAAAGTTTATAGGATACTGCCCTCAGTTTGATGCCTTTATCGAGTGCATGACTCCTAGGGAGCATCTGGTGAGAGTGTTAAAATAACTCTTCAAATTAAGATGTTATGATCTCTTTAGTTTAAAGATGGTTTTTATAAAATGAATTGTGAAATGATTAACAGAGTAGTTAATTATATAATGTGCAGATGATGTATGCCCGACTGAGAGGAGTTCCAGAAGAAGCAGTAGTAGCCATTGTAGAGCGAACACTGAACGAGCTCAGCTTACTGACTAACGGTAACGCTGACAACCACGCCTCAAAACTCAGGTTATTAAACGATATTATCCTAACTCATGACTGTGGTTAGTGTTGAAAGTATAAAGTTCACTGATTTAATAGGACCCCTAAACTAACTCTCCCTCCCCTCTAGTGGTGGCAATAAGAGGAAGTTAGCTACAGCTATAGCAGTAATCGGCTACCCACCCGTAGTGTTCCTTGACGAGCCCACAGCGGGGCTAGACGTGGCTGCACGCCGCGCGCTCTGGGAGGTGCTGTGTAAAGTCCGGAAACTGGGAACTGCTATCATACTTACTTCACACAGGTTATTACTGATAACACTCTTAGACAATACTAGATAAGTTATCATCCAATTTCGGTTAATGTTACCTTTGGCCGGAGGTGGTTTATTTGTTGGTGACAGTAAGACATAAGATTTTAACTATTGAAGACCCCTTCACTACTGCATGATCCTTACTATCCTGGTTAAATTTATTACTAATATGATATCTTCACGTGTGTTTCAAGTTTAGACTCTAATTTATAGGCTCAACCAGTGTGTAACACTCTTTTAACGGCGAAATAAAGCCACTTTACACTTTACACGCTTTAGTGACATCATCCTGTCTACACTGCAACTAGGATATGAACTAACAGTTTCACTGTTATACACAACTATTATACACGGCGCAGTGTGTCCTGTATTCTTGTATTGTCCCTTGTAAAACTCAACACAAGGTTTAACATACAGTAGATATCATGATGTCACCAACCATGCAGATTCGCTTCTTCTCTTCTTTCTGTATTTTTTTCGTTTTTGTCAACTTTTATATCACTAATTTTTATCATATATAACAGATATTACTACTAAAACCCAAAATCAAAACATTGAGCTCGTGATGAGTGCCTTCTGAATTTACTAAATTTCTGGATCATGGACAATCTAGCTTACTTTAGTGAATATTCAATAACTCTGTGCGATAGGTACGATAAATAAAGCTGTCCAATAGTAACAATAGACTGTTAGCTTCTCCTGAATTTAGAATCAAAGGATCAGTTAATCAAAGGAAGTGTAGGTCAGAGTAACAATGCATGATTTAATGCGTCCTATAATAGCATAGAATAGCTCTGAGTGTTGGTGGTTTGGTAAAATAATGGGGAATAAACTTCGCTTGTGAGTCTTATTGCTCAGGATACTATTGTTAAATCAGGTGTGGTATTGTTGTTATCTCCAACTCACAGAGTAGACTGATCTATTTAATTAGAGTATTGTCTCCCCCATTGTAGTGCAATATAAAGTTGTCTTGTTAGCTCAATAACCCCTCCTCAAGCAACTCCTCCGCAAGTAACCCCTCCTCGGCTATCTGACCTGGTTAAGTGTTCTCTAATTAAGTTAATACAATGAACATATTCCTTCATTTGTTATAACCCTGGTTCAATAGATGCCGTCAGAAGTGGAAAGTAGCGGAGCTTAGTGATTTTCAGCGTGTAAAAAGGAACATCTCACTATGAAGGATTCTAAATTGTAAATTATAGTGACCACTAAATTTTAGTTTATTATAAAATAAGCCCAGTAGGTGATGGGTTAATATCTACCGGCTACCCCTTTGAAGTAACAAATTTCTGTTATATCAAGTTAACATAATATGTGAATGTTATGAACAAATCAGCTTTATAATTATGTTATTCAAGTTATTATATGTTATTTAAGTTATTATATGTTATTTAAGTTATTATATGTTATTTAAGTTATTTTATGTTATTTAAGTTATATTTCAGTATGGAGGAGTGTGAAGCGTTGTGTACGAGATTAGCTATCATGGTTAACGGTCAGCTCAAGTGTATAGGATCACTACAGGTACCAGTGCAGTGGTTATAATTCTTATTAAGTTAGACATAATATTACATTAGTATTAGTTGGCAGTTCATAGCTGTATTGTCATTTATACCATACAGAGGAATGTTTGGCAGGTTATTATATCTTTATATAATATCCAATATATTATTTAGCTGTTCACTACAGATTGATGGTTATTATCTACTAATGAGCTATTCGCTAATTGGTTATCATCTACTAATGAGCTATTTGCTAATTGATTTACTTTCAGGAGTTGAAATCAAAGTATGGTGCGGGCTACAACGTACAAGTTAAAGTTAAGTCAGATTCTAACGGACAACCAGAGACTACTCAAGTACAGGGCTTCATGAGACTACACTTCCCAGAGGCTAAACTAGAGGTCATTACTTTTCTAACGTGGTATTTCTAAATCCAATGTGGTATTTTGTCCTATCAACAAAACCTGAATTTGACAAATAGTTGTGTTCCACAAACCACATCTAAAAAACTACGGTACAAATATTTTCTACTTTGTTTTTTAAAGTTTTGAGTTATTACAAAGTGCAATAATAATTCCCAAGTTTGCGCAGCCGTGCAGCTGTCTAAACACCGCTAGCCAATAACTCTGAAGTGAGCCGGGGAAGTTGCTAAGTTGCTAAGTTGACTAATTGGAGCGAGGCGTGTGTCAGTCATTGGGCCGCATTTTCCAATATCCTACTGTAGTACACACTACTACTAGTGCAGTGTGTACTGAAGTAATTTGTTATATATTCATTATCCTCTACCAGGCAGGAATTTGGAGGTGCAAACTGCTGGAATACGTGGAAATTTAATTACAACTGCGTACTAGATAATAAATGAGAAATTGAAGGGACAATAATTTGGTTCCTTGTATATGGATTTTTTTTTTTTAAAATCTAGACACTTATTTTACTTCGGAGTATTCCAACAGCCATATTGTTACACAAGTGCAACCAGCCAATTACAGGAAGCCGAAGGATATATATTAATACAAAATAGAAGTTTGGTGTTCTCCAAGAATAATGTATAATGTATAATGTATATAGGGAATTGCCCGTGTATTTCTACATCTCCAATATTCCAACATGTAAAAGTAATTAATTAATTAATTAAAAGTAATACCCTGCAGGAGGAGCACCACGGGTTACTACAGTACATAATACCTAAAGCTTACAACGTCACTTGGGCAGCTATATTCTCTCTGTTAGAACGACACAAAGATCAAATAGGAATACAGGTTAATATTTGTTGTGTAAAATTGTGTGCAATTCTATTTTTGAGGGGGAAAGAAAATAATTTTTATGTAAGAAGTCAAATGTTTTGGTAAAATTTTAAGTATTTAATAATTACTGTTAATGTATAATATAAAAGTTTGTTTGTTCAGGATTATTCAGTAAGTCAGACCACGCTGGAACAAGTCTTCTTATCCTTCGCTAAATCGCAACGAGGAGAGGACGACAGCATTGAAGCTCCTGAGCTGCCAGTACAGGACGATCTATTTTAACACTACTAGTTTAATTAGTTTATATCTAACTAGTTTATATTTGGGATATTGCCATGATTATGAAACATTATGTAGTATCTAATACTAAATAAATTTGATATTATGTAGTATGTAACTACACTTTGTTTATTTGTAATTAAGAAAACATATGTTTTCCCGTGTTGGTTTAAGTTTACCTTTACGATCAGATGATTTTTATTTGTTTGGTATTGATTCAGTGGGAATGGGATAGCACATGTCAATAATGTTGTTGTAACCGGTATTGTATGTAGGTAAATGTGTATTTATTTTAATTAGATTGATCTGTATTTGTTTAACTCTACTGTTAAATAATGATTGAATATTATAATCATTTTCTTTGACATTTTTATTATGTCTGTCTTATGTATTAACGATCTTTTGTATATTAATCGAGTGCTGTTTTGTACATTTTAACGAAATGACGAGGTAAAGAGGAGATTTGATTGGGGTCACGGTATGTACGATATGTACGGTATGTACCTGACCTTGTATATTGTTTGTAACTGATTATTTAAACTTTGTGTGAATACAATATGTTTGTTTATTTTCTAACGGGGGCTGATTGTAGTGAAATCATATTAATTTTATATTAACGTCTTCAGTACACTACGTATTATAGCTTTATAGTGCGCTACGTAAAAGTACGTCCTGTAGTTTATAGCTATTAGGACTGGCCTCCTGGTAATTTACTACGAGATCGTCTGTAGCCGCAATTTCAGTGTTAAATTAGCATCTAGAGCTAACCCACGTAGATAATTGTCCCATTGGTACAGTTTTTGTGTACAAAAAGGAAACCACTTACCAATTAAGCTACTACATAGATAGAATTCTGAGTTGTAAAATCTTGGCATCATATTGCCTCTTAGAAATTAATGGATTATAGATTGATTGATTGGCTTCCAATTGGCATGGGTCCAAGGTATTCTGCATCAACAAACAAACGGAGTTGAGAGCCAGCTCAAGAAGTCACGAGACAACATCTGCTTGTGTTGGAGGAGGTGTTCTAGCAAAATTGTAAACGAAATTGTAAAAATGTCGCTTTATGTCGCGCGAGGTTTATTTCTCAGAATTGTAAAAATGTCGCTATTATTTGGATCCATAAATAACGAAAAGTTACGTGCGTGCGCGTATTTTTATGAACGGTAAATTGTTACATATTGTAAATCTGCTGAGCCATTCGTAGCTCGGCGGTTAAGTCGCCGATTCCAAGAAGCATACCCCGGATCGATCCTCGGCGGAGGTCATTTTTTTGGCATTTGTTAATTGCTTTACTACAATTATCAGCAGAGCACCTTAGTAATACACTTCATCAGATAAATTATACTGTTCGAACTTCAGCTAGAGAAGGATTGCCTTCAAGGATTTGTCCGGGGAAGGCCTCGTTCACACTGGAACATGTCAAATGGTAAACGGAGTTAACTGGTAATGTTTGTTTTGTTTATGGCTAGAATTTAGAATGGAATCAATGTGATCAGGATCCAGAGTTAATTACCTGCTAGGATTAATAAGTCACTTTCTACAGTTGAAGAGGTCACTTTTTCAAACTTTAAATGAAGAAATTGGCTCGGAAGTCGGAACTTCATTCCTTATAGATTCATCACTTTCAGTTAATAACGACGGTGTACCATGAAACCAGTTAAATAACTGTATAGAAAGACCAATCCACCGGAAATAAATGAACCAGATTTCACAGAACTATATACCGACTCAATAAAATTAAAACCATTTGATAAGGTTTGAGTCGAACTTTTTTGTGTCTGCTAAAATATATACAAGGAATACAAGGAATAAAGGAATATAAATTTCAAATCTCAAGTTACATTGCAACAGCAACTGACTAGCATCGATAGCCTGAACCCAGACACACAGGATATCAGGAAAACTCTGGAATCACTCCATGGGACGACGTACCTGCACTGGATTCCCGGCCACTCCAACATTCCTGGGAACGAATACGCTGACCAAGCAGCAAAGGAAGCAGCACAACTCCCGGACCTGGGCCAAGGACAGTCTACAATCTCATACGGAGTAGCCAGAGCAGTAGCGAAGGCTCACATCAAGGATAGCGACCCCCAACACCACCTGGTCTCCCAGACTTACAAGGGATACAACAGAAAAAGAGCGGACAGTAAAATAGAGAGCAGGAAAGACGGAGTGCTGCTAGCACAATACAACTCAGAGCAGGCCATTGCCCTCACCTGTCCCACTACAAAAATAGGATCGACTCTTATACAAAGAGTGCAACTTGCCCCCGTTGCGGAGAAGAAGAAGAAACAGTACCACACTGGATTCGGTGCCCTGCAACGATCAGGACGAGAGAAGAAATCTTCGGAAAATCTGACTTAAACTTAGACATACTAACCACCAACCCGATAGAAATCCTGGCGTTTGCTAAGAAGACCTTGCTTGAGGGACCCTTAGACGCCTAGCCCATCACCACCACCACAGCAACTGTCAAGATAATAAAAATAATAATAAAATAACTCGCCCCTGTCCATAATAATAATCGACATCTTGATTGACTTCACTACTCCAGACAGTATTGATTATCTATGTAAACTTGCGCACGCACCTACCTTTTTGCAATATTTAGAATCAAATTTGTCCGCATAATCATAGTTTTGAAAAGCGACATTTTTACAGTTTTGAGAAGAAAACATCTACTGTTGTGTTGTTTACTACCATGACTTATGTAAGGCGCGAGCAATAAAATTATTGTAATGAATGCGCAAACAACAAACAACCGAAATTCCGACGCGCGCGCTCATTATATATATAGCTAGTCACGCGACGGGCTGCATGGCACATATAATAAAGTAGGTAAGAGTAAAGTAGAGTAAAGTAAAATTCATGACATCACATCATCACACATGTCTACAAAATATCATCGCACTACACACTATGTGAAAAAATATTTAATAAATATTCCTTGCAACATTAATTATTTATCAAATACAATATTTAAAATCAATTTTATCAAAAATGCATTATCCTATTGTTATGTGTATTGCAGTATAGTAAAAGGCTTTGTAGGTATTTTCTGCTAGATATGATAGCGACATCTTTATTTTGGACCGTAGAATTTATTTAAACTGGTCACGACATAGTTAAACTAAGTTTTTTCCGGTTTAAAACCGATTTTGTTTAAAATAGGCCAAAAAACCATATTTTTGATATTTTAGCAAGTTAATGGTGTTGGTGTATCGAACATTTTTTATAAAACTGCATAAGCAATGAAATTAAAAAACTAGACGCACTAGACACTGTAAAAATTAAGCTATCATTACCAAATTTCTTTGATCAAAATTTTAAAATAATGGTAAATATTTGTTGTATCACGTTGCGACCCCCACGGTCGTTTCACTACGATACAGGGGGAGCCGCGCACTCGTGCGCGGCGGGTCATACAACGTACTATGACAAAAATTTGCGCTTTTTGCACGTACTAAACTTTTTGTAATTAAATTTCAATGGAAAATTCTCGCACACAACTCTATTAAAAAAACTAATTGAAATGCATTTAAAATTTTGTATAATTACCGCCGAAAATTATTTTGAAGTGAAACTTAAATTTTAAGTAAGCTGCGCATATTTTCGCCAATTTACACCATTTATATTATGAAAATCGAGCGCTAAATGCTAATATAAAGGCAATTCTATCAATTTTTTTCACAACAAAACTTAGGCTTTGTTGGTAAGGTTATGTGCACTATAAACACCTGTTGCCTCCTATTTTCATGTATTCTCATTGATGTGGAGTCCTCATCCATACTAATACCAAATGTTTCTCTTTCGTCCCTCAAAAGTCCGAGCGTACTAAATCACTCTACAGTCGATCTTCGAGATTGTTCTAAAAGTTGAAACCAACCTTCAATCGATGTATTTTCGGACGCTGATTCCGAATTCAGGTAAAAAGCTCCCCTACGAGATATTAGGCGAAAAACTGTATCGATCACGTGGAACGACGAAATATGGAAGTAAGTTCTAATCTCGTTAGGGATAGAGTTTCAGCATATGTATTTTGTTGAGGAATTGGGTTCGGTTTTTGGGTTGGGGTCAGAATAAAGGGATATGTTTCGAATAGTCTTCAGGACCAGCAAGAGCAGGGTTGAAAAAGTCCGGTGAACAGTCGAGTGTAGAGTGGATTAATATCATCTCAAAATTTGAACTCTGTAATGCAGCATACTTTTTAGCTTCGCCATTCTTCATCGCGATATGTTAATACTAAATTGGTACCTCTACAATTACACTGTTAGAGCATCAGAGATGTACGTATGAGTCGTCGAAGTTAAAGAAACAAAATTCTTTTGAAATACATTCAATGTTAAGACAGAATTTTTCTTCAATGACCAATCAGTGAGCTAACTGTCGAAGGCAAAAGGTATGATTGAGGTACTGAATGCTAGATTACCGAAGAAAGCTTTGATAAACAGACTGAAAATCATAAAATTAATTATCAATGGCCAGGTAGCGCAGTTGGTTAGAACGCCATATTTGCAAATCGTGAGGTTGCGAGTTCAAATCCCACTGTCTGCCTGGTCGTGAGGTGAGCGTCGTTGACGTGGCCCCCCGGTCTACTCAGCCGAATACTCGAGAAATCTGGGTGAGGGTTAAATGAGGAGCTGCACATTGCAGCAATTGTCTCGGCCGAAGAAAGTATGGTACACACTACCTTTAAACCGTCACTGGCCAAAATAGATCCTTCGGCTTCCTGTAATTGCAGGTTACACTTGGTGTGTAACAACCAATTAACAGTGAATACACTGAAGTAAAATAAGTGTCTTGATTAAAAAAAAGAAGACGAGATTTTTGTAGATTTTTGAAGAAAAGCATTTCTGCCTTCTCCTTGACCTAAATTTCGTGTTTTTGACTGAATTTTTAACCCAGTGACCATCAAGTGAGGTCCCGATGAAATGGACTCAGTTGCCACAAGGTACTGGAAGCTGTTTACTGAAGACTACATTTGAGGAAGGAAACTTTTGAAAATGTCCTGTCGGTAGGACATATTCAGATTTCAGCTTCCAGCAGCCCAAATTTCACTGTTTTTACTGAATTTTTCTTGAATGACCATCTAGGAAGGGGACTGAGGATGGCACAAGACACAATTGATGTACTGAAAGTTTTATTTCCAAAGAAAGCTTTGATAAACGGAAATCATCAGAATAGAAGAAGAGATTTTGGAAGAGAAGCTTTTCTCAATGAAACAATTCTAGAAATTACGAGTGCCCTGAAGGAGCACAGTAGCTATAAAATTTAATTTTATAGCACAGTTTTACAGAATTAAAAAGATGGTAAAACAATTCATAAACTAATATTCTGCCGGCACCTTACCTAAATTTCAGTGTTTTTGACTGAATATTGAATTGTCCATGACCGATCAGCAAGATCGGTGAAAGTGACACAAGTTGCCATCAAGGTACTGGAAGCTGTTTATCTGAACAAAACTTTGATGGAAGGAAACTTTTGAAAATGTCCTACTGGTAGGACATTTTCAGATTTCAGCTTCCCGCGGCTCAAATTTCACTGTTTTGACTGAAATTTTCTTGAATACAATCTAGAAAGGACTGAGGATGGTACAAGACACAATGAGATACTGAAAGGTTCTATTTCCTAAGATAGCTTTTGATAAATGGAAATCATCAGAATAGAAGACGAGATTTGGGTAGATTTTTGAAGAAAATTTCCCGCGGCCCAAATTTCGGTGATTTGACTATGATGTGATATAAAATTTTGATACAGCAGCAGTGGTATTGATTTTAATTCTGTGTCATCATAGCAGGAGTCTTGTTTAGCTTGATAAGATATTTCAGATTGCTGTAACATCATAAGCAAAATTATAATAGATCAATGGAATGTTTTAAATTCTAATTTCAAGAGTATACTGTTATATGTAGATTCTCAGCTTCCTCAGTTTAACCAGCTTTAGAAAATCATTGATCAGTGTATGATTTAAATCAATGATCGTTATTGTGTTTAACATACTAACATATTATGATATATGACAATTTAAAGCTGTAATCCTTCTTGTGCAATTGTACCTACATATTATAATAATCCTTTAAATTGTGTTATACAAATATTCACTTGACACTCTGTGGACAGTTTTTGAACTGCCCACTGAATTTATTACGCATTAAAACCCTCCTTATAATATTCTCCTCTGGTTCTCTCGGGCAAAGGTTGTCTTACCGTTTGCTAGTTAACTACTGTGAAACATATCTCAAGTATAAATAGTAGCATTTAGAACGTGGCCAAATGAGTAGCTATTTGTTTTTGTAGTATTTTTGTATATAACAATGTACATCATGTTAGGAAAAAGACCGGAGGCTATTGCACTTGGCTTGTACAATTCTTCAGCTCTGGAATATTGCCAAGTTTTATTCTCTTTTAACTGATAAGCTCAGCTGAAAAAGGGTGGAAGCTTGCTCGTACCATGATGAGTTCTAATTCCGCTGAAAGTCATGGCATTAGGTTCCTAATATCCGGACATATGATAATATTATTAAGTTAAAACTCAAACCTTCTCCAAGTTTCTATCATGTATGTTACTTTGTGTTACTTCTACCAGTCTACCGTACAAGGAAACCGGCTTCATACTACCAGTGTCAGTCCTACCACCTCGTACACAACCCTTCACCGGCGGGTATGGAATTTGACACCGGACAAATTAACTCTTATTAGTTCTGTCATGGGTTCAACCCATGATGGGTTGCTTGTTTTGCTCCAGATTTTAATTTGTTTTTTTGGCTCAAGTTCTGAACTTGTTGATGGAAAAATAGTTATTGTAGTTAGTAATTGATCCTGGGGGGATAGAATCGCAAACAAAGTAAAAATGGTTGTAGTTGATTGTAATTGAATTAAAGAAAGTAACATATCGATGTAAAACAGCTCTCATATAACTAAAATACTGGACATTTAAACTGTTAAACATAACTTCACATTCACACACTAACTCTATTAGATTAGTATTGTAATATAAAGTCTGTACTCTTTAGGAGGTAGCTTATTAAACACTTTCAGTTTGTTATTGTTGATCACCATCTGTTTACCTTGACCACTGCATTTAACCTGTGATCTAATTAAATATTCTAACGTATCTGGCCAGAGTAAGAGTCCAGAGCACATGGCGTGTTCAGTCAAATTCTGCTAACTTGTGCCTGCCCTAACCAGTCCGAGCATTTTTTCAGCCTCAATTCTTTGTCGCCATTGATTTTATTCAAATTTCCTTTTGTATAATTCTGTATTATCTTGAACGTTTCAAATCAAATCACTCTACTAACCACACACTATTAGGATGGTGCACGGCACGTTAAGAAACATAAAGGATGTGGAGCTACATCTAGATGCTATCCTGGTGGGAGCAGCAGTCACAGGACTCTACCTCTGGTGGAGAGCTTGTGATAGCAAACACAGGATGGTCGTACCTTCTCCTTGCTCCTTACCTGTACGTATATAGTCCCTTCTCCTTGCTCCTTACCCGTACGTATATAGTCCTTTCTCCTTACTCCTTACCTGTACGTATATAGTCCCTTCTCCTTCCCTTACCTGTACGTATATAATAGTCCTTCCCTTGCTCTCTGACCCGTACGTATAGAGGCCCTTCTCCTTGCTCCTTACCCGTACGTATATAGTCCTTTTCTCCTTACTCCTTACCTGTACGTATATAGTCCCTTCTCCTTGCTCCTTACCTGTACGTATATAGTCCCTTCTCCTTGCTCCTTACCTGTACGTATATAATAGTCCCTTCTCCTTGCTCCTTACCCGTACGTATATAGTCCCTTCTCCTTACTCCTTACCTGTACGTATAAGTTATATAGTCCCTTCTCCTTCTCATTACCTGTACGTATATAGTCCCAATCTCCTTGCTCCTTTAACCCGAACTACATAGTCCCTTCTCCTAGCTCCTAACCCGTACGTATATAGTCCTTCTCCTTGCTCCTTACCCTGTACGTATATAGTCCCTTCTCCTTGCTCCTTACCTGTACGTATATAGTCCCTTCTCCTTGCTCCTTACCCGTACGTATATAGTCCCTTCTCCTTGCTCCTTACCCGTACGTAAGATATCACTTCTCCTTCTCCTTACCCGTACGTATATAGTCCCTTCCCTTGCTCCTTACCTGGACGTAGATATCCCTTCCTCCTTGCGCCTACCTGTAAGTATATATAGTTCCCTTTCCTTGCTCCTTACCTGTACGTATATAGTGTCTTCTCTCCCTTGCTTCCTTACCTGTACGTTTATAGTCCCTTCTCCTTGCTCCTTACCTGTACGTATATAGTCCCTTCTCCTTGCTCCTTACCTGTACGTATATATTCCCTTCTCCTTGCTCCTTACCTGTACGTATATATAGTCCATCCTCCTTGCTCCTTACCTGTACGTATATAGTATCTTCTCCTTGCTTCCTTACCTGTTACTAATAGTCCCCTTCTCGCTTGCCCTTACCTGTACGTATATAGTCCCGTCTCCTTGCCCCTTACCTGTACGTATATAGACCCTTCTCCTTGCTCCTTACCCGTACGTATATAGTTTTTTCTCCTTGCTCCTTACCTGTACGTATATAGTCCCTTCTCCTTGCTCCTTACCTGTACGTATATAGTCCCTTCTCCTTGCTCCTTACCTGTACGTATATAGTCCCTTCTCCTTGCTCCTTACCTGTACGTATATAGTCCCTTCTCCTTGCTCTTACCCGTACGATATCTACAATCCCTCCTCCTTGCTCCTTACCCGTACGTATATATAGTTTCTTTAAGTGCGCAGACAACATACAAATTTGTGCAGATAGGATTCAATGAATCCTATCAGGATTCATATCAGTCGGTTTGACAAACATTTGGGCGTTGCAGTTTTCCAATTGTTCTAGAATGTTCACTGAGGGTTCCACCGCGTCCCAGTGTTAAATTACAGCCCGATAACCTGATCTAGTTAACATTAAAATACCAGTCTTAAAAGAACCTGGTGGTTGGTGTTCCTTGTTCCAGCCAGCTTATCATATTAGTAATATCATGTAATACATTAGTTATATCCATGTAATATATTCTCTTTATCACGCCGGGCTTGTTATGGTCCTATACTGGGTTTTTCACATACCTCCAACACTTTGTGTACGGTGGGGTATGATGGGTGAGTGAAGTTAGCTGTTAAGGGGTATTGTGTGGTATTAAGTATCTGCTATATCGTGTGACTTTACAACTAGCCAAGTGCCACGCCCTTGCCACGCCCCTGATGGTAAGGACATGTTACTGCACTTTGCCTAACCTCTAATATTTGCAGGTGGACGGTGTCGAGACACACAGAAAGAGTATATTTGACGAGGATGAGACTGTTTTATCCAGCACTAAGTCCTCCATAACTACCATTAGGAACCTGTTCGAGGAAGGACTCGAAATCAACCCCTCGTGAGTTGGTAAACTTGGCAACCAAAAAACTTGGCAACCAGCCAGCGCTGAATTAGTTCAATATTGAAATGTGATAAAATATGTGGTTGGTATTTTTTAATCCTATAGGCTCATGTGACCGATAAAGTAATACAGTACTCCCGAATAAGCACACCCCTATTCTTGAAGTCTATTTTAATATAATTCGTGTAAAACGTGAGGCCATATTTGTAAAATTTGGATTCAACTCTTAATTAAATTGAAATGTTATTCAATGACATGCACAGTGTGCTGAGAGTAGAAACATATGCACAGGATATAATCCTTGTACAAATCAAATTGATCTGATTGGGCAACATTTTTAACGTTTTACACGAATTATATTAAAATAGACTTCAAGGATAGGGGTGTGCTTTTTCAGGAGTACTTTATTACGTTTATCGTCCACACTAAGAAGCCATCTAGATGGTACGCTGGATTACAGGCATGTTACCAGAATTATGTCAGGGAGAGAACCGATATCTCACTTATCAAGTTAGTCAGTTGTCTTATTACTCACCATCCTCTCTTCAGGGGTAAACTATTCGGTTACCGAGAAGGAGCTAGTCCCTATAGGTGGATATCCTGGACAGCAGGGGACAGACAGATACAGGACTTCAATGTGGGCTCGTTCAGCTGGGTCTACAGGGTAAGTTGGGGGGGGGGGGAGACAGACATATACGGACGTCAGATGTGGGCTCGTTCCAGCTGGTCTACAGGGTAAGTGGGGGGAGGGGAGACAGACAGATACAGGACTTCAGATGTGGGTCCTCGTTCAGCGGGTCCTACAGGTAAGTGGGGGGAGAGGAGAACCAGAAGATACGGACTTCAGATGTGGGCTCGTTCAGCTGGTCAACAGGGTAAAGTGGGGGGAGGGAGACAGACAGATACAGACGTTCAGATGTGGGCTCGTTCACTGGTCCTCCAGGTAATGGTGGAGGGAACAGACAGATACAGACTTCCAGATTGGGCTCGTTCAGCTGGTCTACAGGAAGTGGGGGGGGGGGGAGACAGTACAGATACAGGACTTCAGAATTGGCTCGTTCAGCTGGGATCGTACAGGGTAAGTGGGGGGGGGGGATTAGCGGGGACAGACAGATACAGGACTTCAGAAGTGGGCTCGTTCAGTCTGGGTACTAACAGGGTAAGTGGGGGGGGGGGATAGCGGGGAACAGAACAGATACCGGACTTCAGAAGTGGGGGCCTATCGTTCAGCTGGGTCAACCAGGGTAAAGTTGGGGGGGGGGGGGGGGAAGTGGGGGGGGAGTGGGGGGGGGGGGGGGACAGACAGATACAGGACTTTCAGAAGTGGGCTTTTCGTTTCACTGGGTCTAAACAGGGAAGTGGGGGGTGGGTAAGTGGGGGTGGGGGGGATAAGCGGGAGACCAGAAAACAGATACAGACTTTTTCAGTTCAGATGTGGACTTCGTTCAGCTGCAGCCAGCGGGTCTACTACAGTGTTAAAGTGGGGGTGGAGTGGGTGGGGGGGGGGGGGGGGGGGAGTGGGGGGGGAGTGGGAAGTGGGGAAGTGGGAGTGGGAAGTGTGGGGGGTGGGGGGTGGGGGGAGTGTGGAGTGGGGGGAAGTGGGTGGGGTGGAAGAAGTGGGGTTTGGGGGGTAAGTGGGTAAGTGGGTGGGGGGGGGTGGGGGGGGGGGGGGGGGGGGGGGAATAGCGGGAAGACACAACAAGATACAGGGGACTTTGGCTCGTTCAGCTGGGTCTACAGGGTAAGTGGGGGAGGGGGGACAGACAGATACAGGACTTCAGATGTGGGCTCGTTCAGCTGGGTCTACAGGGTAAGTGGGGGAGGGGGGACAGACAGATACAGGACTTCAGATGTGGGCTCGTTCAGCTGGGTCTACAGGGTAAGTGGGGGGAGGGGGGACAGACAGATACAGGACTTCAGATGTGGGCTCGTTCAGCTGGGTCTACAGGGTAAGTGGGGGGAGGGGAGACAGACAGATACAGGACTTCAGATGTGGGCTCGTTCAGCTGGGTCTACAGGGTAAGTGGGGAGGGGAGACAGACAGATACAGGACTTCAGATGTGGGCTCGTTCAGCTGGGTCTACAGGGTAAGTGGGGGAGGGGGGACAGACAGATACAGGACTTCAGATGTGGGCTCGTTCAGCTGGGTCTACAGGGTAAGTAGACCGTGAATGTCATTATAAGAGGTACAAGCACATATTTCTATATATATAATAAGTTGGAACTTTTCAGAGTTTAGGTTTCCCCCATTGTCATGAGATTTTTGAAAGTTTTCTGATTGCTATACTATATATCCTTCCTTTGGACTGAATAGTATATACAGATACTATCTAGTTCAGTATAAGATACTAATATTTAAGCTGATCGACCGAATATTTTCAATATTTTCGCACTACACGCTCTACACCGCTGAACGCTGGTTGATCAGATGTAACAGCAGGTGCAATATTGGAACTTAAAATATAGCGCTGATTGGTTTACTATACTATACAGGGGGGGGGGTGACATGTCTCCAATGTCTCCCGCACCTTATCTTTTCGAAAAAGACAAAGACATTGGAGACATTGGAGACATTGGAGACATTGGAGACACAGCTTTTGGAGACATTGGAGACATTTGGGACATTTGGGACATTGGGGACATTAGAGACACAGCTTTTGGAGACATTGGAGACACAGCTTTTGGAGACATTGGAGACATTGGGGACATTTGGGACATTGGGGACATTAGAGACACAGCTTTTGGAGACATTGGAGACACAGCCTCCTCCTCCTCCTCCTCCTCCTCCTCCTCCTCCTCCTCCTCCTCCTCTTCCTCCTCAGTCCTCCTCAGTCGTTCTCCTCCTCCTCCTGAGTCCTCCTCCTCCTGAGTCCTCCTACTCCTCTTCATCCTCCTCCTCTTCCTCCTCAATCATCAGTCCTCCTCCTCAGTCCTCCTCCTCATCTTTCTCGTCAGTCTTCCTCCTCCTCCTCAGTCCTCCCCAAGTCCCCCTCCTCCTCAGTCCTCCCCCAGTCCCCCCTCCTATTCAGTCCTCATCCTCCTCCTCCTCAGTTCTCCTCAGTCCTCCTCCTTCTCAGTCCTCCTCCTGAGTCCTCTTCCTGAGTCCTCCTCCTGAGTCCTCCTCTTCCTGAGTCCTCCTCCTCCTAGGTCCTCCTCCTTCTCCTCCTCCTCCTCCTTCTCAGTCCTTCTCCTCCTCCTCCTCCCTCTCAGTCATCCTCCTCAGTCATCCTCCTCAGCCATCCTCCTCAGCCGTCCTCCTCAGCCATCCTCATCAGTACTCCTCAGTCCTCCTCCTCAGTCCTCATCCTCCTCCTCAGTCCTCCTCCTCATCCTTCTCCTTAGTCCTCCTCTTCCTCAGTCCTCCCCAGTCCCCCTCCTCCTCCCATTCACTCCTCCTCCTCCTCCTCAGTTTTCCTGAGTCTTCCTCCTGAGTCCTCCTCCTCCTCCTGAGTCCTCCTCCTGAGTCCTCCTCCTGGGTCCTCCTCCTCCTAGGTCCTCCTCCTTCTCCTCCTCAGTCCTTCTCCTCCTCCTCCTCAGTCCTCCTCCTCCCTCTCAGTCATCCTCCTCAGCCATCCTCCTCAGTCCTCCTCAGTCCTTCTCCTCCTCCTCAGTCCTCATCCTCATCCTCCTCTTCAGTCCTTCTCCTCCTGGGTCCTCTTCCTCCTCTTCATCCTCCTCCTCTTCCTCCTCAGTCCTCCTCAGTCCTCAGTCCTCCTCCTCATCCTTCTCGTCAGTCCTCCTCCTCCTATTCAGTCCTCCTCCTCCTCCTCCTCAGTTCTCCTCAGTCCTCCTCCTGCTCATTCCTCCTAAGTCCTCCTCCTGAGTCCTCCCCCTCTTCCTCCTGAGTCCTCCTCCTGGTTCATCCTCCTCCTAGTTCCTCCACCTTCTCCTTCTCCTCCTCAGTCATTCTCCTCCTCCTCCTCCTCAGTCATCCTCTTCAGTACTCCTCAGTCCTCCTCCTTCTCAGTCCTCCTCAGTCCTCTTCCTGAGTTCTCCTCCTCCTCAGTCCTCCTTCTGGGTCCTCCTCCTCCTAGGTCCTCCCCCTCCTCCTCCTATTCACTCCTCAGTTTTCCTGAGTCCTTCTCCTGAGTCCTCCTGAGTCCTCCTCCTGGGTCCTCCTCCTCCTAGGTCCTCCTCCTTCTCCTCCTCAGTCCTTCTCCTCCTCCTCCTCAGTCCTCCTCCTCCTCCCTCTCAGTCATCCTCCTCAGCCATCCTCCTCAGTCCTCCTCCTCCTCAGTCCTCATCCTCATCGTCCTCTTCAGTCCTCCTCCTCCTGGGTCCTCTTCCTCCTCTTCATCCTCCTCTTCCTCCTCAGTCCTCAGTCCTCAGTCCTCCTCCTCATCCTTCTCGTCAGTCCTCCTCCTTCTCAGTCCTCCCCAGTCCCCCTCCTCCTCCTATTCAGTCCTCCTCCTCCTCCTCAGTTCTCCTCAGTCCTCCTCCTTCTCATTCCTCCTAAGTCCTCCTCCTGAGTCCTCCCCCTCTTCCTCCTGAGTCCTCCTCCTGGTTCATCCTCCTCCTAGTTCCTCCACCTTCTCCTTCTCCTCCTCAGTCCTTCTCCTCCTCTCCTCCTCAGTCATCCTCTTCAGTACTCCTCAGTCCTCCTCCTCCTAGGTCCTCCCCCTCCTCCTCCTATTCACTCTTCAGTTTTCCTGAGTCCTTCTCCTGAGTCCTCCTCCTGAGTCCTCCTCCTGGGTCCTTCTCCTCCTAGGTCCTCCTCCTTCTCCTCCTCAGTCCTTCTCCTCCTCCTCCTCAGTCCTCCTCCTCCTCCCTCTCAGTCATCCTCCTCAGCCATCCTCCTCAGTCCTCCTCCTCCTCCTCAGTCCTCATCCTCATCGTCCTCTTCAGTCCTCCTCTTCCTGGGTCCTCTTCCTCCTCTTCATCCTCCTCCTCTTCCTCCTCAGTCCTCAGTCCTCAGTCCTCCTCCTCATCCTTCTCGTCAGTCCTCCTCCTCCTGAGTCCTCCTCCTGGGTCCTTCTCCTCCTAGGTCCTCCTCCTTCTCCTCCTCAGTCCTTCTCCTCCTCCTCCTCAGTCCTCCTCCTCCTCCCTCTCAGTCATCCTCCTCAGCCATCCTCCTCAGTCCTCCTCCTCCTCCTCAGTCCTCATCCTCATCGTCCTCTTCAGTCCTCCTCTTCCTGGGTCCTCTTCCTCCTCTTCATCCTCCTCCTCTTCCTCCTCAGTCCTCAGTCCTCAGTCCTCCTCCTCATCCTTCTCGTCAGTCCTCCTCCTCCTCAGTCCTCCCCAGTCCCCCTCCTCCTATTCAGTCCTCCTCCTCCTCCTCAGTTCTCCTGAGTCCTCCTCCTTCTCATTCCTCCTAAGTCCTCCTCCTGAGTCCTCCTCCTCTTCCTCCTGAGTCCTCCTCCTGGGTCATCCTCCTCCTAGTTCCTCCACCTTCTCCTTCTCCTCCTCAGTCCTTCTCCTCCTCCTCCTCCTCCTCAGTCATCCTCTTCAGTACTCCTGAGTCCTCCTCCTTCTCAGTCCTTTTCCTGAGTTCTCCTCCTCCTCCTCCTGAGTCCTCCTTCTGGGTCCTCCTCCTAGGTCCTCCTCCTTCTCCTCCTCAGTCCTACTCCTCCTCCTCAGTCCTTTTCCTCTTCCTCCTCCTCCTCCTCCCTCTCAGTCATCCTCCTCAGCCATCCTCCTCAGCCATCCTCCTCAGTACTCCTCAGTCCTCCTCCTTCTCAGTCCTCCTCAGTCCTCTTCCTGAGTCCTCATCCTCCTCCTTCTCCTCCTGAGTCCTCCTCCTGGGTCATCCTCCTCCTAGATCCTCCTCCTTCTCCAATCATACATCTACGTCTCCAGTGTCTCCAATGTCTCCAATGTCTCCAAAAGCTTTGTCTCCAATGTCTCCAATGTCCCCAATGTCTCCAATGTCTCCAATGTCTCCAAAAGCTGTGTCTCCAATGTCTCCAATGTCTCCAGGACATGTCTCTGCACCCTATCTTTTCAAAAAAGACAAAAGACATTGGAGACATTGGAGACATGTCACCCCCCCCTATACAGGAGAATGCTGCTTGGGTAATTAATATGATAGCTATGTGCTATGAGTATAATGAGTATGTGCTATGTCCATTGTCCCATGAGTATAGTGAGTGTATATAGGCTACATGAGGATGGTGTATAAAATAGATTGACTAGATAGAATGGTTTAAATAGAGTATTGGTGTTACCCTCCCTGATTTGATTGTTGTCCTCTTTCTACCTAAAAGAGCTATACAGAATCAGGTCATCAGGTGTAATACACATACAATATAGTGTAGTTCTTCAGAGTGACGTGTCATCTCACTTTCTACATTGAGTAGGTAACATGGAAGTAGATAAGAGTAACGTGGGAGCAGAGATTTTGAATCTGTTACTCGTGTTACCTACAACTCTTTTGTATCGTATTGGAACATATAGTGTTAGAGAACACTGCTATTTTACTATTTCAGGAGACACCGATAATTTAATATTTCACTATTTCGTGAGACCGATAATTTACTATTTCACTATTTCATGAGACACAAATATTTCACTATTTCAGGTGGCCAGGAAACACTGGTGGGTATATTCGCCAAGAACTCGCCTCAGTGGCACATGACAATGCAAGCGGCGACCGGGAACAGTAATATCGCAGTTCCCCTCTACCTAACACTAGGTAGGTAATATACGTTATTAGTTATTAGTTATTAGTTATTAGTTACACACTCCTTACTACAAATTATATATAATACAATATAATCTCTCTTCATGACCCCACCGTTATCCCACTCTTATACTTAATACTAGTGTATACATTCTGACTCAAGTGTAAATGTATTCTAGTGAAGTTTGTCAGAATGATGTGTTTAGTACAACTCCCTAGAGACAAATAAGCTCAGAAGAATACTCAGTTTCTGCGGATCGCTACATCTCCTAATAAGGGCATCACGTTGGGATCGCTACATCTCCTAATAAGGGCATCACGTGGGGATCACTGCGGTAGATTTAATGTAGTTTAATGAAACATTCCGTTTTTCAGGAGACAAAGCGATGAGTCACATCCTGAAAGAGACTGGCCTGACTGCTGTGGTGTGTCAAAACAGTGAGTAACAACTAACAAGAAACAACTAACCATAGTAACCACAGTAACAACTAACAAGTAACCATAGTAACCACAGTAACAAGTAACCATAGTAACCACAGTAACAACTAATAAGTAACCATAGTAACCACAGTAACAACTAACCAGTAACCATAGTAACCACAGTAACAACTAATTTGTAACCATAGTAACTATAGTAACAACTAACCAGTAACTATAGTAACCACAGTAACAACTAATTTGTAACCATAGTAACCATAATAACAACTAACCAGTAACCACAGTAACAACTAACAAGTAACCATAGTAACCACAGTTACAACTAACAAGTAACCATAGTAACCACAGTAACAACTAACCAGTAACCATAGTAACCACAGTAACAACTAACCAGTAACCATAGTAACCACAGTAACAACTAACAAGTAACCATAGTAACCACAGTAACAACTAACCAGTTACCATAGTAACCACAGTAACAACTAACAAGTAACCATAGTAACAACTAACCAGTAACCATAGTAACAACAGTAACAACTAATTTGTAACCATAGTAACCACAGTAACAACTAACAAGTAACCATAGTAACAACTAACCAGTAACCATAGTAACAACAGTAACAACTAATTTGTAACCATAGTAACCATAGTAACAAGTAACCATAGTAACCACAGTAACAACTAACAAGTAACCACAGTAACCACAGTAACAACTAACAAGTAACCATAGTAACCACAGTAACAACTAACCAGTTACCATAGTAACCATAGTAACAACTAACAAGTAACCACAGTAACAACTAACCAGTAACCATAGTAACCACACTAACAACTAACCAGTAACCATAGTAACCACAATAACAACTACTTATTACTGTGATGTTACATATCTTGTATTTTAACTTTTACTTTCAACATAATATGATAAAAGCTTTAAAGTTTACTGTGAGAAATACACACAAACAAATTATACTGCATAATATGTACATGGTTCTTTAAATACTGTAGTGGAGATTTAGAAACTACACAATGTACATTACACAGAATGATAAGTTGATTAATATCATATTCATAACATTATAACAGTCACAGTCTGGTTAATTCTAACAATTAATAACGAGTATTACGGGTAAACCGCCCCTAAAATGTCACCCACCCCTAAAACGCCACTCTAAATTGATTGGATCCTATCTTCTCAGAAAGTATCTTACCTAATCATTTGTAACTCCTAAACATAAAAAAATATCATTCAGACCCTGCCACATCCTGAAATTGAATCTAAATGATGCCATAAGGGCATTTTTTTCACTTTGTACGAATTTTTTACTTTTGAAAAAAAGCGCACAATTTTATAACTCTGGAATTCATTAATATTAACTCAGTTTTGGTCTAGGATAGTGATATTTACATATTTTAGCAACTTTGTACATATGACTGGAGATATGGAAAGTTATACATTACTCAATATTACTACCCTCCCCTAAAATGTCACCTGGCCGCCCCCTAAAATGTCATTTTATCAGATTCTGGCTTTGAGACTACAAGCACCATAAAATGGAGGTACCAGCCTATTAAACATCATATTTAGCATCTAATGGTAATATTAGAAAGCTTTGGCAGCTCAAGGAATTAGTTTTATTTTATTAATTGCAATAAACATCCCCTAAAATGTATAATTATCCCCCCTAAAATGTCATTTTAACATGATCAAATTACTCAGGCTTAATTTCCTCAGATGCAATGCATACTCACATTTCGTTAATAGTTGATGTTAATAATTAACAAGTGCCAAAACAAGAGCTATTATCGCACACCATGCGAACAAAATACAAATTTGACATTTTAGGGGAGAAAAAAATGACATTTTAGGGGGCATATCATAGGTTTACCATAAACTAGTAAGTACCAAAAACCGTAGTTTTTGACATTCAATTTTGCTAAAAGCAGTCAAATCTAGTCTATAGAGAAGGTCAGATCGATTACTGGGTTGGATTAGTTAACTACAGGTCACTAAAATTGCCAAAATGCAGGATGATGTTAAAAATCCCAAAAAATGCAATTAAAGCATGCAATTTGCACAAGGTTAAAATCACATTGAATCCATTTCTTTTGTGCCAATTGTTAGTTTATAACTAGATAATCTAACTACAGGTGTTAATTTTGTTGACTGAGTTACTGTTTTGCCGTAAGTTCTGGGTATTAAAAAAAAGTCCCCAAAATGTCACAAAAAGTACATTGACTAAATTCCACCATTTTTTTTTCAACAGAGAGAGAAATTCTGGTCGACACCTCTCAGAAATAGGTTATATTTGTCCCAGAAGTGGTTAAAATTAATAATTGAGCAACATTCTGAGTGCTACACAACCTGTTTTAGCTGACGTTTTAGGGGTGGTGCACGTGACATTTTAGGGGGTGATTACGGTTTTGAGGTACTTCCTTTAGTGAGTGAATGTTTTCAAGTAGCTTAATGTTTTAATAAGACAAAACAAATAGTACTAGTGACAAAAGATAAATCAGGCCTCCTGTACATTTTGTAATTATCGCACATATAGAGTTGACATTTTAGGGGTGGTGTTTCAAAAGTGACTCCATTTCAACGTAAAAAACATTGTACCTGATTTTATTTTCAAATTTCCAAATCTTCCTGGCAGGCTAGAAAAAGGTTTAAATATTATTCCTAGACACTTCAGAACCCTGTAAATTTAGCCCTAACTCGGCAATCTGGGCCCAAAAAACAGGTGACGTTTTAGGGGCGGTTCACCCGTATATGTTATTATTATTAATTAATAAGAATTATTATTCTAACACCCCCCTCCTAGGCAGTGTGGAGAGGTTGCTAGAGTTCGTTACAGAAGGGTGCAAGATAACAACCGTTATCTCAGTAGGACACGTGACCGACTCTTCTACTCTCCACAAACTGAGCTCTCTCAATATAAAGGTCACCTAGAGTCACACTGTCACACTGTCGCATTGTCGCACTATCACACTGTTACACTGTCGCACTGTCACACTGTCACACTGTCACACTGTCGCACTGTCACAAATACAGGGTTTAAGAGAGATATGGGGCTAACTTAAATCTCCAGAAAATAACGTACAATTTCGAAATGTCATAATGGGCGTGGCTTGCCACTCCCTCTTTTTCACTATTTTCATAAGATAATGGCAGTGCTTTGAGCTAATTACTAAATATTGTTATTAATGAAATGAAAAGAAATAAAGCATTTATATCCTGCTTATATCAACAACCAATGTTATTAAAAATTATTATTGTGGAAATAGTAAGAAATGGGAGTGGCAGGCCATACACTGTGATTGACAATTTTTTGGGAATCTAAGTTTCACCCATATCTGTAATCCCTGAAATGTTTGTACAATTTTGAATAGAATACCGTGAGTTGTTTAAAGGTTCCGCGTGGGTAGTTGCTTCTGGCTCATTCTGTATTTAATATATTAAATTATCTCAAATATTAAGATAATACGTTAAAAAATATGAGATAATACGAGAGGTGAGAACCCGTGTCTTGCATAATACATATCTGGTTACATATTCTATCACATTATGCTCATCATGCTGTATGTAAACACGACTTAATATTAACTTAATATTAACCCATCTCAGCTTATATTAATATGTTTCCCCTATCTCAGTTAATACATTCAATAAAATTTGTTACAGTCAGAATTTCAGAATATTTTTCTTATTAATCTTATCTAAGTTTCTGTGCAGATTCTTGAAAATTATATACTATTGTATTATATGTATATTGTATATTGTATTATATGTATATTGTATGTTAAATTATGCATTATATGTAAATTGTATATTATGTAGGGTATTAGGGTGGCCTGCTAACAGTAGGGTGGCCTGCTAACAGAACCATGATCTGCCTTGATTCATCCTTCAGCACAGAGAAAAGCTCCTTTTTTTATACATTATGATTACAGAGGATCTGATATTTAGATATATATTGCTGTGCTGTAAAAATTGACTTTATTTATTTATTTATTTAACTAGGGTGGCCTGCTAACAGAACCATGATCTGCCTTGATTCATCCTTCAGCACAGAGAAAAGCTCCTTTTTTTATACATTATGATTACAGAGGATCTGATATTTAGATATATATTGCTGTGCTGTAAAAATTGACTTTATTTATTTATTTATTTAACTAGGGTGGCCTGCTAACAGAACCATGATCTGCCTTGATTCATCCTTCAGCACAGAGAAAAGCTCCTTTTTTTATACATTATGATTACAGAGGATCTGATATTTAGATATATATTGCTGTGCTGTAAAAATTGACTTTATTTATTTATTTTATTTATTTATTTATGTATTATAAAAATGTTTTACTGTTTCAGTGTCTGGAATGGGACGAGGTCAGATCTCTGGGCTCCAAAGTTACCGACTTTAAGTCCTCTCCACCTACTGCTGACGATATTGCTATTATCTGTTACACTAGTGGTTAGTTACACTATTATCTGTTACACTAGCGGTTAGTTACACTATTGCTATTATCTGTTACACTAATGGTTAGTCAATACCATGTTATCAGTGTAAGTTATTATCATTTTAGCAGGAAATTACACCAAGTTACCCGCTAAAACGTTAAATCTAAAACTTCTTTATAAATTAAGGACTGACTGACTTTTCCCCCCATTTTAAGCTTTAGTGTAAGGAATGTTGAGTGTTGACTACATTATATAATAATTTAACATCGTAACAAAGCCGTCGGCGTCCTAAGGACTATTAGTAATGCAGATTAATACAGACATAATAAAGTAATGCGGATTAATATACAAATAAAGCCAACGATTTCACCCTGAATTATAAGGAGTAAGATATTTATATTCTGCAATAACCGATCTCTGTAACTATTCATTCAGTAACACACACTGTAACATTAACACACACTCTCTAACGCACTGTAACACGCACTGTAACACGCACTGTAACACACACTGTAACACACACTGTAACACACACTGTAACACACACTGTAACACTAACACACACTCTCTAACGCACTGTAACACGCACTGTAACACGCACTGTAACACACACTGTAACACACACTGTAACACTAACACACACTGTAACACACACTGTAACACACACTGTAACACTAACACACACTGTAACACGCACTGTAACACACACTGTAACACACACTGTAACACACACTGTAACACACACTGTAACACTAACACACACTCTCTAACGCACTGTAACACGCACTGTAACACGCACTGTAACACACACTGTAACACACACTGTAACACACACTGTAACACTAACACACACTCTCTAACGCACTGTAACACACACTGTAACACACACTGTAACACACACTGTAACACACTGTAACACACACTGTAACATACACTGTAACACACTGTAACACACTGTAACACACACTGTAACACATACTGTAACACACACTCTCTAACACACTGTAAAACACACTGTAACACTCTCTAACACACACACCCTCTGCAGGTACTACAGGTAAACCGAAGGGAGCCGAGCTAACCCACAAGAACATCGTGTCCTGCATGAAGATGCAGTGGAGACAACTCTGGAAGTTCCAGGGCAAATTCAACAAAGAAGAGGTGAGTTAAACTAGACTAGAGTTAGATTATCTAGTCTTGTATCTAGTCTTGTACCTAGTGGCTAGTATCGAACACAGATCTGGTGAGGAGGTTTACTTTATCTAGCACGTGACAGCAATTGATCAGCATTAACCAATCAGACCCTATGATCAGTGTCACGTGTCAAAACGAACATGGTTCAACTCCTCACCGTTTGTTTCAGCTGTAATGTATTTCCACATCAGTTATTGTAGTATTTAAATTGTTTATTTAATTGGTATGACTGGTGAAGAATGCACTGAACAATACACTGGTATCATATTACCCTAGTTATTACATTACTGTATCTCACACTGTATTGTGTGTAATATCTCACACTGTATTGTGTGTTTCACAGTGGGATTGTAGTGAATACAACGCTTTATTGGAATCATTATTATGGGAGCAGTGATTACTATACGCACATGACAAAGTGCTTGTAAAGCCATTTTAGTCATTAGTGATCAGTTTTAGAGATCATATTATAATTGCTGGTAACCCTTATAACGTAATAACTTAATAAGTTAACAGTCCCCCACAATCTGTTCAGACTGTTATTTCCTACCTGCCCCTGGCGCATGTGTACGGCTTTGTTGCGGAGTGTATTGTACTGTTTGTGGGTGGCAAGATTGGGTATTCTAGAGGTGATTATTATTTACTACTACTACAAGTCATTTTTTGATATCAGATTATTATTATTAAGTACAATAGCGTATTATTATTATTATCTTATTACTTGATATCATTATGTAACTCATATTAAGAACACATCCTTATTAGCTATTCCACTCTGCCTGCATGTCTATTAAACATGCAGATTGCAGGCTGAGTGAGATAATCTCGCTGCTCAATAAGCGACCTCTCTGATTTGTAACATTATCATATCACAATAAGGCATAATGTTTTAATTTGATACTTCAATAGACCGGCTAGTCACAAAGTTGGCATATTCTTGTTACCGCTTCTCTCATGGTATTAAGGGGTACACTGTACAGTAACTAACTACATTTAGTAGCTAGTTCTTCCTTGTAACACTTGCTGTACCCTACAATATGCACGTGATGTACTCTACAATATGCATGTGTTGTACAGTGTAGTACACTGTACCCTACAATATGCACGTGCTGTAGTGAGTGTAGTCTGTACCCTCTCCTCCTTTGCTAATTTCAACTCCTCCCCTGTCAGGTGACACGAAGTTATTGCTGGATGATATCCAGGAGCTCAAACCCACAATATTCCCGGCGGTACCCAGAGTACTTAACAAAGTGTACGATAAAGTAAACGCTCAGCTCGACCTGAAACCCTTCGTTGTCAAGGTTCCCTGTATTACAATGTCATGTTGTATGTATCTTGTATCTTTTTGATGATATTGATTAATTGATTATATCTGAGGGGAAATGATTTTGTTAACGATTTGATTGAATTGTTTTAAATTGTGACGCCTACTGTGCAATTTTAACGTTCGAGACAATCGAAGACAGTGAACTGTTTTTCAATAATCGCAATTCCCAGAATTGCTCATCACTACTTCTAGAATTACCACTTGATTTAATCGATATTTTCTTCAGAACGCGTTTAACTATGGAGTTGGGTGTAAAGTAGCGGAGGTGGAAGGGGGGATTGTGAGAATTTAATCGATATTTTCTTCAGAACGCGTTTAACTATGGAGTTGGGTGTAAAGTAGCTGAGGTGGAAGGGGGGATTGTGAGAATTTAATCGATATTTTCTTCAGAACGCGTTTAACTATGGAGTTGGGTGTAAAGTAGCGGAGGTGGAAGGGGGGATTGTGAGAATTTAATCGATATTTTCTTCAGAACGCGTTTAACTATGGAGTTGGGTGTAAAGTAGCGGAGGTGGAAGGGGGGATTGTGAGAATTTAATCGATATTTTCTTCAGAACGCGTTTAACTATGGAGTTGGGTGTAAAGTAGCGGAGGTGGAAGGGGGGATTGTGAGGAACGACAGTGTATGGGATACACTCTTCTTCAAGAAGATACAGGACAAACTAGGAGGGAGAGTCAAGGTTTGTAATGGGGGGGGGGGGGGCGTAATGGCACCTTCCACTCAATACAATTGTAACTTTGTTATCATTTTGCTTTCTGAATCGGAAACTATGTTAAGATAGTTAAATCCGTTTTCTTACCAAATCTCTACCTTCTTTATCTCCCAGATAATAATGAGCGGATCAGCCCCCATGCAAGATCACGTGATACAATGGTTCAGAGCTGTCATGGGAACGAACATAGTGGAGGGGTACGGACAAACCGAGACATCAGCTGCTTCTTCTAGTTACCTTCTTGGAGATACTGTACCAGGTTAGTAACCGAGACATGAGCTGCTTCTTCTAGTTACCTTCTTGGAGATACTGTACCAGGTTAGTAACCGAGACATGAGCTGCTTCCTCTAGTTACCTTCTTGGAGATACTGTACCAGGTTAGTAACCGAGACATGAGCTGCTTCTTCTAGTTACCTTCTTGGAGATACTGTACCAGGTTAGTAACCGAGACATGAGCTGCTTCTTCTAGTTACCTTCTTGGAGATACTGTACCAGGTTAGTAACCGAGACATCAGCTGCTTCTTCTAGTTACCTTCTTGGAGATACTGTACCAGGTTAGTAACCGAGACATCAGCTGCTTCCTCTAGTTACCTTCTTGGAGATACTGTACCAGGTTAGTAACCGAGACATCAGCTGCTTCCTCTAGTTACCTTCTTGGAGATACTGTACCAGGTTAGTAACCGAGACATGAGCTGCTTCTTCTAGTTACCTTCTTGGAGATACTGTACCAGGTTAGTAACCGAGACATCAGCTGCTTCTTCTAGTTACCTTCTTGGAGATACTGTACCAGGTTAGTAACCGAGACATCAGCTGCTTCTTCTAGTTACCTTCTTGGAGATGCTGTACCAGGTTAGTAACCGAGACATGAGCTGCTTCTTCTAGTTACCTTCTTGGAGATACTGTACCAGGTTAGTAACCGAGACATCAGCTGCTTCTTCTAGTCACCTTCTTGGAGATACTGTACCAGGTTAGTAACCGAGACATGAGCTGCTTCTTCTAGTTACCTTCTTGGAGATACTGTACCAGGTTAGTAACCGAGACATCAGCTGCTTCTTCTAGTTACCTTCTTGAAGATACTGTACCAGGTTAGTAACCGAGACATCAGCTGCTTCTTCTAGTTACCTTCTTGGAGATACTGTACCAGGTTAGTAACCGAGACATCAGCTGCTTCTTCTAGTTACCTTCTTGGAGATACTGTACCAGGTTAGTAACCGAGACATCAGCTGCTTCTTCTAGTTACCTTCTTGGAGATACTGTACCAGGTTAGTAACCGAGACATCAGCTGCTTCTTCTAGTTACCTTCTTGGAGATACTGTACCAGGTTAGTAACCGAGACATCAGCTGCTTCTTCTAGTTACCTTCTTGGAGATACTGTACCAGGTTAGTAACCGAGACATGAGCTGCTTCTTCTAGTTACCTTCTTGGAGATACTGTACCAGGTTAGTAACCGAGACATCAGCTGCTTCTTCTAGTTACCTTCTTGGAGATACTGTACCAGGTTAGTAACCGAGACATCAGCTGCTTCCTCTAGTTACCTTTTCCAACTCGGTCCACTAAAGTTGGACAATTGCCAAGTTTTGAGCTAAAGTTGGAAATGTGCCAAGTTTTGAGTACAATCCCCCCAATACCCAGGTCACGTGGGAGTGCCAGGACCACAGTGGCAGATAAAACTGGTGGATGTTCCGGAGATGGGCTACTTTGTTAAGGATAACAAGGGAGAAGTGTGCGTCAAGGGACCGGGAGTATTCCAGGTAATAGTTGGGTAATAATGGGTAACACGTGGGTAATAATGGGTAATAGTGGGTAATAGTTGGGTTATAAGTGTGTTTCTTTTTGAGAATACAAAATTGTCAGTTTAATTTTTGAAAATTGTCGTTAAATTGACTGGCCCCTCAAACAAGATAACTAGAGGAAAACACTACTGCCATTCCAACCAGGGTTACTACAAACAACCGGAGCTGACAGCAGAGGTGCTGAAGGAGGGGTGGCTGTACAGTGGGGATATAGGCACCTGGACACCTGAGGGCAGACTACAACTCATCGACAGGTGAATATTTGTGTGCTTTATTGAAGTGGGGGGGGGGGGCCGGGGGGGTTGAAGTGTTACTTTCAACTTACCTGGAATATTATCAGATAACTAGATAAGGTTCTTACCTACCTACCTATTGAACCTAGGTTAGGTATTTGTTTCGTATGAGTGTTACCCATGTTTAATACAGGATAGGAGTCTTTGTAGATAAGTTATCTTGCAATGTACACGCAGTTGTCTTGTTTTCATTAAAAATAATCAAATTTCCATCTGAACAAATTTGATAAGGTCTCTTAAACATGTGCTGATAATAAGTTCCTATAAATGTATCTTCTTCAGGAAGAAGAACATTTTCAAACTGTCCCAGGGAGAGTACATCGCCCCGGAGAAGATTGAAATAGTTTATGAACGATCTCCCTACGTTTCACAGGTTCGGAACATGCTACACTGTTAGATTTCATTTGTACCTGCGTTTGTATGATCCTCTTTTCAAATTAACTTTCGATTCTTCCGCCAAACTTTATCTCAGATTGTTTCTAATTCTGCACAGGTCTACGTTTACGGAGAAAGCATCAAATCATCGTTAATAGCAGTCGTGGTTCTAGATGAGGAGTATCTCTCGGCATCTCACCCTCAGGAATTCGCAAACATTCCTATTTCAGAGCTACCAGATTCCAAGGAATTTACAGATTTCGTTCTTGATTCGATGCTAAAATTAGGCAGCGAAGAACTCAACAGTCTGGAACAGGTTTGATATAATTTAAATGGAATCTGTTTTTGCTAAATTGTTCATAATTTCTAATAAAAGAATTTGTTCGACTTTCACAATAATATACTAATATAACACGTCATAAGGTTAAAAGAATAAAGCTGCTCCCAGAATCATGTGCTTTTACCATCGACAACGAAATGCTCACCCCAACATTCAAGAAGAAACGACATAACATTCGGGAGAATTACAGACCAGTTCTTGACACTCTCTACAAGGGAATAGACTAATTAATCCATTTATCAACAAATTAATCAAAAACAAACAGACAGAACTATTCTCTCAACGACACACTGAAAATCATCGTTGTTAATGATTACATTTCATAAAAGTCCGACTGGAAGTGATTTCAGTATTTCACTGATATGATCAATCGTCTGAGAGAGTTGGTAATTAGATTTACTACTATACAACACATTAAATGCTTAATGCGTTATTTTTAACCGAACATATAGAACAATAATTATAACTCATTTGTATCTTCATTGTTTATGAAAATGACAATTTTTGTCCAATAAGAAGGTTCGTGACTAAAACACTTTTATACATTGGTATGCTAATGATGTTTTTATGTTTTCATTATCAAACTGCTAGTGAAAATTTATTGTTTTATTTGAATGATTTGTGTGCTTTCAGTGAAAAATACTTTTGATTGCTTTTTCGTCATAATTCTTGGGAGTGCCCTGAAATCCAGGAAAAGAATTCCGTACAAAAACCAATAATCTATTTTAAATAAATCTAAACCTGAAGGAACATCCGATTAGGCTGTTTTTGAATCTCTCCGAGGAGTCGTGACCAGTGGACAACTAAGTGCACCGGATAGCGCGCGTTCCAGTAAAATATACCGCCATTCTTTATCAATGTGAACCCGTCCGCGCGACCATGCTTAAGAATATTTAATTTTGTGGATACAATTTTCAAATTAACATCATCAATTAACCGACTAATTGGTTTCTGGGCAAAAAGTTCATCCAATCTGTCAAATTTGTGTTCAGAAAATTTCATATTTGAAAATGGGACAGAAGTTTAAAAATACAGCTTTTCGTCTTGTTAATCTTTCTGCTGTGGGCTTCCTCCGACCGAAATAAAACTTCCAGCAACTCTATCGTGTCATATGCCATCTATAGTTGACTTACTAATTGGTTGCGGGTAAATAAATCAGTCATAACTGTAAAATTTCGGTCCTGGAAATTTCACCTTCAAAAACTGAAAATGGGACAGAGATTGGGACAATATGATTTTTCAATTTTATTCGGGATTTTGACTACCAGTACCTCAATTTGGTTTCATTCCATCATCAATTAACCGACTTATCGGTTTCTGGGCAAAAAGTTCATCCAATCTGTCAAATTTGTGTTCAGAAAATTTCATATTTGAAAATGGGACAGAAGTTTAAAAATACAGCTTTTCGTCTTGTTAATCTTTCTGCTGTGGGCTTCCTCCGACCGAAATGAAACTTCCAGCACCTCTATCGTGTCATATGCCATCTATAGTTGACTTACTAATTGGTTGCGGGTAAATAAATCAGTCATAACTGTAAAATTTCGGTCCTGGAAATTTCACCTTCAAAAACTGAAAATGGGACAGAGATTGGGACAATATGATTTTTCAATTTTATTCGGGATTTTGACTCCCAGTACCTCAATTTGGTTTCATTCCATCATCAATTAACCGACTTATCGGTTTCTGGGCAAAAAGTTCATCCAATCTGTCAAATTTGTGTTCAGAAAATTTCATATTTGAAAATGGGACAGAAGTTTAAAAATACAGCTTTTCGTCTTGTTAATCTTTCTGCTGTGGGCTTCCTCCGACCGAAATGAAACTTCCAGCACCTCTATCGTGTCATATGCCATCTATAGTTGACTTACTAATTGGTTGCGGGTAAATAAATCAGTCATAACTGTAAAATTTCGGTCCTGGAAATTTCACCTTCAAAAACTGAAAATGGGACAGAGATTGGGACAATATGATTTTTCAATTTTATTCGGGATTTTGACTACCAGTACCTCAATTTGGTTTCATTCCATCATCAATTAACCGACTTATCGGTTTCTGGGCAAAAAGTTCATCCAATCTGTCAAATTTGTGTTCAGAAAATTTCATATTTGAAAATGGGACAGAAGTTTAAAAATACAGCTTTTCGTCTTGTTAATCTTTCTGCTGTGGGCTTCCTCCGACCGAAATGAAACTTCCAGCACCTCTATCGTGTCATATGCCATCTACAGTTGACTTACTAATTGGTTGCGGGTAGGGAAACTTTTCGGTAGATTTTCAGAATGCTTGAAAAATGAAAATGTCCTCAGATTTTGAATAAAATTACTCCTTAATGGTGTAAAATCAGTTTGAAAAGTTGTTATTTTGTCAAAAATCAAGTTTTAAAAACACTTAATTTGATGACGTCATCAAGTGGTGATGATGACGTTAAATTATTTTTTGATATAATTGAAACTGAAGTGTAAACAATTATTTTTAAGACCTGTGGTCGGAAATTGCTGTATCTTTTATACTTTTGAATCTACGGACACTTAAATTCAGGCTACAATTGACTACATTTGACTGGCAAAGCGTCTATCCCTGAATATATATGTATCACGACAATCTATCGTAAAACAGGGGTTCCAGAAAACCCATTTCCCGATACTCCTGAAACACGAAATTTTGTTTACAGTCGATTTGGTCAACGTATAGACGCCCTGCAAAGTTTCAGATCTCTAACTCAATTTTAACATGGTTTTTAAGGCACCTGAATATGGCAATTTTGGGTTTTTTACCGAATTTCGTATAACATGCTGGCTCGTATTTTGCGCAAATTTCTTAAAAACCTCCACATAACTATTTCTTGTTCCTGTCATCTTTAACATTGAATTAGAATGATTTGAACTTAAATATACCTGCTGACAAGGTTGTTAAATACGTATTTGGAGGGAATACGTATTGGAATACGAATACGTATTAATCCTCGAAAATTGACGTATTACGACGTATTCTTTATTCAAAAAATTCAAAAATTCAAATATGTTGAGGGGACTGAACTTTAGAAAATGGTCTTAAACTTTGATAATTGCGAGATCGTTTTAGGAGCAGCCTCTAATCCCTAATTAGTAATTACTGACGGCTAACAAACTGAAAAATTAATTCCCAGACCGGAGTAGTGCACTGTGAAGCTGACTGATCTTGACGAACTTCTCGCTCTCTGAACATCAAAATCATTAAATAATAAATATGTATTAATATGTAATTGATAATTTCGCAAAAAATGTTAGCTTATCGGATTATCCATGAAATTTGATTACAAATTTAAGTTATCATGTATAACTGCACTCCTTTAATGCATGATCAATGATGAGGGTGGCGCGCAGCTGTAATGTTTAATTTTGACAAATCAGCGTATTACGGCGTATTATGGCGTATTCTTGGACGTATTTAACAATCCATAGAAATTACCGTATTCCGGCGTATTACGACGTATTCTTTATTAGAACCGAATACGTCGTATTCTTTCACGAAAATTTGACGTATTTAACAACCTTGCCTGCTGAACTACTTTCGATGAGTCTTAATGCCCGAAAAACAATAAAGGGGTATAAAAGTAAAGGGGGTAAATAGTAAAGGGGGTAAATGATAAAGGGGGTAAATAGTAAAGGGGGTAAATAGTATTGTGAATATAAATGTTGATTATAGATAGAGATAGATTTAAGAAACTGTGGAGCTAAACGGTGCAAGTGATATAATACTTAAGATATATCGAAGAAGGAAAGCCGCAGTTCTGTGAGGTAAGTTATGATAAACCAACACCCTTTATAGGACACTTCTTTAGAGATGTCATAATGACAGACTCCTGAAGAGTAAATTCAGAAAGCTTCTGAAAGACCGACCTAGTATTCTGTACAAATACAGTATACTTGATGTCAGCGACATCACATTTAACGTGGACAGGTGATCGCACTGACGAGTGATCGCTAGGGGGTCTTGGAACATTAAACCGGTACAGGTGTTAAACCCCCGAAACCGGTGTGCCAAATCATCTGCTGATGATGTTCACATAACATTATTTCCTCTCTCCTTTATTCCTTCCGTCTTTTCATATACTTACAGTTCAGTTACTTTATTTCACCAGGTCTACCTAAGGATCAATAATTCTTTGGTGGGGTTTCACTTCTGGTATTGGCTTCATTCCCGTTCCTTTTCCTTATTCTTTATACTTATTTTTTTATATAGTTAAATGAGAATGAAATGCTCCCCTTCCTGGAAATGAGTGACTAGTGGTTACTAATGGTTACTAATGGTTACTAACTTACTAATGGTTACTAATGGTTACTAATGAAATGCTCCCCTTTCTGGAAATGAGTGAGTGATGTCGGACCACTCTCCACGTGGCTTCCACAAGCTCCGCCTAATTTTGTCATTGACATAAAGTAAGACAGCACAAGTTGAACACAAATCTTCGTAAAATAATTAATAAATGAATGCAAGAAACCAGTGAAAAGGAGTGTAGATAAAGTGTAGATATAGCGGTACTAACTGTTTTTCAGGGCAGCAACTGGATGGAAAAAAGGCGGACAAGATAAAAAAGGTTATTTTTCTATTTTTTTCTTACAAACAACAATAATGTGCGCTTTTCGAAACAAGATCTTTCATTGTCCACTAAAAAAACCATCCAAATCACTGCTTTGTTTTAAGAACCCGTCGTAAAATTAAACATTCCGGTGCAATTCAAATTTCGAAGGTTAATATCAAGCATTCTTTCCTTTTCACAAGATATTAAGGCAATTTTTAGATTTAAAAATCACATTCTTGTAGTTGCTTTTCTTACTTATGTCAAACGGTAGGTGTCCCTTTCCCCTTGATTTGCAAAACCAACCTCGAACTCATGGTTATGTTAAAAAAGAAGGTAGCAGCCTCCTTTTCGGCTCCGAATAAATTGGAATGAAAATTAGAAATTTGAGTGCACTCGAAGTTCTAATTTTACGATGTAGTTCACACTAAGAGATAAAATCATTCGGAATCATGCAAGGTCATTTCAAGACCAGTTCAAGGTTTAATTCCAATGTCCAAGACCCCTCATCTTACTCCAAGATGCAGTTGAAGAGGGGTATACAGCTGTTATAGAGGGGTTTAGATTAGTATCTTCCGGCAGTATGCTGTTCTATCCTTTTCCCCTCTGCTTGACCAGATTGATCTTCTGTCGGCAGAGTTAATCTGGTTCCAAGGACTTCCTGCACTTATCATGAAATGGCCATCACCCCGGTCTAGGGGTTGCTTCCAGTTGTCTCCTTCAACAAAGTCAGGCTTTTCCCAGCCAATCTCCTCCACTCCAGCACACATCCAGGAATTGTTCGAGACCATGAAATCGTTTCCTTCCGCATCCTTCATGCCTGCTACGATACCATATTCACCACCACCATTGTAACATTTAACTGCTATGACCCGGGTGGGTGATGGAACACTGAGTGACGCTAGTGCCTGCCAGTTTGTGTCTGTGTACTTCTGAACTCCATCTATATAAACTGTTGTATCATCGTCACAAAATACCTTTAACGAGTAAGGCTCGCAAGGCTGATCGTTGCATTCTTGTGTCTCTTCAGCATCTCCTACACAGTTGGATCCACTGTTAGCAGGGGCTGGGTCGGAGCAACTCCTCGTTCTCTTCTGGGATCCTCCTTCGCAAGCAGCCGAGCAGTCTGACCAATCCCCGAAATCACTCCAGTTTCCATCAGTTGGACAAGTGTGGCCACACCTTTTCAGGACTTGTTCAAGTTTACTGCATTTCCTCGAAGCCTTTTTCTTTAATTCACCATCGCTGGATTCACAGCCCAGAGACGACTGGAAACCTTTCTGTAGGCACTTCTTGTTGTACTGCTTGATTTTCTTGTTGAGCTTCTTGTTCTTCAATGGACACTCGTACGAAGTAACGATTAACACTAAAAGTGTTAGCAAAACTACAGATGCGCAGAAATGTTTCATTGCTCGAGAGGATTAAGTTGATAGGAGTAAACAAATTTGAATCGCCAAGTCGAAGTAATTTATCATAAAATATTTATGACTAAGTAAACTGTGAGTTTTCTTTCTAGGCGGGGATTCAGCCGTTTTTGAGTCGGTACGTAACAGCTGCATAACAATAGTCCTCGCTCGTTCATTTGCCCTGAATGTCTCAATCCTTTAGATTCAAATCTCAACTACATTGTTTAATTATCTAGAAGTTTCATTATCGTCGGTCTTGCACCGAGGGCTGAATTTGACGACCTAACCAATTGTTTAATCTTCCAGCTCTCAAACTTTTGAAGTTTAGACTGTCCCTCATTACATCGGAACCAATATAATGGATATATTTCTTTGGTGCACAATAGTGGTGGTATGTCAACAAACTCCATCTCCAGTAGCCCTGTAGTACTCCATGCATATTGGTCATGATGCGATGAGGGAAAGTCTTGACTGAAAACACAAAAACACAAAGACTTATTAAGAGACAACCGGTGCCAAACCTTGAAATTGTTGTTTTCTTGAAAACTGATAAAACTTTGAAAGAGAGCCAAGTTTGAGCTAGAATATGAAACAATTGTACTGCCACACGTGAAATTTTTATCTGATGATGGCGGTAGTAAACTGACCACAGCTATAATTAAACCATATCATTAACAATAGGGGGGCCGAAATCTTATTCTAACTAGCTAACCCAACTATAACCGTCCAAAAGCAGTCGAATAATTAATAGGCAGATCCGATCACGGTGAATATTGTATCCCTAATAACCCTAGTTACCACAATATCGCAGTGACTAGATCTCTAACTAGCCTCAAAATCTCCCAAAATTAGGTGGGTCATTAATTCTTCATCTAAAATTGTGCAAGAAGTTCATATTTGTGCGGAAAAGTGCGGAAAACGACTGTCAGAGTGAATGTTTGCGGTAAACAGCTAAAAGTTCGATGTGTGCGGCCAACAGCTACAGATTAAGCTGCACTTAAATGCAGAAACATATAGCTTCCTTACTATATAAATACTGTGACGTTATTGTAATATCACTTATTTTCTGGAATTCTAGAAAAAGTGAGGTCTGGACACAACTTATACACACTCTAAATTGGTAATAGAACGGGTTACCGGCCTGGCTATTACCAGGGCGGTCATAACTAATAAGCTTCTCGATTTCGTTCTACACCAGAGTATTACCATAGGCTGATTATCGGCTTATTACCATTGTAATGAGCTGGTACCATTTTGGTTCTAGACTAGTGGGTAATACCAGCTACTAGTTACTACCAACTCATCTGATAATTCGAAAGACATTTTTAGGATTTTGTTCAGAAGACTTGGCTATGGGTGGGTGTAGAACAAATAGTTGAAAATGTGACCACAATTCATCAAATAGCTAATAGTTAAGTAAAACCCGTAAATAGCTTTCACATCTCAACAAAAAACTACACTAACCACATGTTATTCGAGTGTTTTAGTTATTCTAAATTCCCGTTATTTCAGGTTCAGCGATAATTGTGTCACCTCGAAGTAGAGAAGTGGTAGATAGTGCAGCCGCTACGTTCACTGTAAAATGTGATATCAGTAGTTTGACTGCAGAGGTAACAAACGTCGTGTGGAAATTGGGAGAAACGATCTTGACCGATAACAACACCTACACACCAGATGTGGGAGCAGCTTCGTACAGTAGTGGAGATGGAACAGATGGAACACAAACAACCACCTTGGAGGTGGCAGGTTCTGATAATACAAGGGGTAACTTGCAGTTTACTTGTGAAGTTACTGATCCTGCTGATTCTGGTGCTACACCCGTGAAGCAAACTGCTGACCTGATATTTTACAGTAAGTCTCCCATTTCTAATTTCAATATTTATTAAAATGTGTACTTCTCGATAAAAAGTCTTTTTCAAAAATAGACTAGCTGTCTTATTTGAATTTTGCTGGCAATATTTTTTAATTTAGGCTATTTTAGTTACAACAAAATGTAATCTTATTTTAACATATCAAATGTTTTGTGGGTTTGATATAAGAATCAAATTATTCCAGCCGTCGGTCCAGATACTATTCCATAACTTGGTAGAATTTTTAATAATCGATTGGGAGGGGGGGGGGGACCGGGGAGTTGATCATAATTTTAATTATAATCATCAGGTACATATAAGTGATAATAGCATTGTTTTACCCCGCAGGTAACACAACAAAGAACGGAACATGTGTAACAGTAGGTGGCAACAAGCTCTGCAATGTAACAGTCACGTGGAAACCACGTGTGAGTGAGACAGGAGCGATATTTGCTATGATAGTACCTGTCCTATTCCCTGTGGTAATTTTTGTGTTCTTTATTATTATCAGTATTAAAACAGGCATTAACAATGAAGGTACCCCCTGGACACTTATTAAGCACACGTACAGGTCTAACACTAATCTATTGTACACTAAGAAACTTTTACGGAGTGCTAAGTATGAGGATATTAAAGGAAAGTTAAAACTTAAAAAGAAGGAATCAAAACAACACAGTAAAGTAGCTACTATTCCCGTTGGGGATATAGAAGATAATTTATTGAAAAAGGAAATAAGAAAGAATTGTGAGAGAGTTAAAGAATCTAAAAAACGTAGACATATTTTCTTCGGATGTATAACTTTACCATTACGTTGTGCACATATCCTTTCAATTTCACAACTTATTATTTTGCCACTATTTAAAATATTCTGGGATGTGGTGGACGTTTTGTCTGACACGTATTACTTTTATAAACTAGAGCGTGGTGAGTTAATAGATCCCTTAATTTACAGAAATACTCATGTTAATAATAGTATATTAGGATTTGCATGTTTAGGTGCTATTAAAAGTGTGTTAGTTGCTTTCTGTTATTTTAATGTTGTGGAGAATAACAAGGGGAGGAACCGATTCAGGGTGGTGTTATCTACGTTGGCAGCTTTAACTGTTAAATTATTGTTAGAAGATGCACCTGAGTTAATATTAGAATACTTTTATGTAGATAAGTTTATCATTGATAACCCTCCTTGGTTTCTGGTAGGCAAGGACATTGTTACTGCTCTGATTTATATGTTACCCGTTATAAAGATTGTAATGTCAGGTGTTAAAGATTTTAAGTTATTGAAGGAGAAAGACAGTTTGCAGGCATATTTATTTTACATTCCAGCAACACTAGCAAAAGGATGTATTAGTTTTGCTATGATATTTAGAATAGTTGGAATGATTATCCAGAACATGGGTAGTACTGTTAATGCAGAATGTTTTGTTGTATTCGATAATGCGTTACAACAGACACCTTTCACATTGGGTTGTTTAAACTGGTGCGATTATACAATACTGGTTTTTACTTGTTTAACTTTATTATCGTCAATACCATCAGTTATCTACTTTATCTATGAACTCGTTAAAGCTTTTTAGTAGCATTTAGTATTTACATTGATTGATAATTCTGTTCACGTCAAAAAGTACCGATATTTTATTTCAATATTAAATGCTAAGTGTTTAATGTATTAATTATATCCTGAGTGGATGTGTAAGATATCCAGAGCAGATTTTGAAATTGGACTAGTGCATAATATTATGTAATTTGTATTTTATAATGCATTATAGTGTTTAGTAGGGAGCATAACGGCTCTCGACAGACAAAGTGAAATAAGGCAAATAATAACTGGTGAAAACTAAATAAAAATTGCTAACTTCTTGCTAACTTCTTGCTAACTTCTTGCTAACTAAATAAAAATTGCTAACTTCTTGCTAACTTCTTGCTAACTAAATAAAAATTGCTAACTTCTTGCTAACTTCTTGCTAACTTCTTGCTAACTAAATAAAAATTGCTAACTTCTTGCTAACTTCTTGCTAACTAAATAAAAATTGCTAACTTCTTGCTAACTTCTTGCTAACTTCTTGCTAACTAAATAAAAATTGCTAACTTCTTGCTAACTTCTTGCTAACTAAATAAAAATTGCTAACTTCTTGCTAACTTCTTGCTAACTTCTTGCTAACTAAATAAAAATTGCTAACTTCTTGCTAACTTCTTGCTAACTTCTTGCTAACTAAATAAAAATTGCTAACTTCTTGCTAACTTCTTGCTAACTAAATAAAAATTGCTAACTTCTTGCTAACTTCTTGCTAACTAAATAAAAATTGCTAACTTCTTGCTAACTTCTTGCTAACTTCTTGCTAACTAAATAAAAATTGCTAACTTCTTGCTAACTTCTTGCTAACTTCTTGCTAACTAAATAAAAATTGCTAACTTCTTGCTAACTTCTAATAAATTATCATGAGAACTGTACAACGGGAAATGTAAACAGGAAAATCAAATATAAACGGGAAATGAAATGTGAGGACTACACTCAGTTTGTTTTTTAAAGACTTCAAAATTAAAAAATTAAAGACGCCTCAACAGGTCTAAAAATAGATCAGATGTAATAAAGCACATTTCACACACTGACCTTACTCCTACCAGCAAATTTAAAAACGGGTTGCGATGAATTAAAGACGGTGAAGCCTTCGCCAAAATTAACCGTCTTTATAAAACAAACTGAGTGTATATTAAAGAATAAATAGTTTGTCAACTGTTGAGATAACGAAAGCATATTATTTAGAATTAGTAGAGTCTGCGATTTGAGGTTTAACCTCGCAATTCTCCTTACAATTCTCTCTGTTTGGCGTAACCTCACCGCGCTCCATCTCTCCCTCAGGCGTAACCTCGCCGCGTAGAATGGCCCTGTCAAAAGGTTCCAGCGAGGCGCGCCACTGCTCTAACTGTATCTCAACGTCCTGTTTAACGTCCTGGTCTGATACCTGCCGAGGAGAGTGAGCCTCACAGTACTCGAGATATCGTGTAGGAGGATAGGGGGCGTATAGTGACAAATCTGTTAAATCGGGGGGAGCTGGAGTTAGCATCTTCTTCAGCTCTTCATATGTGGGCACAGCTGTCTGAAACACATAGTATTAGCGCTATTATTGTTTATATCTATAAACTTATAAATTGGGATTAGATGAACAATGCGGAGTACAAAATTTGTTGTTTTACTGATGATGATTCTTGTTTCGGGATTATTAAATCATCGATCAGTAATTTGGATTGAGAAAGGTTTAAACTAAACAATAAATTTAATTTCCAACCGTAGCTAATGGGTGGCTCTCCCTCTCTCTTAGCCGGTGTACAAGCTTGTCGTGGTATTCTCTCAGATCGGACAGCTTCTTCTCTCCATCTGACAGCTTCTTCTCTACGAAAATGAGATATAAGGCGGGGGCCGGGGAGGGAGGGGTACGGTGCCGGGTGGTATGGAACTGATAAAAAACAAACAAATTTCAATTATTTAAAGAAATAATTGACACTGTTATTTGAATTTGATTATCACATGATTACATTACCCAACTTACCAGTTTTCTCAATATCTATGATAATTTCCAAATCCTCCACGTCAGTGTCCATCGCTAAAAAAGTAAAAATGTCATGTAATGTTATGTGATATCTTCATTATCTTAACCAAACTTATAATTACGGTATCATGATATTTAAGACCTATAACAGCGGGGGGGGGGGGGGGGGGGATCAGGTACTAATTAGTTAAAAACTAATTTTGAAAACAATAAAACAACCGTTCTTCGACTTGTTAAATATTTAAAGTTCGGTACGGTCACTGGCTCTTGCTAACTTCTTCAGACTGCCAACTTCTTCAGACTGATCTTTACAGCATTATAGATTGGTCCCTATGTAACAACATGAAGTTACACGAGCAGAAGTTCGAACTCCTAAACCACCTACACAATAAGAGGAACTTATCAAGTGAACTTCCCTTCTACGTAGAAAGTCTCCTCTACAAGGTTTCTAGTGACGTCACTCTTTATCCCGTAGAAAACGTTAGAGACCTTGGTGTAAAAGTGTCAAGCGATCTGAGCTGGTCTAAACACGTCGGGGATATGGTCACCAAAGCTAGAAGTAAACTGTCTTGGGTGTTCAGTGTGTTTAAGACACGGGATAAAGTGGTTATGATGACCCTCTACAAGTCTCTAGTCAGAAGCTTATTGGAGTACTGTTGTCCGCTGTGGGACCCAGTCAAGACGACAGAGATTCAGCTTTTGGAGGGGGTCCAGCGTACCTTTACAAGCCGCATTGGTGGTCTATACAGCTTAAACTACTGGGAGAGGCTAGCTCATTTGAAGTTAATGTCCCTGCAACGGAGAAGGGAGAGATACATCATCTTGATGATGTGGAAAACGTACCATAACGTTGTTCCAAATAGCTGTAGCATCGAGTTTGTGGAAACATCCAGATATGGCACTAAAGCAGTTGTTCCTTCTCTATCAAAGTCGAGTTCGATGAGAAACCAGACACTGTACGATAGCTCGTTCGCAGTAAAAGGATCCAAACTGTGGAATAAGGTGCCGAGTGAAGTGAAAGCCGAGAAAACGTTTGCCAGCTTCAAAGTCAGTTTGTCTAAGTTTCTTGCTTTGATACCGGATAACCCTCCGGTTTCCGGTTATACGTGCAGCTGGTCGAATTCCTTGGTAGACTACACGCCATCACGGTGGTCAGACATCTGATGACCCTTCCTGCTACGAGGATAAACCTTACCAAGTTACCAAGTTAGTAACTTCTAATCAATTATTATGAAAACTGTACAACGGCCCGTTGTCAACGGGAAATGTAAACAGGAAAATTAAATATAAACGGGAAATGAAATGTGAGGACTACACTCAGTTTATTTTTTAAAGACGCCCTTGATAAAGACGGTGCCTTCAAATGAACGAAAATTAAAAACTGCAAGAATTCAAGATTGAAAAGTTAAAGACGGCCACAACAGGTCTAAAAATAGATCAGATCATGTAATAAAGCACATTTCATACACTGACCTTACTTCTACCAGCAAAATTAAAGACTGGTTGCGATCAATTAAAGACGGTGAAGCCTTCGCCAAAATTAATCGTCTTTATAAAACAAACTGAGTGTATATTTAAGAATAAATACGTTTGTCAATTGTTGAGATAACGAAAGCAAATTATTTAGAATTAGCAGCACAAGAGATTAGGGCAACGAACAAATTTGAAAGCCACTGCGATACTGATAATGTGCTACCTATACTCCAATGACAAAACAGAGATGTCACGTGGGGGTCTTTCCGGAAATGTTATTGGTCGCCAAACGTATTCAAGCAGTGGCTTATCGCAACTACGGAAACAGATAAATATAAGATAATGCAAGATAGCGAGCTTATCGTACGGTAAAAGGAACTGCTAATATCAGGTGTTTATTTCTGGCACTACAATTACCAGAATACGTGATGCTCCTATTATAAAATAATACCCAATCGGATGGCTGTATTATTCGAGTTTAGTAAACTATAGACTTATAGAGTAGGGCTACCGCTACATTTCCATGGTTGATATGGCAACGTTGACACCCTGAGGGGTCCTTTTTGTGTAATATACTGAGAACGGCCGCTATCAGGTATTATTGAGTGTTATCTTGGATTTATCAAAGATTCTGCGATAGAATATAAAATGATAAATAGTCAACTTGGCCAATAACAAATAAGCAAATGCTTTCGACTTCTAAATGTCGTAGAATATTCTAAATTGAACCAGTGTGTTTAAAAATAAAAGAGAAAAACTTTTAGATTGTATAATTAATTAATCAATAAATAAAAAAATTTTCAAAAATATTTTTCAGAGCTACTGCTCTGAAGGTCAGCCGCAGCTTGATTTCCTGCCCACCGCTTGGTATTGGGGAACGTCTTGGCTTTTCATCTTCAACTGCTCCTGTAATCAATCCACCGTGGACCATGAAATAGTGGCACAGTTTACTCACTTCTAGCGGGATGTGGCCACAAGTTACTTTAACGGGAAAAACTTCCTCTTTCTTTAGTCTACACATTGACCATTGTTAATGGTCTGGCCCGGCGCGCGCTACTTCGTAGCACTAGCACTTGCCGTCGGGCCAACATTTCGAGAAGAAAGCGGCGCGCGCTACTTCGAAGAAATTTAGACGAGTAACATCCGTCAAGTCTACACACTGCACACGAGAAGCGATCAATCTTTAGCGACTCAGCTGATGTCTCTAGCTCCACTGTTACACGCTCTCCAGGTTCCGCCTTTGTCCAGTCAAGTAGCTTTGTAAACATGAAATCCTCGAGATGCGGTCGCAGCCGTAAATTCCAAAATATGAGTATCATCAGCTCTTGTGTCTTGGAACTTCTTTTATCTCGGAAGCGTGCCATTCTCAACGTCAGAAAATTGGTACACAGTAAGCTAACGATGACGACTCAAACTGCAACAGTAAAGAAATAATAATTTACTGCCCTTTAACACTAACAGTAGCTATCCCGTTGTAGCGCGATGCACTACTGGGTCGCGCGCGCATCAAATAATGCTTCTCGCAACCACAGTAGTGTGCAAACCAACATTCGAACCACCAGCAGCTGGTGGTCAATTTCCTACGAACGCGACTTAATTTTGGTTCAGACTGGAGTCGAGCGCTACGTTATAGCTGTATATATAGCTCGTTTCACGACGAAATCTTCATTTATTGAGTTTGTCTGTCGATTATGTTGGAGTTTGTATTTTTAATTTTGTACTCGAATACTGTTAATTTATTTTTATTAAATAGTTGTTTTTCGTAACAGCACACTAGTACGTGATTCCTTTTGTTATTCTTACATAATTAGGAAGATTTTAAACTTCAATACTATAAATAATCAAATATTTACGAACACCGATCATCGGTATGTACCCATTATGCATTATTGGTATCGAAGTCTTATGTTGAGCTGGATATCGAAAAATTTCAAAATGTAAGGCTGTAATTTTGTACTTGTTTAGGTGTAGAACTAGGATTAACAACTTGATTGCTAGGAGCTAGGAAGAGATTTTAGTAATGATGACCCTTTAAACTTAAACTATATCTCTAGTGCACTTCGATCGGTTTTCTTTTCAATTTTGATAAAACCTAGTCGTGATCTTTGTTTCAGAACTTCACTAATTTATTAAGTTTTGTAGTTTATATAGACGGAACATGAGCAGATACCATTTGATTAATTATAATATATCCGATTTGAAATATTATTCTGTCGGAGTTTGAGTTCAACATGGACACATTTATTAACATCCCGCATGAATTTGTGTCGTCTTTACAATTTTTTGCGCTGAATTTGTATGCTTATTAATACTGCCGCTTGATATCAGTAGCTGCTTTAAAACTAGAGTGTATAGCATGTGTATTATACGATGTTTCCCACGTAAAAATCGCAGGTTGTTTTGGTGCGGCTGGGCACTCTACTGGTGATTTTTTGATTTGAAACTTTTACAAAATAGCAAGTATACAAATGTACAGCAATTCGAACAAACATATAAAATGGGCCGAAATGTATAAATGCTAAAAAGCGTGGGTCAGTGAAACAAGTACAGAGGACAACTTTCAGAACAAGAGTTTTTTGGCCGCCCAAAGTCTCAATAACATCACCTCCACCTAGTAATAAAATTATGAAATGTGAAAAGTGTGAAACAATCAAATAATAATGTATGTATATAATATAATTGTCTCTCAAATACAGATAACGTCCGTTAACTCTTAAAATACCCCTACAAGTACATATTATACTGATCGGTGGTGTCCGAGAAACATGAATTACGTCATCATGGTGTCTTCTTAACCCGGCTACAGACCTTCCCGTTACGGATGTAGTGGTCGAGATGAGTCTGTTCAGCCCTCTTCTTCTTCAGGTCAGTTACCACGTTCTTCCTTGCTGCACGCTCTTCACTGGATCTATCAGGACAGATCCATACATTTTTGTGTGCATCAGCCATCTTCAGTCTCCCTGTTTTCATCAGAATCTGATGAACTGCTGTTGAGCTTGGGACGGTGATCTTGACTGGTCGGATAGCCGTACCTGGCCTCTTCCAGCCGACTCTAGTCGCTTCAAAATGAGGTTTCTCCCCGATCTCCTCCAATAGTGCGGTTACCAGAGCTGGTAGCTGTTCTTCATCCTCTTCTTTCAGACCAAACACTATCAGATTCTTGCTCCTGTCCTCCTCTGCAGCCACACTCTTCATTACATTCTTCAGAATTTTGCTGTTGCAGACCGCGCCACTTGTGCTGTTCTTTTGTACAGCTGCACTGTAGCTCTTAATTCCTGTCTCCACCGTTGTTTGTACTGTCTCTTCAACTGACGTCTTAAACAACTGTAGTTGTTCGTCCTTCTGCACTAGCAACTGGTCCTGCAACCTGACCATCTTTTCCTTGTCTGCTAGTGCTTCCGTCTTGAGGCACTCAACGATTTCCATCATAGCGCTCATCTGACTACTCTGCCGTCGTACGAGGTCTGCTGCTTGCATAACCCAGTTTGCCATATACCTTTTATAGATAGACGGAGACATGAGTATTTCCTGGTCCATATTTCCACGAATTTCGAAGTTTTCTGACACCAGAGACTGAGAAAAACTTTGACATAATTTTCAAGTTTGATATGACCTAATAACTACCACATTTACAGGAAGTATGGTAATACATTCTTGTCAGCTGTCTGGGCAAATCTTCTCTCGCAGAATTGGATTAAAATTTAATGTATTTTATTTCTCACTTCCAACGATGTCGCAATTATTAGGTAAAATTTGAAGTTATTTTGAGATTCAATTAATAAATTTTAGATTGCAGCTTGATATCACTTAGTATGTACATTGTACTCGGTTGCAAGGGTAGAACTTATGAGAATACTATCATAGTATTATTGCACTATACTATTATGGGTTCATCAAAGTTCGTATCATGATTTGTCACAATTAAACCATCGAGTCACTTGAGGAAACCCGTTAAAGCTCGCAATTGGCGACGAGATAAAGTTTGTGGTACCTCTAGATGTTAAGTTAACTCTTAGGCTCCAATCTTCCTTACTATACCTACCACTCCTTCTTCCTTGATAAGAAGTAGATCCATCTGGAACAGTGAGCTGCTTCTTCCCTTCTATCCCGTACTAGCCTACTCAGCTCTCTCCAAACCGTGAACAACTACTCCCGGTGCTAGAACTTTAACCGCATAATTATAACAGCACAATTCTTTCGCTTGAATCTCAGTCTGCTGTAAGACTGCTGTACCGGTAGAGTTTTTACTTGTATGATTCAGCAATCTGCTCTTTAGATGGTACCGTTACCTCCCGCCATAAGACTGTGCCGTCTTGGTGACCTTGAGAATATCATAAGGTCCGATATATAAAAGCACTATCCAATATCGAGACCCACTCAGGATCCCAAACCACGACTCCTTTCGGTCGTCTGTACTTGCTTTTTTCCTCCCAGCATGGACTAAGTCAATGATACTGTCTTACATCGCTGGCCTTGTTCTTATAAGTGTTCACTCGGCGCTCACAAGATAACATGTTCAGAGATCTGTTGCAGAACCTTGTCGTGCCGTCATTTATATACTCCTTGACTAAGAGCTACTTTACACCTACAGCAAAAATGTGCTAAATGATACCCATCCTCTCCTCACATTACTGTACTTGCACTTACCATCCTCATCTTCGCCATAGAGGTGGTTAAGAGGGTGACGTACACAGCATCTAGCACGAATCCAATAAGTGAGTCTACAGTGCGTGTCGAAATACATTGCATGTACCCTTATATATTAACCCATTAGGGACGACGAGTTTTAAAGTTTGCCGATTTTGATGCCGTTTAATACACTAGGTCACTTTACAGCAAAAATGAGATATCCAAAAAAGCTAATCTGTATCTCGTTTAGTTTAAAAGATACAGCTATGGTCGCATACGACCCACTCGTCCGGGTCGCAAACGACCCATCACGGTTTTTCGGCTATTACTTCTGAAACAAAGACGTTAGGATAAAATAAAAACTGTAGCATAAGTTAAAAACATATGGTCAATACTGTGTGACTCTAACTTTTTAAAAATAGAGAATTTGGGTCATTAACGACCCACTCGGCTCACTTGCTAATTACTACATTTGTCCATGTAACTTCTTGAATTCAGCCTAAAACATGACATCATAAGTGGAAACTCGCCTCCCAGCAAGTGATTATCATCATAAACTGCGAAAAATCGGTTAAATGGGTCATTAGCGACCCACTAGGACCACAAAATTGATTAATTAAATATAATGTTGTCAAACTTTTACAAATATTAGTATAAAAACATATTATATCTTGGTCATTACTACTGTACGTTGATTTAACTTTTAAAATCGATCAACTGGGTCAATAACGACCCACTCGGAAGTTGAACCACGTCATTAATTATCAGTATCATGCTGTTCCACCATCAAGAAAGACACTCATAGGTCTTAATTCCACGCAAACCACGGGTGGATGACCACTAGCTCACTAGCCCTCCTGAGATCTGGAGTCTCAACCTGTGATCTGCACTCTGCAGATCACGTCACCCAATCACTGACGAATAATGGGCAGAATTGGATTGATAGGTAGGTGAGTTTATCAGCTGTTAGTACACGACCGTAATGTCATGAGACAACAAACAACGTGCCTATCTTTTCCCGATTCCTAAAAAGTCCAAGAAGAACTATACAACTGCTGAATTCAGAATTCAGATGGCTGCATCTACTCATTTCGCAGCTTCCTTTCTTTACTTCTTAGGGGCCGTTCACATATTACGTAATCACTTATTGGACAATTTTTACCCCCCCCCCCCTCCCTCACCACATAGCTATGTATTATTTCAAAATTACACAAGCGTAATCATTTGGAAACTCCCCTCCCTCTCGGCCGATTACGTAATACTTGGTTTCGTTTTGAAAGCTGCCTCGTTGTTGTGGGGTTGTTAATACCCACAACGAAGTAGTTGTCTGAGAGATTGCAGGTTGCAGCACCGCCAGCCAGATGGGGGGGGGGGGCTTTTTGCTTGTCCTTCTTCGCAGAGCTGTTATAGATGTAGCCATCTGAATGCAGCAGTTGTTCAGTTATTCTCGTACTTTCTAGGAATGTCAAACAGATTGGCATGTTGGATTAGAATATGCAATTTGACCGCTTTTCTTTCAGTATTTACCCAAGGTTACAGGATATCTCGTATACTTCATTCAGGGGATTTTTCTTGAGTGACATGATCATGATCTGATCACCTTGGGACCCTGGGTCTCAAGCGGTGAGTTGTAGCAGGTCGTTTACCAAGATTTGAAATTGACGAAAAAGGTTACAGAATCTAATAAGCAACAACAACAGCATGGCTATTACCTAGCAAGTTAGGAACGAGGGCCGATCTCCTTTTCTTTTGCGACACGGCCACGGTCATTTCGGTACAGATTTCCACGCACCATAGTCAGGACGCAACTCCAGGCATATGCAGTCGTGTTATTCTCGCAGCTTTTTGATGAGTGATGACTGCCCTTCAGTTGGCCCTGGATCTCAGAAGGGCTAGTGGTCATCCACCCGTGGTTTGCGTGGAATTAAGACCTACGAGTGTCTTTCTTGATGGTGGAACAGCATGATACTGATAATTAATGACGTGGTTTAACTTCCAAGTGTGTCGTTATTGACCCAGTTGATCGATTTAAGAAGTTAAATCAACGTACAGGAGTAATGACCAAGATATAATATGTTTTTATATTAATATTTGTAAAAGTTTGACAACATTATATTTAATTAATCAATTTTGTGGTCCTAGTGGGTCGCTAATGACCCATTTAACCGATTTTTCGCAGTTTATGATGATAATCACTTGCTGGGAGGCGAGTTTCCACTTATGATGTCATGTTTTAGGCTGAATTCAAGAAGTTACATGGACAAATGTAGTAATTAGCAAGTGAGCCGAGTGGGTCGTTAATGACCCAAATTCTCTATTTTTAAAAAGTTAGAGTCACACAGTATTGACCATATGTTTTTAACTTATGCTACAGTTTTTATTTTATCCTTACGTCTTTGTTTCAGAAGTAATAGCCGAAAAACCGTGATGGGTCGTTTGCGACCCGGACGAGTGGGTCGTATGCGACCGCAGTCAGTAAACAGCGTCTAGCTCTGTTTGTGAACATTTGATTATCACAGGCTTTTCATTTGTCCCAAGGAAATCGTTGCCCGCAACTATTTTGTTCTCAAAAAATAAGCCTACATAAAGTTTAAATGTCCCAATCAAGGCAAGAAGTTAAGTGAAATATTTTCCAATTATGACGACTAATCAGTCTAATTATTTAATTGTTAGTGATTAATTGGGTCTCGACTGGAAAGTCAATAATGTAGCCCAATAAATTTTGCGCATATGTGCGAAAGATTCGTGGCGTTTAGTATTTTGGTTTGTCCTCTATAGCCTCTAGAAAAGGTGGGTCGTAAACGACCCTATCGTCCCTAATGGGTTAATTGAGACAGAATTTTAATAAATCAACAAATTCTTGAAATTTAAAAAGGTAGAATTTAATTCTATGGCATTTATTGAAACCTGCTTTTTTAAAGTTGAGAATTGGTTTCAATTTCTAGAATATCACGATAATGTTGACTCAAAACTGTTTCAGGCAGCTATCAAGTCTCAAGATATAATGACATAATTTGATAGAATGTTAGTACCAACGCTATCAGTGCATTGAAGTCGAGTTCTCGATACAGGTATTATAATTAGGTTCTATCGACCGTTTTTGTAGTCTTAACTCATTTTTATTTGTTATTATACGACCAATTAAAACCTAGCAAACCAGACTTCTTTATGTGCTAAATGTTACTTTAACCTTAATAATAGCAGCATTGTGGCAGATATCCAGTTACATTTTTCCAGCCGTATATTATAAATATACAGGGTGGGCCAAAAGTCAGTGTGCAAACGTTGGCATTAATAGCTCAGTCACTGAGTGCCCAATTGAAATAATTGGTTCTGGTATGACTTACTACCACCACTGGTTCGAGAAATTTGTCAAATCGAAACATATTTGTGTTCATTGTTTTCAAAAGAAGGTTCATTTTCGCATTTATTTGATAGTTTGGATAATCGGATCGAGCCAAATTTTATTGAATTGTGTTTAGCCATTTAAATTACGTTTGCTCTAAAAAAATGAGAGTATATATATTACTCATGCAACTAAGATAAATTGAGTATAAATACTCAATTTATCTTAGTTTAAGTTCCAAGTTATATAACTCATTTTCTAAAGGTCTCGTAAACTTTAATCAATTACAGAGGGTGTGGCCTCTTTTTCACTGAAAAGACGCCATCAGATTTCATTGCATTCTGGGACCAATTTTGGTGCGATTTAAAGTATCCTACAAATTGGTGTTTACTGTTTCGACTTTTGTAAAATCACTGTAACAATATAATCTGTATTCTTATAGTTTCAACCATAATAGTGAAATAGAGGGGCTGGCCAATAGCCACACCCTCTGTAATTGATTTAAGTCTACGAAACTTTCAGAAATTTGTGTGTAATTCGGAGATAAATTAAACAAGTTGTTATCGGCCACCATGTGTAAACGGAATGTTCTAGCAGACTGTATAATACTATAACATACATTTTCTTACACACACATAATCTAATCTCTGGAATGTTGCTATGATATCAATGGCAATGTTTTGATACTGTGTATTATCATGATTATGCCTTACAGGCCGATCTTCCGATGGAGTTTCGGTTGCCATGGCAACACATCAATATGATAAAGAATTTGTAAACGCAGTCACAACTCTGTCGTGTACACTGTACGGTGCGAGCGGTTATTTTATGATAGGTAACATCTACTTTTTCAGCATTTGCGGGATGACCAGTTCACACGTATATTTTCGCAGACACAACTTCGCATAAAATTATATCCAATTATTCTATAACCAATTATCTACACGGACTTCTGTCTAAATATGAATGAAATCGAGAAAACCAAATATTATATGTTTCATCCTGAAGTGCTGAGTTCTCAGGCAGTAAAATCATGATCCTGATAGATATCGAAGTCTCCTTAAATGATTGTCTCTGCTGCTTAATATATCTGGATTGTCGTTGGGAGGCGATGCAGATTTGTTTACTTTTAAGGGGGAGGTTCTGCTCAGCAGGAGAAAGAGGTGATGCACATTTTGTATTTGTCTGACATGTAGGACTTGAGCCACGTTTCCGTAAGTGCAATAAACGGTAACGAGTGGTTTTTGGATTTCTCCTGAATAAGAGCTGAGATTTTTGGCACTTCCCATATACTCGCACTTGATGCACAGGATTCATGGACTGGACATTTAAGACGAGGCATGAGGAATAACGGGAACGTGCAGTGTATCCTCTGAGGCGGTAGGAACTGCTGGTAGTGGTATAGTGGGTAGTATATATATATTACTCATGCAACTAAGATAAATTGAGTATAAATACTCAATTTATCTTAGTTTAAGTTGCAAGTTATATAACTCATTTTCTAAAGGTCTCGTAAACTTTAATCAATTACAGAGAGTGTGGCCTCTTTTTCACTGAAAAGACGCCATCAGATTTCATTGCATTCTGGGACCAATTTTGGTGTGATTTAAAGTATCCTACAAATTGGTGTTTACTGTTTCGACTTTTGTAAAATCACTGTAACAATATAATCTGTATTCTTATAGTTTCAACCATAATAGTGAAATAGAGGGGCTGGCCAATAGCCACACTCTCTGTAATTGATTTAAGTCTACGAAACTTTCAGAAATTTGTGTGTAATTCGGAGATAAATTAAACAAGTTGTTATCGGCCACCATGTGTAAACGGAATGTTCTAGCAGACTGTATAATACTATAACATACATTTTCTTACACACACATAATCTAATCTCTGGAATGTTGCTATGATATCAATGGCAATGTTTTGATACTGTGTATTATCATGATTATGCCTTACAGGCCGATCTTCCGATGGAGTTTCGGTTGCCATGGCAACACATCAATATGATAAAGAATTTGTAAACGCAGTCACAACTCTGTCGTGTACACTGTACGGTGCGAGCGGTTATTTTATGATAGGTAACATCTACTTTTTCAGCATTTGCGGGATGACCAGTTCACACGTATATTTTCGCAGACACAACTTCGCATAAAATTATATCCAATTATTCTATAACCAATTATCTACACGGACTTCTGTCTAAATATGAATGAAATCGAGAAAACCAAATATTATATGTTTCATCCTGAAGTGCTGAGTTCTCAGGCAGTATAATCATGATCCTGATAGATATCGAAGTCTCCTTAAATGATTGTCTCTGCTGCTTAATATATCTGGATTGTCGTTGGGAGGCGATGCAGATTTGTTTACTTTTAAGGGGGAGGTTCTGCTCAGCAGGAGAAAGAGGTGATGCACATTTTGTATTTGTCTGACATGTAGGACTTGAGCCACGTTTCCGTAAGTGCAATAAACGGTAACGAGTGGTTTTTGGATTTCTCCTGAATAAGAGCTGAGATTTTTGGCACTTCCCATATACTCGCACTTGATGCACTAGGATTCATGGACTGGACATTTAAGACGAGGCATGAGGAATAACGGGCACGTGCAGTGTATCCTCTGAGGCGGTAGGAACTGCTGGTAGTGGTATAGTGGGAGCGCTGTTCCTGGCTGAAGAGGTGGATGTGGTCTGGGGTAGTGGTAGGGCATTTGAGTTTGAGGGAGGCTGGACCGGTGGTCGACTATTTCTGATAGGAGTCCGATCCTGGTTTGCATCGTTTCCAACAGTCTCCGTAACTATAACAATCCTGTGATCTGGTATTGGTTACTTAAACTTATTTAATTGAACATGGTGTTTGACGTTGGAGCTTATCACTTTACAGTTTACATCACCTTACCTGAATAATTGAATAGGATGAATACTGAATAGCATTTATTAATGCTTTCTTTACCCGGAGAACTCTGTTTTACTTGTCCCTCGGTAACACAAGACCGTGAGCCGTGACACTTAGTCACAATAATTAAGTCATAAGTCAGAAAGAAGTCCATAATTCGTACACCCATGATTATGTTAAATATAGATTGACTCCAGTCTCCATTGTTCAATGACTTCGTCAAAATGTTTTAGGAAAATGTTCACAGATTTGTTAATTTTGGACTCAAATTAACGTTGAGAAAAACTGAATTTATTTTGGAAAAATCCCGGCTAAAACCAAAATCCCGGCCGGTACCGGTACAAAATCGCCAAATACCAGCCGGTATTCCGGCTGCGCCGGTTATATCCCGGTCGAGTTCTGTCTGAGACCTAATTTTCTCTATTTCTCGTGCAATTTTAGATCAGACACAGTCATCTAAATTATTTAATAAGAAGGTTTAAATTATAAGCAATTAAAAACAGTTGGGACTATCATTGTTTGTGAGTACATATTATACGAATATAAGGTGGTTAATATAATTATAACACATTTAATATAAAACATTTAAGACACATTTTTGTATTCCTGCATTGTACTCATTAATTTAACTAGTAATATTATATAAAAACCACATTTCTATTTGTACAGGGAGCTGCTGGTAAACTACCGTCGCTATACATCGACTATGACTACAATCCTACTTTTAAAAACAAACTACATACATATCTCACATTTGCGAGGACTACTTCATCACAAGCAAAAAATCGACATTGGTAAATAAAGGTAGGTTCTTTTCACTGACTTCGTTAAATGAGTTACATATTTTCACACAAATTACGTGCGTGATCATTAAAGGGTTGCTTGTGTGCAGTTACTTCTGGGCCAGCGCCACCCTGTTGGGAGTTTTCACATAAGTAAATTTGCCGATAATACAATTTTACTCATTCTGGACATGTTACCTATATTATCATTATACTAGTATTTCTTCAGGTCTGTCTTCTATAACCACGATGAAAAGAAAAGCTGGGCGAAAACATTTGAGACTGCAGATTGCAGAACTGGAACACTCTATTTGAAGACAGTGGCTGCTGAGTGCTGAGCTGCATCAAATCTATCAGCATCATGTAACTTCGATCAGGAACAGACTCCATTTCATTTCCGACAACTAGCACCTGTTTTCCCTAGACTTACCAAGTATTAAGTAACTGCATTAGTATTAGGTTAAATTAAAGGCCCTACATCGAACAAGTCTAACAATTAAAACTTAAATGCAAGAGTGCACAATTTATCACTAAATATCTTCCTCTTTTAATTCTAATCAACACACGGTTTCGTCTTTGTTTCACCCAATCGTGCTGATAATCAGTAATCATGCACTCTGCACTCTAACTTCGAGATGTTTCAAAAGGGCTCCCGACGAGTTGAATTAGATCAATATTTTCTTTTGATACATAGATACTGATTGGGAGGTTCATCATACTATTCTTGTCACATGGTAACGATTAACGATTAGCTGATCAGCTTCCAGCATCGACAGGCCGAAATCCATAAATATAATCAGTTGTAATTTAATATTTATCATCGTCCGGATCATCATAATATTTTAATTTAAAGTTACAATTGAACGGTGTTAAGAAAGATAATTTAAGAGAAATGTTTTGAAAGTGCCTGATTTCGAGTATAAGATCTGTACTGATACATTAATTTTCAGATTGTTATTATAGTTTATTTGTATTTTTTATATTATCTTATCCGCACAAGTTCGGAAGCCATCTGAACGCTATTGCCAGACACAGGCATATATTTATTTTGGGGTATCATGCTCTCAGAAATTTCAACTCAGTCCGATATTATAGTTATACTAACCTGCATTGCATAAGGTTAATTGTCTCGCAGTCTAGTGCATAAACCTTTTATTTCGTATAAACCCTTTATTTTGATTGGGAAAACTTTAGTTTAATGTGGTTACCGTCTCTAAAGTTGGCATGATAGTTAATAAACTCTTATCTATTATGTCACTGAAGATGACGCCTTGCAACATGTTTGACGATAGCCTGTAGATTGATAGTTTGATCTAAGTATTTACAACAATTCATCTAGTTTGATTGATTCAAAGGGAAACAAATTCCTCTCTTATCTATTATGACTATATTTAAATTCAATCCTGTAAAGTGATACTCCTTTTTTAGTAATTTAAACATGTGTTTTCTCCTTCTGATTTTTAAACTATTACCGGTCACGCTGAATAATAATGACATCAGTGAATTTAAAGCTATCGTTAACATCACTCAGAAAATGCGCGTCTTTAGCGCGTGTCTTGTTGTTATGCATCAATCCTTCGGTAGATCGGCGAGATGCACCACTGTGCCTCACCGAGCTGCGAAGGATTGACATCGTGAATCAACTATCCCGCGAAGACGCCTCATCCGCAAACTTGTGGGAACAGGTACTGCGCTGAAATCTGATTTCTATAAGTATAACCAAATTGTGATTTTTATAACGAAATTATGGTAGCAACATCCAATAAAGTTACAGCCCTCCATCCACTGCTTCAAAAGTCTTCTCTAGCACATGCCACATATGAGACTTCAGGTACAACATACAAGGTAAAGTATAATGATCACCACCCGGGCACCCCCTTGGAACCTCATAATCTGACTTGGCGGGTACTTTTATTATGACTGGTAAAATTTTTGACTGGGAAAAATATGGCGGAATTTTCCAAAACCCACGGCCAAGCTTTATCCCACTCCCAGTCATAATATTTCCGAGTAAGGTACATGACTCAAATGAGTCGGGACAGAAGGACAATTAAATCAGTAAAAATAATAATTCCAAAACTGGAAGGTTTCGTATTTTAAAATAATAGCCGATGCAAATCATTAGGGCCTAGGTATCCACATTGTTGACCATTGTTATAATGGTCTGGCCCGGCGCGCGCTACTTCCGAGCGTGCTAAATCACTCTACAGTCGATCTTCGAGATTGTTCTAAAAGGGCCCCCGACTGTTGTAACCAACTCCAATCGATGTATTTTCGGACACTGATTCCTAATCACCCCCATGACATAGGGTTAAAATGCTCCCCTGACGCGAGATATTGGCGACAAACTGTCTCGATCACGTGATATGACTGTATAAGCAATAAGGAAGTTAGTCTAATTTCTCGTTAGGGTTAGGGTTTCAGCAATTGTAGCGAGATGCGCTACTGTGCCGCGCCGAGCTGCCATGAATTGACATCGTCAATTAAGGTTTCAGCATAATATGTTTTTGTTAAGGATTGGGTTAGGGTTAGGGTTGGGATCAGATTATAAGAGGGTTAGGGTTTCGAAAAGTCGTTCAGAACTGGCTAGAGAACGGGTTGAAAAATAAAATAAAAGTCACGTGACAGTTGAGTGTAGAGTGATTAATCATCATCCCGCTACTTCGTAGCACTTGCCATCGCCCCATCGGGCCAATATTTCGAGAAGAAAGCGGCGTACTGCGCTACTTCGAAAAAAATTTGACGAGTAACATCCGTCAACCATATTGCAGCTCCATGTTTGTAAATAATTGTGAATTGTGACGCAGCCATAGTTCAGTAACAGTGGTGTAACGAAGGATGCGGTGTCTTCGCAGGGCTCGACGAAAAGAATAGTAGAGGCTCTTACGGGCAAAAAGACGTGTTTTCTGCTACGAGTTTAGAGACCTAACCGCTAATTGGACACAATAGTATGATGTCTAAGGATCGATAATATGTTAAGAAGTATAAATTTGGCCTTATTAGTCACGTGCTATACCAATGCGCGTTTTAAACTTTGACAGTCTATTTCTCTAAGGCAAATAGAGTAATTATATTCATATTTTGTCAGCAATAAGATCACATTATTTTCTATTTAGTGTAAAAATATGAGCTAGAACGGACATAATCTCGCTGAGTTATAGCTGTTTGAAATTTATGATGAACGCGCGGGTGCCAATTGATAACAACTAAATGCTTTTGCGCGTAGTGCGCGTCGAAAATTTGGCAAAAACGCTTGCGGAGTGAAAATATTCAAACTTCGATAAAGTATATGAAGTGGGTTCTTCTCGGAAAGGAAAAATTTAGGCAAACACGATGTGACTATTTTTGGGTTGATTTAATACAACTGCAAAAAATTATTCAAACTTCAAGCAAAAAAGTCAAAATTTTTACCACTTTTTTGGATTTTTACCTCAGAACAAATAGAGGGATTTGTTTTATTTTTATACCATCTTGTGCGGCTGTCTTTTAGCTATCTTTATGCAAGTTTTGCCGACATGCCAACAAAATTAACTTGCTCAAAATATCAAAAAACATGGTTTTTTGGCCTATTTTTGGCCCAAAAATCGGTTTTTTGCAATTTTACCCCAGAACAATCAGTCCAATCATCTTGAAACTACTTTCAATCGATTCTACGGTCAAAAATACGTCTAGTAAGGTGTATCTGGGGTCCCTAACGTATCGAGCAGACAATGCCCGTAAGAGCCTCTACTAGAAAAGTAATTGTCTGCAAGATGCAAATGTCCCTCTGGTATCTGGGAGGCCGACGTGCGACGGCCAGGCCCCCTCACCCAGCAAAACTTATTGGCTGGTTGTCATACGTTGTGCGCGGCCCCCCCTGTATAGCAGAAACCCCTGTATAGCAGAAACTCTATAACTATAAGTATAGTGAAACGACAATGAGGGTCACGACGTGATACAGCTGGCTGGCGGTGTTACTAAAGTGTAGACGTGGTTTAATTTGAACATAGTACGGTTTGAGCTCACGCACGACCAGCGACATTAAGCTTGATTTGCATGTCCAAGCAGCTAGCACGTTTCAGCTTGTCCATGGAATAGCGTGTTGTAGGTTTATAACCTACCAGGACTTACTGGGCCGCGCTTAGCCTGTCATTCCGCCTAATCTCTATTCGGTTTATGAGCATGATAGCCTGAGGTCCCCAGGTAAACAAGGACGCGCGCCGAATTGGATTCGTCGACGGTCCTGATTATAATAATTGGAACAAATATTTTACGAGTATCACCCGTTAAAATAGCGTGGCGCGCAGTACACAGTACTTCGTAGCACTTGCCGCGGGCAAGTGCTAATAATATTTCGAAAAGAAAGCGGCGCGCGCTACTAGACTTTGAAGAAATTTAGACGAGTAACATCCGTCAAAATTCAGCCAATCAGACGACAAAAATCCGCAATGGTTCTTGTTCCTGTTTAATTCAAGTACGATGCGACCAATTTATTCCAAAACAAAAGATGTATAAATGGCGCACGTTATATCTCCGCTTGACCATTGTTACTGGGCCGCGCTCAGCTTAACGGGTGATACTCGTAAAATATCTGTTCCATATATTGGACCGTCGACGAGTCCAACTCGGCGCGCGTCCTGGTAGGTTGTAAAGCTACAACGCTCAGCTTGTCATTCCGCCTAATCTCTATTCGAACATAATAGCCTGAGGAGTGAGGTCCCCAGGTAAGACCATTGTTAATGATCTGGCCCGGCGCGCGCTACTTCGTAGCTCGTGCCATCACGCTACTTCGAAGAAATTTAGACGAGTAACATCCGTCAATATCTCCGCCAAAAGCACATCCAATTTGATATGTATAAAATATGTTTATAACTTCATTGGTTGTGCGCTAAGTTGATATTTCTCGACCAAAATTGAACGGGGAATCGTTTAAAATCACTTTCGAACGCGAAGCACCTCGACAAAAACTTCTCACGCTATTGTGCTTTTAATGGAGAAATACGTCAGAAGCGTTTTTGAGCTTGTTATTCTCTTTCAAAAGTATTCCAAGTGATTTTTATAAGTGCATGTATTGACTCTAAATACATTGTAAAATAAGTTTCCTCGATTCATGAAGTTTGGAAGAAGTTACAGCAATGCGCGCAATTTGGGAGTGTGCTTTTGGCGGAGATATAACATATAAACTGCGCCTATATAAATGTTCATCAAATTAACTTGTCCATCACTTTAATATTTTAAAAATGACAAATAAAAATTCAGTTAAAACATTTAATTTGAAATTAAATTTTTCATCACTGATTACAGATTACCTAACTACGCCAACTACGTGCCGCGCACGTCTATATCGTTCCACATCGAAAGATGTAATCGAGCGCTGTAACATTAATTCTTTTATTTATCCTCGATATTACTGGTGGCTCATCGACATCGTTTGTTGTGTTTAATACTGTCATTGTGTACGACTTTGCATATCTCCTCAGGATGTTGTAATGATACAAATCTTCCGATTAGAATCTTCCATTCATGTTGATATTATATTTACCCTCAACTCCCTCCAATCGTGGAAATTCATTATTGGACTTTTCAGGTACATGTTCACACTTCACTCCTACGTCACCGGTCTTTCATTAGATCCATTCACATATCACAAGTGGTGATTGATTGTAACATGTAATTGCTCTGATTTATTTTACATTACTCTACTCTACTCTACTTTACTTTACTTAATTTACCTTACTTTACTTAATTTACCTTACTTTACTTTACTTTACTTTACATTACTTTACTTTACTACTTAACTTCACTTTGCTGATAATTTGATACAGAATTTGTATTCCCCTCACTACAGTCTCCACTAAGAGAATATAATTTGCATAAATTATTGATTTAATAATAATTCAGCTAAACAAAAAATTGCAATTTTGTGCCATTTATTACAGAATAAATAAGTTTGCAAAGAATTAATTTGATATTTGAAGGAATCCTAATTTAATGTGTAGTAACGTATGGTTGTCACTCTTTGAATAGATTAGATATAGGTTGATGGTGCAAAGGAGTGTGCTTGCTGTTCGCTATCGGTCACAATGGACTTACATCACAATCGTTACACTCGACCGATGCTACATTTGCTTGAAATTGCTTGAAATTGCAACGGCTCCATTAAATGGACCCTGTAATACACCGAAGGAGAAAGAATAACTACAGTAGTTCGCTATTTTGCTTGCATGTTCAATTTTACCCATCTTTATTTCCTTTCCGGCTTTTATAATCACTACCAGACTTAACTTCTTTAGTAGGAATAAGATTAATGAATTTATTAATTAAATTTGAAAACGTATTACCGAAAATATTTCCAAAACATTGTCCATGCTCATGATTAGACCTTGCATTTCAATGAATGTTTCTACATGTCTAGCGCCAGGGTTTTCATTTACGAGCCAGGTTTCTTATTGTCAAGT